TCTGTTTGAGATTTGTTTGTTTGTCGTCTAACGCGGCACAATATTACAGCCACTTGACGACGGCCTGCGTAAATTCGAGTCTGGACCAGACAATCCAGCGATTGACATTGTGAGCAGCGTACCACGCGGTCGGGGTAGTATGACAAACAGTTAATCAGGTCACATACCCGTAGCCAGACCGATCGCTGGGGACCTGTCCTAACCCAGAATCCCCATAGGTGTCCGTTTTAGAAGTCTTTGATGAAACCATGTTAGAATTGGTCTTCAGCAACCCATGCTTGTCATAGGAGGCGACTAAGGGGATCAGGTGGTCAGACTCGCTGACTTGGTTGATGCATGCATCGTATCCCCATTGCGTAGATCAATGCTCATGACATCAATCTGGTCAAGATTTGATTATTTAAAGACCACCCTTATATTGCTGGGAAATTCCAGTTAAACAACAAAACACAACAAAACACAAGCTTCTTGGCCATGTTGACACGGCGCCACCATTTTGTTTTAAAGCAATGCAAGTTATATGAGAGGTGGAATCTGATTGGTCAGTAGGGGGGAAACTGGGACTAATAAAGTCAGGTAACTCTCTTGCCAGGGAAGATATATTTCAGCTGTATATGTGAATAATCAAGTCTGATTCATAATGGTGACCTGCGACCCTGCCATCAACAAAGTCCAAGAGATTAACCAACTGATCCCTAACTCGGAACCTATTCTAAGAGGGTCCTGATTAAGTATACTGCTCTATAGCGAATAACAACTAAATTAAACTTGACTTTTTATTGCAAAAAAATAACGTAAAATGCCCATAAAAATTGCTTTGCATAAATGTAAAGTTACCATTAAATAAGCCCAAGCATTATTATCCTGGTCAATGGATCTGTGTGCACTCGATTCTTTCAATCTCAGCACCCTGGGGAGTATACAAACAACTTACCAAATATCACACATTTTAAGGCACCTCTTAAATTTAATGACCAAAATATTTTAAAAAGATACTGACTAAACCCCCCAAGTTATACTTACAACAGACGTGTGTCACCCCCATCAGGACCCTCTCCTTACCAAGGATCCCCCACCAGGTGAATATGACATTCAAAGTCATTGTTTTTATGAGTGAGTGAGTTGTGTTTAACGCCGCTTTTAACATTATTCCAGTTACATCACGGCATGTCAGCTGAATGTGGGAGGAAAGCCCGAAGTGGTGCAGGTCTCAGACGCTTACCATTTTGGTGAAACCTACGAGCACGGGTATGGTGCTGACAAACCTAGAAACATAATCGGGGCGAACCGGGATTCAAATCCACAATCATAGGTTTCTTGCGTGCCTAAGGGACGCAACTCTGCACAGCGAATCGCGGCGCCTTAGATGACTGGGCTACCCGTGCCCCCTTTTGTTTTTATGACAAAACTGATCTAGAACTCTATGGTTACACTACAAGTCACTAATGCCCGCATTTCTTTCTGACTATACACCCATTCCTTCTGACTTTTATATGTTTGAATAAAGATAAATCTTCAGTCAACGTCAGCGTATGTATGACCAGATCGTTTTATACGTGTATCTAAATACATTATGTCCATGGCTACGGTCAAACTATTCCCAATCGGACATTGTGTACCTATCTCTTGATATCTACAGCGGGTACCCGGGTAGGGTCAGGTAATAGGTCGGTGGGTACCAGGATGGTACATTCGGACTCCAGCCCTACCTCCTGGCATACATAACAAGCTTGCTGTTCTTACATCAAAGGTTTTTATTAGCACTAAATGTTATCTTACCTACCAGTCAGCTGGCAACAATTTCATGCATGAACATGATTGACTGAGGTGTGTTATACTTATGTGAAAATTTGCATTGCTCTGTCAGTGTTGAGTAAACTCAAAACAGGACAAGACTACTTGGCTGCAAATCGTAGCTATGTACTGCTTTTGAAAGTGTCTGTGACCAGTCGACGATGGGCAGTGAAAGCAGAGCAGTACATACCTGTGATTTCACAGCTTAAGATTTCATTACTGACACACCTCTGGACCTCACTCTACAAAAGTGAGTGAGAGAGTTGTGTTTAACGCCCCTTTTAACAGTATTCCAGGTGTTGTATCACAATCAGCTTAATGTGGGAGGAAAGCCCGAAGTGATGCAGGTCTCAGACGTTATTAACTACTTCGGTGAAACCCCCGAGCACGGGTATGGTGCTGACAAACCTAGAAACATAATTGGGGCGAACCAGGATTTGAACCCACGATCACAGGTTTCTTGCGTACCCAAGGGACGCAACTCTGCACAGCGAATCGCGGCACCTCAGACGACTGGGACACCCGTGCCCCCGACTCCATAAAACGATCTTACCACCACAACCATAATAACTCACGTCTACTTTAACATGTACATGTATTAGGACAGTTGTAGTCTGGCCCTGGACCACGATGCTGGTCTTTCCAAAGCATGTGTTTTGTAGATAGTTTTTTTTTTATGAACTGAGAATCAAAAATAAATGAACGTCAATTTTATGGAAAGCCAGTGATAAAGTTGTTGCAGCATAAATATTGATCAGATCAGGTTCTCCATCCAATCCAGGGCCAGTTTCATAGAGCTGTTCACTGTCAGTTTGTGAAAGAAGTGAGTGACTGAGAATGGTTTTACGCTGCTTTTAGCAATATTCGACCAATATCACGACAAGGGACACCAGAAATGGGCATTACACATTGTACCCATGTGGTGAATCGAACCTGGGTCTTCAGCGTGACGAGCGAACGCTTTAACCACTAGGCCACCCCACCGCCCTTTGTGAAACTGGGTCCATTGAATGAATGGCAACGACCACAAACAACCATCATTTCTCAGCCGTACAAACTGTTTGTGGTACAAGTTTCTTTTAGCTGTAAATAGATATGAGAATAATTATGCCACAATAGTATGCTTTACAATTCAAATAAATATTAATGGTATGTACAGACCTGAGGCAATAAAATATAGAAGGTAAAAGATTCACCCATTCTCATTCGTTCCACATACTCAGTGATATTAAAGGGCAAGTTCACACGGAAATGAACCTATTTTTCTTGTACTTTTTCCACATTAAAAGTGTTAACATAGAAGTGTCATAGACAAAAATATAAAAACATCAAATTTAATTAACATATTTTTTGCATTAAAACGATTTATATTTTTCACTTTTACCAAGTGTTCTATTTCCATAACAAAAACACCATGGCTTACCCCCCTTGCAATATGACGTCATTGGTGCCAATTGATAAACATTATGACGTCATCATGCTTTGTTAGAGCCGCTTCACGTGGTGTAGGTACAGTTTTGTGATTCTAGCGTCTCAGATGCCAGCCAGAATTGTGTTATGCTGAGTCACCACTGCGCCGGAGTGTGTCGTAGACCATGTTGTTTTACCGCAAACTGGTCGTTGATATCTTTTGCGTTGAGAATAGACAGGGACCCAGTTGAATTGGCACCAATTACGTCATAATCTAAGGGGGATAACTCAGGCCTATTTCGCTCGTAAAACGAAGGCTTCATAACGGCATATCATTTTCACACTATTGTGAGCTTCCTACTTTCACTGTGAAACAAAATGAGTGTATATTTTCAAACACAGATACTAACTAATTCTAAAATTGCGTTTTGTTTAGAAAAAGAAAGAAAGTGATTTTTGCGTGTACACTTCCCCTTTAACTCATATACACTCACCGACTTGTGATAACAATTTTTATTTACAAGCACTGACTTTAGGGTTAACTGATCTGCCTGGGGAAAATTACACTAATGTGGAATCAAAATATTACATAAAAGTCGACCCGTGAAGATCCGGGGTAGAATAGGTCTTCAGCAACCCATGCTTGCCGTAAAAGGTGACTATGCTTGTCGTAAGAGGCGTCGGTAGATCAGGCTCGCTTTCTTGGTTGATGCATGTCATCGATTGCAATTGCGTGGATCGATGCTCATGATATCAGTCACTGGATTGTCTGGTCCAGACTCGATTATTTACAGACCGCTGTCATATAGTTGGAATATTGCTAAGTGCATCATAAAACAACAAACCAACCAACAACATTGAAATCTATTTTTTTCTCACCATACCTGTACCCAAATAATGAAAGGGAGGTAACCCTTTGACTTGTCATTCCCCAAAAACGTTTTTCTTTTCATTGAGGTTTTCTTCATAATCGCTTCCAACAATACTTTTAAGGGACCACTTAATAAAAGAAAGATTTCTTTAATGTTATCCTTATTTCATTTGGACAACCAACCCCTATGATTTTGGAAATTAATATGTATAGAATCTGTATATTATTTATATCACTGAAGAAGAAGAAGAAGAGTGAGTGAGTATGGTTTTACGCCACTTTTAGCAATATTCCAGCAATGTCACGGCGTGGGACACCAGAAATGGGCTTCACACATTTTACCCATGTCAGGAATCGAACCCGGGTCTTCGACGTGACGAGCGAACGCTTTAACCACTAGGCTACCCCACCGCCCGAAGAAGAAGAAGTCGGAGAAGTATGTGATGCTATGATAGACAGTATTACATTTGTTCTTGTGAAACAGTGGGAATTACATAATGCATATATGTAACATGATTGACTCACACATACCATCGGTTAAGGTCAGTTGTGTCAGTATTTACTTAACCATTGTTTGTGGACAAGAATGTTTGAGGGGGAAAGTTTACGAAAAACATCCATTGACCATAAAAAACTCATTTAGTCTCAACACATCAATAAAATTGATTGTCAGTGAAAAAAACAACTTCTTATCTCACTCAACCATACTTCTGACCTCATGAACTAGCAAATTACATGCACATAGCAATTAATTCATAGCATCACTAATCAAACTTATAATTGTTAGAATTCATGGATTCAGTGTATAATGCTGTTTCCATAATCAGGTATCCTCATTTGGCACAATGATAGTTACAGTCAGACCACATCAATACAGAACCTAGCATATATAAGAGAGCTACACAATAAATCGCAAAGAACAATGAAGAAAAAAGAGTGGTTTAATTCAAGATAAAATATTGTTCTATCATGACGTCATTTCTGGAGATTCGAACCTGAGCTTGCAAGTTGATGACGCCATAAATTGGACGACATTAGTTTAGAGAGGAGAGTGTCTAGCGAGATGTTCCCCACAGATGTAGCTGGGCAACACAGATAAACGCGATGGCTGAACGATCGCATCAAAAGGCGGGAGAGATATGACAATGGGTACTGGGTGAAAAGGTACAGGTAATCAACATGAGGAATGTGAGAACATGCAGGAAATTCCCACCTGTACATAACATGTACTTGTCTGACATCACCGAGGTTGGATTCTATTGAGGGAGTCATCATTATTTAAAAACGTGTTCCCCGGTAAATGTTTGTAAAGCTTGTACATTTTATCATCATCCTAAAAGAGGCTGCAAATAATTTTGCTATCTCATATAAGAAATAAACGACAAGTGGAAGTTGTTTATCCTACAATAAAACACTGTATATCCTGTCACACATTAGCTGGTTCAATAAATTTGGTTGTTTGTTATTTGATGTTTAATGCCGCACTCAGCAATTTTCTAGCAAAATAAGTGCGGTCTTTATATAATCAAGTATGGACCAGACAATCGGGTGTTTGACATCATGAGCATCAATTCACGCAATTGGGATATGATGGCATGCATCAACCGAGTCAGCGATCCCGTTAGTCGCCTCTTACGACTCTTACGTCCAACTCCTCCTGTCTGTATCAAAATACAAACTAATTTTTTGGGTGCTCGATTCTTCTCTCATGCTGGTGCCTCTCTATAAGAACTCCCTTCCCTTCAGCTTTAAAAGTGCACCTGGCATCACTGTGTTTATGTCTGGACTCTAAATATACCTTTTTGAATGCTACAACTGAAAATGTATATTTTTACTATCTGACTGTCCCCTCTGTGTTGTACATATTTACATATGCTGAACCTGTGCATTTAGCATGTCCTTCAGTGATGTGAATTTTGCCCAATACAAATAGCCTTATCATTATCATTATTATTATTATTATTATTATCATTATTATTACACCTTGTCAGCAACATCCCATCCTCAGCAACCTGCATCACTGTGGGCTTTTCTCATGCATCAACCTGAAGCAGCATGATATGATTGAAAAATGCTGTTCCAAGTGGCATTGAGACGAGCAGGTAGCCAAGTGGTTAAAGCGTTCACTCGTCACGCCGAAGACCCGGGTTTGATTCCCGACATGGGTACAATGTGTGAAGCCCATTTTAGGTGTCCCCCGCCATGATATTGGTAGAATATTGTTAAAAGCGGAGTAAAACCCAACTCACTCACTCACTCAAAGTGGCATTAAACCCGACTCCTTGACTCCCTGAACACAGATCAATCACACACACGTTTGTCAATTCACATACTAGACTGTATATACTTGGTCATTTAGATAAATCAGAGACCATATCTCTGCATAAATACACAAAACCATTAAGTATGAATTCTCTTGATGGAAAAACTGGATAACAAAATACCATACAATATAACAAATCATTAGAGACCTTTGAAATTTGTTCATATCAAAGATCCATGTCAACAAGATACATAAAGCCAAGACACAATGGCTCCTGAAGAAACATCCAGTGGTTCTGAGGAATAAATGTCTTCAATCTTCAATTCCAAGTCTAGCTTGTTTCCATGGAAACAACAAACATCCAGGTTTCAAGTAACCTTATCTACAAAAGGCACAGTTTCAATAAAAGCTTAAGTTTATACATGCAAAGTTTTGTGAATAGATATGTCATAGTTTCACAGTATCAACTCTGTACTAGATTCAACACATATAACACAAATAAATAATCCTAAACACCCTAATAGTACTGGAGTGTGCACGCAAATATATCTCCACCATCTAGGTCCTAGAGTGGTTTGGAAGTCGGTAGAACAGCTTCTTCTGTATAGTGATTAGCTTGACCATGGGGGCAATTATCGTGTTCCCTCGAGGACATGTACACAGGTCCATGTGGGGCATCTTGATGATGGTAGAACAGCTTCTACTGTGTAGTGATCAGTTTGACTATGGTGGCGATTATCGTGCTCCCTCAAGGACATGTACACAGGTCCATGTGGGGCATCTTGATGATGGTAGAACAGCTTCTACTGTGTAGTGATTAGCTTGACACTGGTAGCAATTATCGTGCTCCCTCGGGGACATGTACACAGGTCCATGTGGGGACATCTTGATGATGGTAAAACGGCTTCTACTGTGTAGTGATTAACTTGATGACGGTAGCAATTATCGTGCTCCCTCGGGGACATGTACATAGGTCCATGTGGGGACATCTTGATGATGGTAAAACGGCTTCTACTGTGTAGTGATTAACTTGATGACGGTAGCAATTATCGTGCGCCCTCCAGGACATGTACATAGGTCCATGTGGGGCATCTTGATGATGGTAGAGCAGCTTCTACTGTGTAGTGATTAGCTTGACGACGGTAGCAATTATCGTGCTCCCTCAAGGACATGTACACAGGTCCATGTGGGGCATCTTGATGATAGTAGAACAGCTTCTACTGTGTAGTGATCAGCTTGACGATGGTGGCGATTATCATGCTCCCTCAAGGACATGTACACAGGTCCATGTTGGGCATCTGGATGATGGAAGAACAGCTTCTACTGTGTAGTGATCAGCTTGACGATGGTGGTGATTATCATGCTCCCTCGAGGACATGTACACAGGTCCATGTGCTGCATCTTGATGATGTTAGAACAGCTCTTACTGTGTAGTGATCAGCTTGACGATGGTGGCGATTATCGTGCTCCCTCGGGGACATGTACACAGGTCCATGTGGGGCATCTTGATCTTGTCAGCCAGTAACTGGTCCAGTTCATTCTTTAGCTCCTTCACAAGCTCCGCAATCTGTAATAAGGAAAAGATGGAGTATATGGCTCTGGTCTAAAACCAAACACACACACACACATACTGAGAACCACACCATTCCATGGAGTCATTATATACACATCATTTTTTATAAGCATAGCCCCATAATTATTTTTACCAGAGAATCACTCTAAGCAACTCAAGCAGCAAACCAGAGTCAAAGCAATCAGGACTGTCCTTGGGAAGTTAGGTGACAGAATCACAGTGTTACCATCGAACAGTAATTACCGGTTATTTACAGGTAAAGTTAGGCTTGGACCGGTAATTCATGTGACTGCCAGTCCCTGTGGACCGGCAAATAAAGAACCTTTTAAATCTTTGTTGCTGAATTAAACATCAGCGGCATTCATGTAAGGATATTTTTCGAAAGAAGTCACCTTGTCTCTTACCATCAGGGTTTTCCCCTGTGCAAGGAAGTATAATTTCGATCTGCCTCGATTCTAAATATATATTTGTAGCAACTTAGTTTTGAAATATGTTTAAAAAAGAGAAAATTGTGACTGAACTTTGAGTGAATGATGTGGAGATCTAACTAAGTTACTTCAGAGATGATCTCATTGCATGGAACATGATGTTGAAAGAATTATAACCGGGTAACTTTCATACGTCTTTTTATTTGTTGAAAGTTGGGACTGACAAAAATTATGGAGACTGGTAATTTTTAGAGTTGCCAGAAAAGAAAGAAACATTCATAGTTTTCTCACTAATCACATGAACAACTGTAAAACATCTCATTCACTTATAGGCTAAAAGACGACTTTATCTTAAAAACAAGCCATCATCGGAGTAATTACAATTTCTGTGTGACGCCACACCCCTTGTAAAAGTGCAAGTATTTGTGATAGAAAATGTATGATGTCCGAAAACCTATAATGCTGAAAGCTCTGATCGAAAACAGGTCAAACCGCGACGGTTGTCCGGTTTTCGATCATATTTTTCTAAGTATTTTTTAAAATCTTTGATTATATTTTTACGCGGAAGATGATTTTTTCTGAGGATTACTGCTTTAAAAAACGCAATTTTCCGCGGAGATTTCACATCCCTGAACATTAACGATAGCAAGTAGCTAAACTGCTACCTTAAAATCTGTTTTGTCACCTGTAAAATATGATAGCAGATTTCTGATACCAACACTTATGGTTTACGATGATGACTTACTTGACCTTACGAAAAAACTCAATACGATTAAGTCACTTCACAAAAAAATATTTTACAGAGAGCAAATAGAACACCAAAATACACTGGCAGCCAATTATTGACTGTACCTGATGTGAACCAGCCATGAATCGTATCCAGCCGTCATCCACTGAGAGGATAAAGGAACCCTTGCTGAGCTCCACCGAGAGGGTGCCACCCCCAAACAGCAGCAGCGGATACACCGACACCATCGTGCAGTCGCGGATATACACCTGCAACATCAACAACAATCACTCACTACACAATGTCAGTATTTGAATAGACAGTAAACTGTGGTTAAACGAACTCAAAAGAACCAATAATTTTAGTTCATCATGACCATAAGTTGACCAAAAGGGGGGGATAATCAGCCAACCATTCTGTTCAATAACCATTTTGACTGTCAGACATCTTGGATCAAGTTATGTTTCCTTAATCTAGTCATCCCACTTTAAAGGCTATAGTCGTATCACTGTTTTACTATAGTTAATTGAGGGTGTAACTTGAGAACAAATTTTCAAGATAATCACATGCCTTCAATTGTTTATCCGTGTGTGGCTGCGATGTTTTGATAGGATGACTGTTGCCATGTGAACAGCTCAGACATTAACAGTTCATTATAAACATAAACATTGTCATTGACAGACCACAAAGTTCGCTATATCCGTTATTTCATTATCTCCAACAATTTTATAAGCCAATATCACAAATACAACAAATGGCCAGGACCAAACAGTTAGTTCTAGCCACCAGTTGTTGTAAGCAGATTCATTATAAACGTAGTTACTGTATTAAAATAACACAAGCACACATCACAAATATCATTCGGAATTACCAGTCTGTTGAAATCAGATCTCTGTCATGATCACAAAAATCGAATGCATAAATGTGACAAGTATCATGAGCATCAACTGATCCTAACAACACCCTATGGATGAACTCTAAAGAAATTCATAATAACTAACATATTGACTTATTAATAACCAGGAGATGTGTTACCAACCTTTGACGTTTTCACTTTTTCGTGATACACCAGATATGGGCTGTCGTAGTGACGTACTTGGAAGTTGACAGACGATGGATGGACAGACACCTATGCAAAAAGACATGGTGAAAATCATCATTTAGAGTGAGTGAGTGAGTATGGTTTTACGCCGCTTTTAGCAATATTCCAGCAATATCACGGCGGGGGACATCAGAAATGGGCTTCACACATTGTACCCATGTCGGGAATCGAACCCGGGTCTTCGGTGTGACGAGCGAACGCTTTAACCACTAGGCTACCCGACCGCCCCTCATCATTTAGAAATATAAGTGAATTTTTCCCTCTTGTTCTTATATTTTTATTAGTGGTGGGATGATACATCAATGCATCGATGGGTCGCAATATTTAACTTCCCGATACAAGTATCAATCACAGTCACACACTAAGTAAAAAAAAAAATACATACCTTAAATGTTTAATTTTATGGGTATTACACCAAACACTAACTAGTAGTGAAAATTAGTTGTGAAAAAGTAAATATTCTCATCCATTGCGCCATACTTGACACCTCCAACTGTAAATCGTCAGTGTGTCAGGTACTTTACTACCCTGTCTTTGTAAAAGATTGCTTATGCACCACAGACAAGAGCACAAGCAAGTATCGTGATACGTATCGGATCGTGAACAAGGTGTCGTGATACGTATGAGATCGCACAGTTGGTGTATCATCCCAGCCCTAATTTTTATACCAACAGCTTCTCCTTGACAGGCAAGACATTTGGGTCGTTTGTGTTGCTGTGCATTTGGGTCGTTGTGTTGCTGTGGATTTGGGTCGTTGTGTTGCTGTGCATTTGGGTCGTTGTGTTGCTGTGCATTTGGGTCGTTTGTGTTGCTGTGCATTTGGGTCGTTGTGTTGCTGTGCATTTGGGTCACACACTTTTGAATCTACTAGCACACACTTGGCCATTGTCATCGTCTTCAGCGGAATCTGAATATTCTGACTATGATCAGCTGGGCTGACCAGACCAAAATATATATATCTACACTCAGACTAGTTCCTAAAGACTCAGACAGGTACAAAGTTTAATGGAAATGCTATGTTTATTATCGTCCACAAACATAATCAGCAGCAGAGATAACTTACATATCCATCCATTTTCGTCTTGAACTTCATCTCCTCCGGTCTCGGGGCTTTCATAATAGCTCCTGGTCAACAAAACACACAGTCATAAACTTCATGACGACATGGGACATTTTACGTGCTTTCAATAGTGTCAATTTCAGACTCTGGTACAAATGATCATGTAGTTTCTTACAGGTGATCCTGGAAGCTTAGTCCGGGAATATATGGAAAGGTCAAATTTAGTCACTGAGTGAGTGAGTGAATATGGTTTTATGCCACTTTTAGCAATATTCCAGTAATATTATAGCAGGGGACACCAGAAATACTTAGGATAAAATACCTCTAAGAAACATGTGCAAGCAAACTGCAACAGTTTAATGACAAATACAGATTGTATTTGAGTTGGGGGCCAGTCCAAACATAAAAGCTGTACAATAGATGCTTGTCTGAAAATCAATCTATTGATTATCTAATCATCAATCTATATATGGCTTAAAAAATAAAAGAATTGGTTCTCAGGCAATGACTTTTGAAGACATAGTGCGGGCTGGCAGTGTTTTTTCGTTTTTTGTACAGTTGTGTACCATCAACCTGGGAAAGGGCCTCCCTACATATTCAAGCATACAAACTCCTATTGCCACCATAACGATAGCACGAGATGTAAAGGGAAGTAACTGTGTGTTATATTGTTGTTAAGTGTTAGGAATTTTATGGGTTTTTTTAAAAATAAACAAAACATATGGCAGACTTAATGATGATGCGGGGGGTGCCTGAGGACCAAGCCTATTATTCTTTTTAGTCTATTGTTATGGGTTTTTTTCTACATAATCAGACAATTTGTTCAGAACAATAATCATTCCAGCATATCAAGTCTTCACCAAACAATGACAACTTTGCAAAATAAAACTACTGTTCTGAAGTGTAAATATCTATGGTGTTTCTATGGTAACTGATGTCGTACCCCCACTGCTCTGGCTGTACCGGGTCTCAGGGACAAGTATCTGGACGACATTTGGGTACAAGGCACCGACCAGCACCGCTGACACCAGCTTCCAGTTCTTGGAGTTGACATTGGCCTGTAACACAAGCACATTTCAAGACAATAATATGGTTTGGTTCTATACAGGTACAAATTACAGAAAAGCTTGGCCTGAATGGTCAGCAACCAGGACCGAATCCTCATCACAAAACATGATTTGTATGTCAGCAACTATCCTCCTCAGTGTAACCAGTCATCACTCCTTCCTTCACAACCCCTACATCACTACCTGCCACCCTCTGACACACTCACCTCCTGTCCTGTGGCCTCCAACACTCCATCCCTCCCTCCTGTCTGGGCTGCCCTCTCCACATCCCTCAGCATCACTCCTTCCTTCACAACCCCTACCTCACTACCTGCCCTCTGACACACTCACCTCCTGTCCTGTGGCCTCCAACACTCCATCCCTCCCTCCTGTCCGGGCTGCCCTCTCCACATCCCTCAGCGTCACTCCTTCCTTCACAAACCCAATATCAGACAACAGCTCCACAAACTGCTGCTTTAAACTGCACAGCATCTGCAAATACACCACATGGAGATTTTCACAAATAATCTCACGTAAATACTTCTTAAAAACTTACAAACCTGATAATTAAGAGTGTAATGATATAACGAGCTATCGATGTAATGCAATTGTTTGCCCTCGATAGTACTATATCGATAGGAACTTATAAATTCTACAGTAATGTCAATAATATGCATAACAATTCATAGCTTCGAAAGATGCAATCAGTTAAAAACAGAACATAAATTATGCAAATTTCAATCCTGCCTTTGTGTTGGTAAGCAGGGATAATGATAACTTCAGATTAGAGTTACTTCCCTTTGGTTTGAGTAGCACAGAAAATGGCCGACTTTGAGATTGTCAGCAATATTTTATTTATTTCCTTTACATTGACTGATATAATTAAGGTTGGTTTACTGCCTTCGCAATGCTTTTGCAAAAGTTGACAACTATCACAACACTATTGCAATAGTGTGGGGTCAAGAATGGGGTCAATAATGAAAATAGTCCCAATAGTCACTGCTACTGATACTGTTTGATATTGTGTTTGACATTGTGCATCATATCGAGTATTGTATTGTTTCATATGGTGAATCAAATCATGTATCACATTGTGTATTATATCTTGTTTGATATTGTGTGTCATATCGCGTTTCATATGTTGTATCATACACGTAGGACGATGTTTCACACTGTGTATGACATTTGTTGACATTGTGTGTCATATTGTGTTTCATATGGTGTATCATATCATGTAGGACAATGTCTCACAGTGTGTGACATTGTGTATGACATTGTGTATGGCATTGTGTATGACATCGTGTATGTGTCACACAGTGTATGACATTGTGTATGACATTGTGTATGACATCATGTGTCATATCGCGTTTCATATGGTGTATCATATCATGTAGGACAATGTCTCACACAGTGTATGACATTGTGTATGACATTGTGTATGACATTGTGTATGACATCGTGTATGTCTCACACAGTGTATGACATTGTGTATGACATTGTGTATGACCTTGTGTATGAAATGTGTATGACATCGTGTATGACATTGTGTATGACATTGTGTATGACATCATGTGTCATATCGCGTTTCATATGGCGTATCATATCATGGAGGACAATGTTTTATACAGTGTTTCATACTGTTTCATATTGTATATCAAATCATGTCTCACATTGTGTATCATATCATGTATTATGAAACAAGATACTATAGAGATATACTTTTTGCCGTACAACAACACAGAAAGAGGTCTAATTACTTGCTCAACCAACACAGAAAGAGGTCAACTTACTTGCTCAACCAACACAGAAAGAGGTCAACTTACTTGCCCAAACAACATAGAAAGAGGTCAACTTACTTGCCCAAACAACATAGAAAGAGGTCAACTTACTTGCTCAACCAACACAGAAATAGGTCAACTTACTTGCTCAACCAACACAGAAAGATGTCAACTTACTTGCTCAACCAACACAGAAAGAGGTCAACTTACTTGCTCAACCAACACAGAAAGAAGTCAACTTACTTGCCCAATCAGCATAGAAAGAGGTCAACTTACTTGCTCAACCAACACAGAAAGATGTCAACTTACTTGCTCAACCAACTCAGAAAGAGGTCAACTTACTTGTTCAAACAACATAGAAAGAGGACAACTTACTTGCTCAACCAACTCAGAAAGAGGTTAACTTACTTGCTCAACCAAAACAGAAAGAGGTCGACTTACTTGCTCAACCAAATCAGAAAGAGGTCAACTTACTTGTTCAAACAACACAGAAAGATGTCGACTTACTTGCTCAACCAACACAAGAAAGAGGTCAATTTACTTGCTCAACCAAAACAGAAAGAGGTCAATTTACTTGCTCAACCAACTCAGAAAGAGGTCAACTTACTTGCTCAACCAACACAGAAAGAGGTCAACTTACTTGCCCAAACAACATAGAAAGAGGTCAACTTACTTGCCCAAACAACATAGAAAGAGGTCAACTTACTTGCTCAACCAACACAGAAATAGGTCAACTTACTTGCTCAACCAACACAGAAAGATGTCAACTTACTTGCTCAACCAACACAGAAAGAGGTCAACTTACTTGCTCAACCAACACAGAAAGAAGTCAACTTACTTGCCCAATCAGCATAGAAAGAGGTCAACTTACTTGCTCAACCAACACAGAAAGATGTCAACTTACTTGCTCAACCAACTCAGAAAGAGGTCAACTTACTTGTTCAAACAACATAGAAAGAGGACAACTTACTTGCTCAACCAACTCAGAAAGAGGTTAACTTACTTGCTCAACCAAAACAGAAAGAGGTCGACTTACTTGCTCAACCAAATCAGAAAGAGGTCAACTTACTTGTTCAAACAACACAGAAAGATGTCGACTTACTTGCTCAACCAACACAAGAAAGAGGTCAATTTACTTGCTCAACCAAAACAGAAAGAGGTCAATTTACTTGCTCAACCAACTCAGAAAGAGGTCAACTCACTTGCTCAACCAACTCAGAAAGAGGTCAACTTACTTGTTCAAACAACACAGAAAGAGGTCAACTTACTTGCTCAACCAACACAGAAAGAGGTCAACTTACTTGCTCAACCAACACAGAAAGATGTCGACTTACTTGCTCAACCAACATAGAAAGAGGTCAACTTACTTGCTCAACCAACACAGAAAGAGGTCAACTTACTTGCTCAACCAACTCAGAAAGATGTCAAGTTACTTGCTCAACCAACACAGAAAGATGTCTACTTACTTGTTCAACCAACACATAAAGATGTCGACTTACTTGTTCAACCAACACAGAAAGATGTCTACTTACTTGTTCAACCAACACAGAAAGAGGTTGACTTACTTGCAGTGACTTTATGGAGAGGAAGTTCTCCCGACAGAAGACATACTGGTTGTGGGAACCCTTTTCCTTTGCCTCAATCCAGCCCTGTGAAACAGACAGATGAATACAGTAGCAGGCCACATCACACACACTCCAGGCACATGGCCACAGTTCAGTGTTTAACCCAGCTGCCTGATAGAGACCACATATGTAACGCAGTGAAACCCTGGTTTCACTGTTGTTCCCTGGCTGTCAAATTTGCAGTCACACATCCACCTATTCTCAGCACCAACATTGCCAAAAGAACCAGATCAAAAGTTTGATTTTGGATAAAAATCTGAATTCCTTAAGTTTAGGGGTAGGGTTAATGGCCCTTCCAGTTTTCCATCCATTTCATATATTTCACTGAGCCAATTTTTATTCATGTGCTGTTATGGGGGTGGTGACAGATTATGTCTCAAAACTTAATGAATTAAGTTTTATATTCAACATCAAACTACTGAACAAGTCTCTAACTTTACCTAATTCGGATTTTGAGCTGACGTTTTGGTATGAGACAAAATATGTTTCGGATTATTCATTTTCAGAACATGAACAGTTCACCAGGAAAGACCAGGTTATTTGACTTCCATAGTAGAAAAAGAATCTGAAACAGGATAAAAATTATTGCTGTATATGTAGCTTGTCTCTTAAAGCAGTAAATAGGATTGATGATTCAACACTTTCTGAAACATCCACATATCATCTTCTCAAGGCAAGGGATTATAAAAGTCCAGTTTCCACCCTTGCCGAACTAGCCTGGAATTTGTGGGATTGATTTTAGCGCAACCAGTGGCTATTATGAGTTACGTCCCTTCTATGTCCCTCTACTAACCAATCAGATTCCACCTCTCATATCTCTTGCACTAGCTTCAAACTAAATAGCGATGCCTGCCCAGTCAAAGACAATTTCATCAATAATAAAGATCTATATTGTAATAAAACGCGTTTTTCATAGTGAAGTGCATCAAATCACTTGAGCACCTTGATTAAAAACATGAAAAGATTGGGAAAATATCTGTCGACACACAGTTGACAGTACACATGCTCTGCAAATCCTGCAATTGAACAATTCGACATGGCAGTTGCCATGTTGTTTTTTTAACCAGTCCAGCCAAATTGTAACTCCATAATTCCAGCCTAGTTCGGCAAGGTTTGACACTGTCAGTCAGTTAAGTCCCTTGCCTCGGGAAGATTCATAGTTGTAGACAAAGTGGGAGCATGTAGTCTTCCATATACACAACACAACTCACCATGTAAGCTTTCAACATGGTCAAGTGGTCAGAATTTCCCACAGCAAACTCCAGCTTCTTCTTGTCTGCTTCATCCCTCTTGTCAAACGGGGAAACCTAAAACAACGTGGTCAGTTGAATAGATCTGTACATCCGCCTTCATGTCTTACAACAATTGTTATTTCCATTATGGAAAGTATTTGTTTGTTTGTTTGTTTGTTGCTTAAGGCTGCACTCAGCAATATTGTAGCTATATGACGGCGGTCTGTAAAGAAATCAAGTCTGGACCAAACAATCCAGTGATTGACATGAGCATCGATCCACACGATTGGGATACAATGACATGCATCAATCAAGTCAGCGAGCCTGACCATCCTATCCCATTAGTCGCCTCTTACGACAAGCATAGTCGCCTTTTTCGGCAAGCAGGGGTTTCTGAAGACCTATTCTACCCCGGATCTTCACAGGTCTCACTCACAAAAGAAGACCAGTCAACTCTTATTCTACGCATTTGGACTGCACACCTACATATGTAGAAATATTGACACAAAACAAAGGCAATAATGCACAGAGTTCCTTCTTTATGTGTTCAACGCAACGTTCGGAAAGTATTTAAGATGGTATTACATACACCATAGCAAGTCAAAACTACAGCAGCATATGTAAAGTGAGATCACAAAGCTGTGATTTCGGTTTAACTCAGTATCAGCATAAATGAACCTCACTTTTCCATATATTGCACAGTTTTGTCAACTTCTATCACACACCAACTGAATAAAATACAACTATCAAACTAAACGTGTATTTACAACTGCCTACTCTTCAGTATGCAGAACAAACATGATTTGCAACGATGAAGTAGACAATGTACACTGAGCATGTGAATGCCATGATATAACCAGCGTAATGCCTTCATCGTAACATCTTCAGATGGATAAACCGTCCATGTCTACTTACAAATGGTGACTTGGAGCTGAGGGTTGCAGCTATAGTGAGGGCAGCATCCAGACAGCGGAAGATGGCTCCCAACAGCATCAGCTTCCCGATTCTGTCAGCACAAGACAGAGTGAGTGACATGGGTTGTACAGAGGTTCATTTCTATATTTGGTGTCGGCTGTATGTGGGTTCAAACCCCCGATGTGACCTAGGTCATAGATACTGGAAATCTGGAAAGTTTTACAAGCAGGAAAGTACTGCGAAAACTGTGAGTGATACACACTGTTTGTTTGTTTGTTTAATGCTGCACTCAGCAATATCCCAGCTAAATGACAGCAGCCTGTAAATAATTAGTCTGGACCAGACAATCCAATGAGTGAAATCGTACACAACAATCCAAGTCCTCTAGGTATGATGACACACAATCATCCAAGTCACTATGCCTGACCACCCAATCCGTTGCTGGGGACCTATTCAAACCCAGAATCCCCATAAAGTATTACCCATAGTGATGATATTACAGATACTATTTCCCCGTCACCACATATAAAGACAAAGTGACCTACCGAACATCAACTGGCAATGATCCAACATGGTAGCCGAGAGGAGTCAGCTCCTAGAAAATGTATTTCATACTGTCAACTTGCAATCGAACAAATAGAAATAGAGAGCTAAGAAATATGTTGGTGTTTGAGTTCAAATGCCACTCAACCAGTGGTAATTATGAGTATAGTCATATGATGCAGATAGATCAGCTATACAATGGTACAACTGCTTTGTAGACAAAGGTGGCACTGAAGGACCCTACTGTGTAGTAAGATAGCCTCCATGGTCCAGTAGGTAGAGCATCCAGCCCAAGAGTGAAAGGTTGGGGTTTCCATACCCGGCTGCGTCATACCAAAAGACATTAAAAAGATGGCACTTCTTGTCACCCTGCCTGGTGTTTGGCATTAAAACAAGGACTAGTCGGCTCGGTGTGAGTACACTGTGTCTGAGTTGGGTTTTCATGTTAAACTGGGGCATGGTATCTCAATGGGGTGGGTAGCAGCATGAATAAATCGGCATTAGTCCAGACTGGTACAGAGAGACACAGAGAGACACAGAGACACAGAGAGACACAGAGAGAGAGAGAGAGAGACTGTTTGACCAGAAGCATCCCATAATTTCTGTTCAGCAGAAGTTGGGGACAACACTCAAACTCAACACACTTAGGACAAGAAGCTGAACACAATCAACTTCACTAGTAGAGAGTAAATAAGTTATCAACAATTAATTTATTTTTTGCTACAGTGATGAGAAACAAGAACTATTGTTTTTGTGTAGCCTTACCTGTAGGTCATCGAGTGCGCCAAGGTCCTGCAGCCTCTTGATGGCGTTGTGGATGGCATCCCCCTTGGGAGGTTCCAGGAGGCTCTCCAGCACCTCCTGGTTGATAGAAGAATATCAAGTCATTTCCTGAATGAAGTCACATTTAGACCCTGAGAGACACAATTATGATGAAGGGAGGGATTTATTCTAGTAGATAGCATTTTGCAGCAATTGTCTGATGAGTATTTAACATATCAAACATCTCGGTACCAACACTTCAACCCATAGGCTACTCTAAAGTCCACCAGGTCTTCTTTTGAGGAAGTAAATGTAGTGGGTAGTCAGATCTCTAGTTACATACCTTGTTTGTTTGTTAAACACTGCATTACATACGACCAGCCATCGGACGGTAGGCTGTGAAAAATTGATTCTGAACCAGATAAACCTGTGATTGATGGTATGAGCAATCATCCATGCCTTTAGGTTACGTTGACACACTATCAACTAAGTCAACAAGCCTGACTACCCAATCTATTAATTTACATCTTACGACCAGCATAGGTTGCTGGGGGACAATTCTATCCTGGAATCCCCATGGGAACTCAGAAGGTTCATGTCAAATATCAATCACCAATATCTTCCTCGCCATTTTATCATTTTCAAAACTGTTGTTCTGATATGGTATGGTGACATGACCATACAAAAGAAACCCAATATGTTACCTGAATTCCATGTTTTTTAAATAAAGGAAGCATCTTAATCCTCAGGACAATCTGTTCCAGAGGTGCTCGTTGTATCTCTGAAAAAAGATGTTTTGACTGAGATTCTAAATTCAACTGTCTTATTGCATGTATTTTTTCCCTACCAATCCTAGCCCTATCCCTTACCATCCTAGCCCTATCCCTTACCATCCTAGCCCAATCCCTTACCATCCTAGCCCTGTCCCTTACCATCCTAGCCCTATCCCTTACCATCCTAGCCCTGTCCCTTACCATCCTAGCCCTATCCCTTACCATCCTAGCCCTGTCCCTTAACATCCTAGCCCTATCCCTTACCATCCTAGCCCTATCCCTTACCATCCTAGCCCTGTCCCTTACCATCCTAGCCCTGTCCCTTACCATCCTAGCCCTGTCCATTACCATCCTAGCCCTGTCCCTTACCATCCTAGCCCTGTCCCTTACCATCCTAGCCCTATCCCTTACCATCCTAGCCCTGTCCCTTACCAACCTAGCTCTATCCCTTACCATCCTAGCCCTATCCCTTGCCAACCTAGCCCTATCCCTTACCATCCTAGTCCTGTCCCTTACCATCCTAGCCCTATCCCTTACCATCCTAGCCCTATCCCTTACCATCCCATCACTATCCATTCTATTCGCATCCTCACCAAAGACCTATTCCTTCCATCCTAACCCGATCCCTACCCTATCCTAGCATTCCTGCCAATCCAAGCCCCATTCCTACCCATCTTGGACTTATTCCCATCCGTACCCATACTGGGCCTATTCCCATCCCTACCCATCCTGGACCTATTCCCATCCCTACCCATCCTGGACCTATTCCCATCCCTACACATCCTGGACCTATTCCCATCCATACCCATCCTGGACTTATTCCCATCCTGGACCTATTCCCATCCCTACCCATCCTGGACCTATTCCCATCCCTATCCATCCTGGACCTATTCCCATCCCTACCCATCTTGGACTTAGTCCCATCCCTACCAGTCCTGGACTTATTCCCATCCCTACACATCCTGGACCTATTCCCATCCATACCCATCCTGGACTTATTCCCATCCTGGACCTATTCCCATCCCTACCCATCCTGGACCTATTCCCATCCCTACCTATCCTGGACCTATTCCGATCCCTACCCATCCTGGACCTATTCCCATCCCTACCTATCCTGGACCTATTCCGATCCCTACCCATCCTGGACCTATTCCCATCCCTACCCATCCTGGACCTATTCCCATCCCTACCTATCCTGGACCTATTCCGATCACTACCCATCATGGACCTATTCCCATCCCGACCATCTTAACATTTCTACCAATCACTACCAATCTTATTCTCTATCCATCCCTACCCATCCTTGTACTATCTTAACCCACTCTTGTACAATCCTCCAGCACTTTCCACACCCATACCAGCACTACCCTCTGTACCCACCCTGATAATATCCATTCCACTTCTGTAACTATCTATTCTAATACCACCCTTTCCAGTACTATCCCTACATATCATGCCAATGTGGCAATTCAAACCTGGATCCTCCTCATGATGAGCAGACTCCCAGGCGAGGCAAACAAGGACATCAAAGGTAAATTCAGGTAGAGAATACACTATCACTTAACATGCTTAATACAAGCCCCACTAACTGACCAGGTACATACAGACAGACACTGTACTCTAAATAACTGACCAGGTACATACAGACACTGTAGTCTCACTAACTGACAAGGTACATACAGGTACATACAGACAGACACTGTACTCTCACTAACTGACCAGGTACATACAGATACATACAGACACTGTACTCTCAGTAACTGACAAGGTACATGCAGACACTGTACCCTCACTAACTGACCAGGTACATGCAGACGCTGTACCCTCACTAACTGACCAGGTACATGCAGATACATACAGACAGACACTGTACTCTCACTAACTGACCAGGTATATGCAGACACTGTACTCTCACTGACTGACCAGGTACATACAGATACATACAGACACTGTACTCTCACTAACTGACAAGGTACATACAGATACATACAGACACTGTACTCTCACTAACTGACCAGGTACATACAGGTAGATGCAGACACTGTACCCTCACTAACTGACAAGGTACATGCAGACACTGTACCCTCACTAACTGACCAGGTACATGCAGATACATACAGACAGACACTGTACTCTCACTAACTGACCAGGTACATGCAGACACTGTACTCTCACTGACTGACCAGGTACATACAGATACATACAGACAGATACTGAACTCTCACTAACTGACCAGGTACATGCAGACACTCTACTCTCACTAACTGACCAGGTACATACAGATACATACAGACAGATACTGAACTCTCACTAACTGACCAGGTACATACAGACAATGTACTCTCACTAACTGACCAGGTATGGGTTGGGGGCGGAGATGATGTTCAAATCTGTGTTGTGTGAAGAGATGGAAGCAGACACCAGACGCCACACGACCTGCTCGACCTTTCCTCTGCTGCGCGTTGGCCCGAGACACCCACACCATCTCCAGACTCTCCATCCCCTTGCAGGAGTCATACCTGTACCGACGAGACAAGCGTTTCAGTGCTGATGCTGACTTCTTAGAATCCGCAGCATTAACCCAATACATCAACATTAATAAGTTCACAATGACATGCCAGAAAATGCCTGACTATATACATCACAGTAAACTACGGTTATAGCAACTCAAAGGGACCACTAATTTTAGTTCCATTACAACCGTAGTCCAGTACAAGTATACACACAGGATATATACAGCAAATGGCCGGGACATTGTATGACTGTTTTCATAACTCCAGTAGTTCGAAATAGAATACTCATAGCGATAACAGACAATCCAGTGATTGACATCATGAGCATCGATTTACGCAAATGGGATAAATGGGATATGATGACATGCCTCAACCAAGTCAGCGAGCCTGACCTACCGATCCCATTAGTCCCCTCTTACAACAAGCATGGTCGCCTTTAAACGGCAAGCATGGGTTGCTGAAGACCTATTCCACCCTGGATCTTGGCCTGCTAGAATGAGCCCTGTATAACAGTGTCTGTACTTACCTCTTCTCCTTCATCCTCCCAGCATCAATGACAAACACCACATCATCGATGGTGATAGACGTCTCAGCAATGTTGGTGGATATCACAATCTTAGTGACACCTTCTCGGGGTCGCCTGAAAAATCGACATAGTGTGTCTCATCTACTCTTAATTCATCACAACATGTACATGAAAACCATGAGTATGGTGTTGAGAGACCACAGAATACAACGAGTGAGTGAGTGAGTATGGTTTTACGCCGCTTTTAGCAATATTCCAGCAATATCACGGCGGGGGACACCAGAAATGGGCTTCACACATTGTACCCATGTCGGGAAATCGAACCCGGGTCTTCCGCGTGACGAGAGAATGCTTTAACCACTAGGCTACCCGACCGCCCCCAGAATACAACGAAGTGGATTCAGGGACTTGAACAGCAGCTACTGTCAGCAAGGGGACAGCACTCTGCTCAGTGAGTTGCAGCAGTTCGACCATTTCAATGATGATTCTACACTTGACTCATTCGAAGAAATTTAAAAATTTAATCAACCTCCCTCTCAATCATTACATGCATGAGTGAGTGAGTATGGTTTAACGCCAATTTTTGCAATATTCCCACAATATCAGGAGGGAAAACAGAAACAGGCTTCACACATTGTATCAATGTGGGGAATCAAACCTGGGTCTTTGGCGTGACGAGTGACCGATTCCACCACTAGGCTACCTCCCCGGCCCCATTACAATCATAAAGTCTTTCAGAACTCTTACTCACGAAAACACAGCATGCTGATCCTCACTGGATAAAGATGAATGGAGAGGCACGATCTTGTATCTGAAAACAGGAGGTTAGTGGAGCATGGTTTTACACTACTCTCAATAGATTGTATTCAAGAAATTTCAATGATAAAATGTAACAAACAAACAATGAAATACGGGTTACAAGGCCAAACTGGATCATTAGAAGCTTTATTAACCTCATAAATATCAATCTATGTTTTATATAGTTATCAAAGGTCCATTTGCATGTTTGGTTCCAAGTTCAGTTTAGCGTGGTCACAGGTAACCTAGCCCTATCACTAGTGTGCTTTTACAGATACAGTAGGTTTATATCCACATGTAACAGTTTAGCCTATGACTTGGCAGTAGGGTACAAAATGAATCAAATCAAATGCAACAAGACAAAAAGTGAGCAGGGCTCACTAATGCCCCGACTTTGACTCCAAACTATTTCTAAGTTCAAAACATGAAAAGAAAAAAACAACATTTCTCAGAAAATCTGATTAACGAAATCAAACTTTGCACTGCACCTCTCCTACTGGTTTAGATATTGTACCCTCAATTGGAAAAGAATCCATGCAGTAGTTTTCAAGTTATAGGTAGCATAAATGTTTCAGTAAATAATTTAAGTAAAATATTAAAATCTAAATATTGAAATCAAACTTCACACTGCACCTCTCTTATAGGTATAAAAAGTGTTCATGAAGTTTGAAAAGAATCGATGTAGTAGTTTTCAAGTTATAGATCACACAAAAAAATGTCCTCGGACAGACAGAAGGATGGACGAAAGGATGGACGAAAGGCCGGATGGACAGAATTCTTTAGTATGACTATATACCCCGGCCCTTTTAAATCAGGTGTATAATTAGAAAACATAGCCGCAGCTATCCTTGTTCCTAACAAAACTCTATTCCTTCTCTCACTCACCTGCCCCTATTCCTGCTCCCAAACTCTTTGCTTGTCATCAGCATGTCATACAAGGTCTGTATCTCAGCAAAACCAGGCATGAAGATTAAAATAGCCCCATCCTTGCGGTACTGAAAGTAAAGATTTACAATACAAGCATTCTTGATGGACAAACATTGTTTGATAAACCATCACTGAATGCTTAACAGTACGCACCAGTATGTTAACGACAAGAAGGTATTTCAATATTCATATTGCCTTTGGGGTCCCTATGCTATTTTCAAAAATGGAAGTTTCAAAACTCCAATATGTCTGCTCAGCATGTTCAGTACAAGTGAGAACCAACAACCAAGAACTATACTCAGTAACAAAAGTTTAGCAACACCGTATTTTAATACACAAAATAGAAAACTCAACAGAGAAATGGGTTTTTATTATCTTGACCATTGTGTAGTTCAATGTGGCATTCATGAATGTTCGACACAGTTGTGACAGCAATAGGAGAGATAAGGAAAAGTCACTCAAAGGACATGGGGGTTTGTTGACCATTTTCACACATGACTGTTGCTATCCCTCAGTAGCGAGTGTGACGCCCACCGGCCTGTTGTACCGCCACACAATCTTTACGCATTCCTCTAATGAGCTTCCTGATCTCACCAAGAGTGATGGTTGCCCATGCTTGTTGGAGGGCAAGGCCAAGGTCACGAATGTTGTTGACGTTAGGATGGTTCCTTCTTAAACGTCTCCCAAGGATATACCAGGCGTGTTCAATGGGAGCAAGATCTGGAGATCTAGCCGGCCAATTGAGGACGTCAACGTTGTGTTGTTGCAACAGATTCTGAGTCAGTCGAGCTGTGTGGAGGCGCGCATTGTCTTGTTGGAAGATGTGTCCAGGGTGAGCTCTCATGAACGGTAGAACCACTGGCGTTATCACCTGATCGCAGTACCGTTGGGCAGTCAGAGTGTTGTTCAGCACAATGAGGTCTGTTTTCCCACCCCAGTGGATTCCTCCCCAAACCAATACACTTCCTCCACCATATCGATCATGTTGAATGACGTTATTAGGGTCAAATCTCTCTCTACGTCGTCGCTATATGCGGGCTCTTCGATCCGTAAACCGAAGGCAGAAACAGATCCATCTGTGAATAACACTTGTCTCCATTGTGTATGGCGCCATCTTTGGTGGCTCCGTGTCCACGCGACTCGGTCTTGGATGTGACGTAGCGTTAAGGGGATGCGTCGAAGTGGACGTCGAGCCCGCAAACCGGCTGAATGGAGGCGATTACGGATAAGCTGTGCATGTACACGTGTTCCAGTTGCGCGATGAAGTGCTTGAGCAAGTTCTGGTGCACTGTTTAGTTGATTACGTCGTGATGACGTCATAATGTAGCGATCTTCCCTTGCTGTGGTGTTACGGGTCTACTGCTGCGGGCTCGATCTTTCACGGTCCCAGTCTGTGCAACACGTGTCTGTAGACGGGAAATGGTGCTGTAAAGCAAATTAAAGTGTCTCCCAACTTGTCTCAAGCTCATCCCTGCCCTTAACATGCCAATGGCCAATGGCATTCCTCTCCGTCGACCCATAATTTAAATTGTGTAGCGTCCAGTGTTTCCCTTTCAACAATGAGTGCCACTAATGTTTCATCGAGGTTTTATAGCGATTCATGTGACGAGATTCACTGGCGTCCCAATGTGAATAAAATCATGTGCCATGCATGTGTAAATGAAGATGTCACTAAAAATCAGCGTAACTTGGTGTGATGGTGCGATATGTTCTCTCCGTGAAGTCAGTGCATTAGTCCGTTTCTGACATTTTCTCATTTTCAAATAATGCTTAAGATTTGAGTGTTGCTAAACTTTTGTTACTGAGTGTATTTATTTATCTATCCATTTATCAACTGCGTAAAAACACTTTGCTACATCAACATATAGCCTTTACCTTCACTGATCAGTATCTATCAATATCAATGTCAATACTTAGAATATCACTGTGATATGTTTATCAAATTTCCAAGTGTTTTTCAAGTGGATTACCTCATGTTTCCCACCCACAATCCACTCCAGTATAGCTACAATGAGGTCAAAGTTGATTTTCTCCATGTCCATAATAGCCATAGCCTTGATGGTCGACTTGTGGTATTCTGGAAAATATGGATCCGAAAACAAAGTAAGCAAATGGAATACTCCAGCTGTATATCACATCATGACACACAATCAGCCATGACACACACTGGGAACCATGACACACAATCAGCCATGACCCACACTGGGAACCATGACACACAATCAGCCATGACCCACGCTGGGAACCATGACACACAATCAGCCATGACCCACACTGGGAACCATGACACACAATCAGCCATGACCCACGCTGGGAACCATGACACACAATCAGCCATGACACACACTGGGAACCATGACACACAATCAGCCATGACACACACTGCGCACCATGACACACAATCAGCCATGACCCACACTGGGAACCATGACACACAATCAGCCATGACCCACACTGGGAACCATGACACACAATCAGCCATGACACACACTGGGAACCATGACACACAATCAGCCATGACACACACTGCGCACCATGACACACATCCAGCCATGACCCACACTGGGAACCATGACACACAATCATCCATGACCCACGCTGGGAACCATGACACACAATCAGCCATGACACACACTGCGCACCATGACACACAATCAGCCATGACCCACACTGGGAACCATGACACACAATCAGCCATGACACACACTGGGAACCATGACACACAATCAGCCATGACACACACTGGGAACCATGACACACAATCAGCCATGACACACACTGGGAACCATGACACACAATCAGCCATGACACATGGTGGGAACCATGACACACAATCAGCCATGACACACACTGGGAACCATGACACACAATCAGCCATGACACACACTGGGAACCATGACACACAATCAGCCATGACACACAATCAGCCATGACACACGCTGCGCACCATGACACACAATCAGCCATGACACACACTGGGAACCATGACACACAATCAGCCATGACACACACTGCGCACCATGACACACAATCAGCCTTGACCCACACTGGGAACCATGACACACAATCAGCCATGACACATGCTGGGAACCATGACACACAATCAGCCATGACACATGCTGGGAACCATGACACACAATCAGCCATGACCCACGGTGGGAACCATGACACACAATCAGCCATGACACACACTGGGAACCATGACACACAATCAGCCATGACCCATGCTTGGAACCATGACACACAATCAGCCATGACACACGTTGGGAACCATGACACACAATCAGCCATGACACACACTGGGAACCATGACACACAATCAGCCATGACCCACGGTGGGAACCATGACACACAATCAGCCATGACATACACTGGGAACCATGACACACAATCAGCCATGACACATGGTGGGAACCATGACACACAATCAGCCATGACACACACTGGGAACCATGACACACATCCAGCCATGACCCATGCTAGGCACCATGACACACATCCAGCCATGACCCATGCTAGGCACCATGACACACAATCAGCCATGACACACACTGGGAACCATGACACACAATCAGCCATGACACACACTGGGAACCATGACACACAATCAGCCATGACCCACACTGGGAACCATGACACACAATCAGCCATGACACACACTGCGCACCATGACACACAATCAGCCATGACACACAATCAGCCATGACACACAATCAGCCATGACACACAATCAGCCATGACACACACTGGGAACCATGACACACAATCAGCCATGACACACAATCAGCCATGACACACAATCAGCCATGACACACGGTGGGAACCATGACACACAATCAGCCATGACCCATGCTGGGAACCATGACACACAATCAGCCATGACACACGGTGGGAACCATGACACACAATCAGCCATGACACACGGTGGGAACCATGACACACAATCAGCCATGACACACGCTGGGAACCATGACACACAATCAGCCATGACACACGCTGGGAACCATGACACACGTTGCGCACCATGACACACAATCAGCCATGACACATGCTGGGAACCATGACACACAATAAGCCATGACCCATGCTGGGAACCATGACACACAATCAGCCATGACACACGCTGGGAACCATGACACACAATCAGCCATGACACACACTGGGAACCATGACACACAATCAGCCATGACACACACTGGGAACCATGACACACAATCAGCCATGACACACGCTGGGAACCATGACACACAATCAGCCATGACACACGCTGGGAACCATGACACACAATCAGCCATGACCCACGCTGGGAACCATGACACACAATCAGCCATGACACACACTGGGAACCATGACACACAATCAGCCATGACACACGCTGGGAACCATGACACACAATCAGCCATGACCCACGCTGGGAACCATGACACACAATCAGCCATGACCCACGCTGGGAACCATGACACACAATCAGCCATGACCCACGCTGGGAACCATGACACACAATCAGCCATGACACACACTGGGAACCATGACACACAATCAGCCATGACCCACGCTGGGAACCATGACACACAATCAGCCATGACATACACTGGGAACCATGACACACAATCAGCCATGACCCACGGTGGGAACCATGACACACAATCAGCCATGACATGCACTGGGAACCATGACACACAATCAGCCATGACACACGCTGGGAACCATGACACAATCAGCCATGACACACACGGGGAACCATGACACACAATCAGCCATGACACACACTGCGCACCATGACACACAATCAGCCATGACGCATAGGTTTCTGGCGTTCCCAAGGGACACAACTCTGCACAGCAAATTGCGGCGCCTTAGACCACTGGGCAATCGTCAGTCAGTTAGGCATGCATGGTGCATTGCTCAGCCTGGCTTTGTTTCACAAAACGATCTCCACACCCACACCCTGCAATAATATAAGCTATCCAACACCCACCTGTAAAAGATAGTCTTTGCCAGACAACCCAGTCATTGATATTATAAGCAATGAGCCAAAGCATTGGGATTCGATGACACACCATCAAACAAGTCAAAAAGTTATTTCTAACAATCAGTATAGGATGCTGACGACTTTTGACATCCAGAATCCCCACGGGGTCAATTACTACGAAGGTTACAAGGAACCTACAATATAGTACAAAAGCAAGCAGCTCAGGTCAAACACATTCCATTAATGCCATAACACTGACAGACCTAGGAATCAGATGAACAAAATGGCCACATTAAGGGACAAGGCCTTGTTATTTCTTGTAATTGCATAGTATAAAATGTTAGCAACAACTTTCATCATAAACATGATGAGTGGGTATTGTTTTACGATGCTTTTGGCAATACTCCAGCAACATAACAGCGAGGGACACCAGAAATGGGCTTCACACATTCTACCCATGTGGGGAATCGAACCAGGGTCTTCGGCGTGATGAGCAGAATCTTTAACCACGAGGCTACCCCACTGCCCCATAAACATGATGAATGATTGGTTTATTCAGATTCCTACCACTGTATCTGTAGAAGAGTTGCTTGACAGACAGGTTGTCATCCCTGATGTTGTCTTTGGCTGGCTCCACCATCACAGTGTTCCCTATCTCCTCCAGTTCATCATGGATGTCGTCTGCTGATATACGACCTTGACCTCTCCCTGGCTGGGCACGCATGGCATTGCTTCGCTTGATTGGGCGGGCATAGGCAGAATTCTCTTCCATAACAAATCTGTAATTGTGATCGTTCTTGTAATGTACTGATTTAAGGTAATGGATGCGACATTTAATAGGTAATAATCCTCAATGGACTGGTGCCATACAGTTCAGAAGCTGACCACCAACTTCTACTGGAATCCAGCCTGAGCTCAGTTAATTCTCAACAGCAGATGCCATGTGTAACCATGGGTTTCTAAATTCTAGGAAGGAATGACATTTTCTTTATGATTCAATCAACAATAGGCAAACACAGAAATTTGAAAAAAAGGAAGGTGCCCTCTCTACCCTGTTATTCAAGAGAACAACATCCAACAGTGACACATCAAATGTTGTTTTCTTTGTTGTTTAATGATGCACTCAGCCACATATCTTAAGTTATATGACAGCGGTCTGTAAATAATTGAGTCTGGACCCAGTGTCTGAAATAACCTGCCCCCCTGCCCATGGCTGGTAACTTTTCTGTCAGGCTGCATGAAATTTTCCTTCACCTGTCTGGCAAATAATTTTAAGACTACTTACATATTCGGTTTTATTATAACTCTTCATAGACTCTCAAGTAATTGTTTGCATTATTTCAACTGAATCAAGACGCGATTTTACAATATTCATAATGTCTGAATGTGGGCAGGAAAGTTTGTAGATGGGCAGGCAACACTTATGGGTCACCTGACCGACTGTCTTGTTGGGGTTCTAAAATTATTTCGAATATGACTGGACCAGACAACTCAGTTACTGATAGCAATTTGGGCACAATGACATATAATCAACCAAATCGCTGAATCGCATCACTACCATCACAGCAAGCCGGGGACACGACTGATGCACAGGATCCCATCCTTGAAGTGACTCATCAGACATGACAATAACTTCCACTCCTTGCATTAATTTTTCTTATGTATATACATCAATATGAATAAGTTATAATCATCACACTGCTGTAATGGCAATGAACGTGCTCTCCCTGCTTACCTTGTGTATTCAATGGCATCTTCTAGGAAGAACTGATCAACAGGGAAGGTCCTTCCTGTCAAACAAACAGACATGTGTATATCGTCCACACTTCAGCAAACACCTGCTCTTTGGGGAAGTAAAGCAAGAAACAACCATCTTCCTGAGCCAAGGGAGTTAACTGACTATAAAGTCCAGTTTCCACCCTTGATGAACTAGACAGGAATTAAAGAATTACATTTTGGCTGGACTAACAAGTCTATGCATTGAGCAATGAAAAATCGTGTAACGAAATCAACATGCGGTTTGTAAACTGCCGTGCAGATCTTTCGGCCGATTGCAGGATTTGCAAAGCATGTGTACCTACAACTTAGCATCAACAGATATTTTCCAAATCTTTTCATACTTTTAATCAAGGTGCTCTCGTGATTTGATGCCCTTTGTGAAGTAAGACCCATTTTATAACAAAATAGATCTTGATTGTCGATCAGATCATCCTCACTGGGCGACGCCATTTTACTTGAAGCAAATACAAGTGATGTGAGAGGTAGAATCTGATTGGTCAAAAAGGAGGGCCATAGAAGGGACATAACTCATAATAGCCTCCAGTGGTGCCACAATCGAGCCCAGAAATTCCAGCATAGTTCGACAATGGTGGGTACTGGACTTTTTTAACTCCCTTGCCTCAGGAAGATGGAAACAACAGTCTCATTAACCACTGAATATACATGTCAGAATACATAGTACAAAAAGTTGGGAGGAAAATATTTTTCCAAGCATTGAAAACTGACTGTGGTGATCCTGCAGTAGAGAAATCATTTCCTATATGTAAATGATCAAGGCAAAATGTAAGTCCTCCAAATATTTTCAACTGAGAAATTTTCTAAAATTTAATAGATCATTTAATTCCTCGGTCAAATATATACTCTCTGGATTACATATCTTTACTATGCTTAAACAAATAGCAAATAATTTGCAATTAGAGAACAGGAACTATCTAGAGTAAGACAATGGTTAGGATATGTTTTTCTGGAAAGGTTTCTGAAAATATCTCCTTATTGGAATCACTTGTATGAACTGCTCAACTTACCAGGAATCTCCAAGACAGGGCACTCTTTGAAGTAGTGTGAGAACAGATCAGCATTCAAGGTCGCACTCATCAGTATCACTTTGAGGTCATGCCGCACGCGCAAGAGGTTACGCAATATCATTATCAGAAAGTCACTGGAAAACATTGAAAAAGTCTTGAAATAAGAAGCTAATACTCAACTTTGTAAGATAAGTTGACAAATTAACCTTTTTTTTCTACACATTTTTTTACACACTGCCACTGTCTAAAGATAAATACATCCTAACATTAAAGTCAAGTCCATACTCCGTCAAAAGGACTAAGACTTATGAACAAATTATGTCTTAATCATGTGTCAAAAGGTTGTGATCTTAAAACCTCAGACTGCACTAAGCAACTGTAGGAAGAGACATTGCAGGCATCTCTAGAAGACTTACCTGTCTTCTGATCGTTCATGTACTTCATCAATAATGAGATGTGTAACGCCCTCAAGGCTTGGGTCACCTTCCAGTTGTCGGAGAATTATTCCTGTCGTGCAGAACAGCAAGCGTGTCCATGCAGACTGAAAGTGTGAGAACGGTGTAAGAATGGTGTTGGATTGTACACTGAAACATCGCTTTGACTTTAATAACGAAATAGATCGTTCATGTGTTTGACTAATGTAAAGAAAGAAGATGAAGTTGATATGACTTCATATGGGTGAGAGACTTTGGTTAAGGAGCTGGCTCATCACGCCGTAGATCTGGGTTCAAACCCTATATGGAAAAAATGTGTGAAGCCCATTTCTGGCGTCTCCTCGATAGTTGTGATACGCCTGGAACATTACTTAGTGGCATAAGGTGGGCTGTCAAACATGTCCACTAGCCTATATCAAAGCCTAGTTTCTACCCTTGCCACATCAAGCCCACTTTTCTTGGCTTGACCCTGGTGCCACCTCAAGTAGATGAAGAGTTGTCCCCTTGTAATGAAGATGTGATATCCATTCAGATCGCTGTTCTTATCTAGTAACTATAGGTCGATCATATAAAGCAAACATTCACAATTTCATCCCTGACATAAAAACAAATGCAATCGTTGGTGTGTGTGTGTGTGTGTGTGTGTGTGTGTGTGTGTGTGTGTGTGTGTGTGTGTGTGTGTGTGTGTGTGTGTGTGTGTGTGTGTGTGTGTGTGTGTGTGTGTGTGTGAGAGAAAGATGAAAAACATATTCAATTCAACAAAGACAGGCAGAGGTAAATCACTTTCATAGACCAGCCGTGGATGTTGATTTTATGAAACATTCTCTGATTGGACTATTGATATGTGTGATACTCCAGTCATATTTAGCACAGGAAAGTGGGCTTGATGTGGCAAGTGTTGAAACAAGACTTTGATAAAAAGGCTAGTGGACGCTCTTGCCTTGGGAAGAAGAAGGTGTGCTTGGATGAAATGTGGTTTAACGTCACGTTACAGACTACACTAATAGAGCGATTTGCATGAATGTGTGCATGAGGCTGCTTGTTCTAGTCCAAACTACAGTGCTAGCCAACTGAGATGCAATGCCACAGTTAACATGGATAACCAACTATACTGACTCCGATTTTTCAAGATATTTTACGCCCGTTTCCTAAGGTTCATGGAAAGTATGTTTGAAACATAAAAATGTTGATAAACATTGTTTAAAGTTTCTTTTTTCAGTTTATAAGTTAGATAAAACACCTTCCCTCGGTTATTTATGATATTAAAACCCTTATCATTGGGATAAAACCTCGGGGCTGAAGTTCCTTGGTCTTATCCCACGGATGCATGTTTTAAATATCATAAAACCCCTCAGAAGAGATTTACCCTACACATGAAGGCGACATACATGACATGATATCCGTGGGACATTACATGGGCTGTATGACTATCATACCTGCTTGCTCTCCAGTCTGATCTGGTAGCCAACACTCCGCCCTAATTTTTCACATCGTTCATCGGCCACCCTCTCAGCCACAGATATTGCAGAGATACGTCGCGGCTGTGTACAGATGATGTTACACATCTTCATGCTCTTGGACCTGAGGTATTTATCCAGGATAAACTGGGGCACTTGTGTAGTTTTTCCACACCTGCCAAACAGAATCAGATGTGCTACAATCAGTCTCACACCATGCTCTAATTTTAGCTAATTTACAAACAAATCATAGAAAAGAAAATTTCAAGAGCCAATACAATTTCATGACATGCATACTTAAATATGGAATAAAAAGATAAGTAGACTTCAGAATTCAGTTTTACAGTGCAATTGAAGTAACATAACATTAAATATCAAATTAGTTCATGAATCATCTAAGGCGCCGCATTTCGATGTGCAAAGTTGCGTCCCTTGGACACGCCAGAAACCTATCCCGGTTCGCCCCGATTTTGTTTCTAGGTTTGTCAGCACCGTACCAGTGCTTGTGAGTTTCACCAAATTGGTAATTGTCTGAGACCTGCATTACTTCAGGCCTTCCTCCCAAATCAAGCTGACATGCCATGATATAACTTGAATACAGTTCAAAGTGGCGATAAACCCAAATCATTCATTCATAAGAGCCATGAAATCTGATGACCAATATTCAAAGAGTAGAAAGTGAAGTTTAAAGCTGTTTTGGAATTAAGAAGTCAAAAAATGGCCTTATGACATTTCATGGGTGTCAAATGTAGAATCTGGTCCCCAAATAAGGTGTTACCCCTACCCTGTCATTCCACTGATGACGACAACCTGGTTGCTCTCTATGGTCTCCACAATCTCATCTTGTCTGTCCCAGGCCGGGAGTTTGCCACGCTGAGCAATCATATTCTTGTAACTACCCGATGACTAGTAATCAAAGAAAATGTTCACACAGTGAAAGAAGGAAAAAGATGGGCATTGATATTCAAACAATAATTATAATACAATAGAAAAAAATTATGGATAACAACTTCTTTAATGTACTATTATAGCGATGTTGCAGTATAGATCCTTATAACATTGTCAAGCAAGTACATTAAACATTTGTTAAAGAAGTTGTTGTCTACTTTGTCATCCATCAACTTCTAAGAGTTGGGGTTTAACATCGCTTCCAAGATTATTGTGCTTATAGAGCAACGTGCATGCAAGTGTGTGTGTGTGTGTGGCTGCTTATACTAGTCCAGACTGATGCCGATTTATAGTGCTAGCCCACTAAGATACCATGCCTCAGTTTGATATGAATACCCCACTCAGACACAGTATACTCGGACTCTGCGCCGACCAGTCCTTGTTTTAGCCCCTTAATGACAAGGCAAGGTAACAACAAGTATCATTGTCTAACGTTTGGTTCGTTTGGAATCGAACCCCGCACCTTCCGCTCTCTGGGCAGATGCTCTACCACTAGGCCACCGAGGCAATCCTCAGGCAGACCTGTTGAGTAGTTGCTGAAACATTTCATGACCAGTAAATTTCATTAACAACTTTAAACTAGAGTTTGGTTACACATATTACACACAGTGGTTACACATATTACACACAGTGATGTCTCAGTGTTACAAAAGAATTATTCACATTTCAATGAATCTGACTGACCTGTTTCTTTTCAAAGTCGTCCTTCATGAGTCTGTTCTTCTTGAATAGCTCTGTTTTGTTTATCCTTCTTGGGACAACATCCTTCCTTCCATATTTCTGTGTCGGAATAACTTCCTCCACGACAGCATTCTTCTCCCCTTCCTTCTCCATCATCTCAACCATCTTCGCCACCTGCTCATCATCATCCTCCTCATCATCATCAACACCTTGGTCAGCAGACGCTCCAAAGTTGCCCTCCTCAAGAATGCGGAACTGATTCCGGGATATGATGGCCTTGGGCACGCTGAACTCCAGAGGAGGTTGTTCCACCAGACTCTGCAACACCCCATCATCTTCCAGCAGACTCAGCAGAGTAAATATCACAGGCTCGTGGTGCTCGGAAAGACTTTTGGCTTCTTCTATTAAGAAACGTGTTATATGCAGGCAGCTGTGAGTTGGGAGGAAAGGGTGAGAGGAGGAGAAGACTAGAAAGGGGGGTTCCCGGGGATATTTATTCCCAGGTGGGAACCGCACCTCCAGTTGATATGAACTGTTCATTTTGGTATGCTGTTCCTCAACACTGTCCTCGTCAGGGTTTAACACAGAATGCTTGTGCCGACATTTACTTCCAAATTTACATGACCCTTTTTGAAAATATTTACATATATTTTTGTCGTACTGTCGTTTGACCATCTGCCTAGGTTTCGAGGGTGTAGGATGAAGTATTTGGTTCAGAGATTCAAGATCAAGATGGAGAATCCATATTTTGTTTGCTATCCTCTCTTCGAACTTATCGTCATAGATCGACTGTAAGGCTGTCATCTCCTCCATGCGAGCGTCCAGTATCTCCTGCCATTCCTCAGACGTCTGCTCGCCGTCTTGGGGCACGTCCACTTTCAGGAGATTGAAACTCTCACACAGTAAACGCTCCAGAGAAGCCCCTATGTCTTCATCACATGCTTTCAGGGCCTCAATACACCTTTCTTTGTCAAACCCATACCTGCAAAGTAAGATCAAACCATATCACAGCAACACCCCAATGCATGACAATCATACTGGAGACACATGAAGATCCGGGATAGAATAGGTCTTCAGCAGCCCAAGCTTGCCGTAAAAGGTGACTGTGCTTGTCCTAAGAGGCGACTAACGGGATCGGGTGGTCAGGATCGCTGACTTGGTTGACGCATGTCATTGTATCCCAATTGAGTGGATCGATGCTCATGATGTCAATCACTGGATTGTCTGGTCCAGACTCGATTATTTACAGACCGCCGTCATATAGCTGGAATATTGCTGAGTGCGGCGTTAAACAACAAACCAACAAACCAACCAATCATACAGGACTTTGATCATAGAACTCCAAGGGTAGGTGCTGGTGCAGTGGTCCAAGACTCTTTCTTTTCAACCAGGCATATGCTGGTTGGTATTCAGGGCTATGGACTAATGATAGTGATAATTTGAGTCAGAATTCCTTAAAAATTCAAACACAACTAATCACACGGAGTGAAATTTTTACAAATGCCGGGATGAGAATGGATATTTTTCCTTTTCAGATGAAACTTCTTTGCAATGGAACGTGGTCCACAATTTGGGGTGTTTATGAGTGAGTGAGTGAGTTGGGTTAAACGCCTCTTTTAACAGTATTCCAGTTATATCACGGGGTGTCAGCTTATTGTGGGAGGAAAGCCCGAAGTGATGCAGGTCTCAGACGTTTACCACTTCGGTGAAACCAACGAGCATGGGTATGGTGCGGACAAACCTAGAAATATAATCGGGGAACTGGGGTTCCTGGCTTGCCCAGGGGGTATTTATTGGGGAAGCCATCAGATTTTACCAAATTTGTGGTCACAAAAATTCGTGGTTCTGCGGAAAATTCTCACCCCTGCATATGTGACCAACCATGAGATGAGGGACCTTTTGGGTGAAAAATCACATTTTGATCTCTAATTATATTTTAAAACTACAGTATCTAAGGACCACAAAAATTCATAAGATTCAATTCATATTTATTACAGAGCCATATGGCATCAACCATTTGGACTCATAAAGAAGATTTTTGCTTTTTGCTGATGGAGCCTATATACAAGGCCAGGGGGAGGGGAGGGGAGAGGAGGACCTGGGGACTGTAGAATATAGAATAGGTACATTGCAGTATACGTGTGCCACTAAATGAAGAGTTTGCACTTCATTTTGACATAATTCTCCAAATCAAAAGTATTCTAGCATTGACCTTCATATAAAGCTTTCATACACGGTGTACATCCTCTATATCTCCTGGGCTGCCTTTTCAGTAAACCAACACTAACCCTTGGATCTTTTTCCGTGATTCTCGTGATCTCAAATTACCCACCCTTGACACATGTAATAAATTTCTCTTCCTCACAATCTTGAAATCAGCAACCAATCAAAATGACTTCTGGATGAGATTTTGGCATTGACATAATTTCAAAATGGCAGTCTTAAACCAGCGTGCCCTAGACACATCTTTTAGCCGACAAAAGGAGAGGGAATTCTTCTGCTATCAAGTGTTCCCAGTTGTATCTGAGATATTCAACAAGGTAGGTCAAGTACTGGTGATATCCCATCAATCAGTAAAGAACAATGCATTTGACTGGCTATTTTAAGCATTGTTATTCAAACTGGACCCAATGCAAAAATATGGTGGGGAATGAATTCAGACAACATATCCTAATAGTATGGCGATATAATACCCTGGAGTATAGAAAATGGGAGACCAGCATCCAGTTTACAGGCATGGCTCTTGACACCCACTATTCCAGTACTGCTACCATGGCTACCAACACCTAACACAATACCGCATCCATTTCATCAATGAACATAATCAGAGGCCTTAGGCCAAAGCACATTGTTACATATTGTGAGACTTTACAAACCTTGCAAGTTTCTGAATTCCAAACTGATTGATAGTTTTAGGAGCCTTGGCTCTTTTTGGTGTCTCTCCAACATCTTCAGCATGGCCATAGAAAGCAAAGCTGCAGCCATCTTCAATCTGCAAGGGCTGCTGTGTGATCCAGTAATGGTGGTTATCTCTTGTATCCAGTTCATCATACTCATCTTGTCTGTAACACCACAATCAGATGAACCCTCTGACAAACACGCGCAGTACAGCACAACTATTAATCTGGAGAAATTTATTATCTTGTCTTAAGAAGACTTACAGTGAGTGAGTGAGTATGGTTTTACGCCGCTTTTAGCAATATTCCAGCAATAACACAGCGGGGGACACCAGAAATGGGCTTCACACTTTGTTCCCATGTCGGGAATCGAACCCAGGTCTTTGGCGTGACGAGCGAACGTTTTACCACTAGGCTACCCGACCGCCCCAAGAAGACTTACAAGGTTACTGCTAATAATAATGATCGTATAATTACTAAATTAAGATAAAGATTCAAGCTTTTACCACTGGTTTACAAAAACATTTGTGTAAAAATCAAATGTAAATTGTTCAAGAAACTCTAATCATTATTTTATTGAGGTGCCGCAATTTGCTGTGCAGAGTTGCGTCCCTTGGACATGTCAGAAACCTATGGTCGTGGGTTTGACGTGATTATGATTCTATGTTGGTTAGCACCATACCCATGCTCGTGGGTTTCACCAAAGTGGTAAACATTTAAAAACTGGATCAAATGGGGCTTTCCACCAACATTAAGCTGTGATATCATTAGACTACCGTTCAAAGCAGCATCAAACACAGCTCACTCACTCACTCTTATTGATTATCCAAAGAAAATATGTGATGGTCAGGGTTCTTACTCAGGCATATCCAGTTCCTCCCCGTGCAGGTCTCGCAGCATGTCTCGTACCATCTCCTGGTTCTCTGTGCTCATCTGCAGATGCTGCATTGTGACCTTGACCTGTGGCCCATTGTGCCGGCGCTTTGGGGCTGTGTATCTGAGTTTAATCAAATTATCAAGCTTGTATTTTTTGACAACTGAACTTAGAATTAATAACTTAGAAATATAATTAAGATCCTGAAGTTGATACTGTGATATGACATTTTGTGATGATATTTTTCTTGTGTGTATTATAAGTTGCAGCAATATCACCTAGCGGTATCACCCTAACATGGGACACATGAAGCCACATCTATCCAACGTATTCCCCACGACGTACCTCACATGATACTGCTACAATGAATTTATCTTATCAACATGTTTTAATCTGCCATTTAAAAAGAATTTTTAAAAATCAAAATTGATAGAAATTGAGCTGCAGACAACTTTCATTGGCTCGGAAAAAGCGTGCAGCCTTTCAGTTTGAGGTGGGATGTATTCTCCCACTCAGAAAGCCATGTGCAGCCTGTCTTCTTCATGGCGGGGTATTAGGGATATAATCACCCACTCAGAAATGTATTTCCCTCCCTGGTGGGATGCATAGTATTTTATCAAGATCAGACCCAATCAGATCTCATCATTCTGACACGGAGGTATTGTAGAAGGCTTTGTATTCGTCAGCAAAGAGGGCATGATATTCTTAATAAGCAAACCTAAATCTATCAAAGAAAACATCTGTATTTGACAGCATACATATAGCCCCAAAATGATATTTACAGGAGACAAACTTGCTTAGAGGCAACAAAACATGATATGAGGCGGAAGAAGGTTTACAGCCACAATAACATCTCATCCTACCGGGTACCCATTCAATACAGAGACTGTAGTGTAAAAAGTGTGTCTGAATTTCACCTTATTTAACTTTTTTCACTATGTCCTCTTTGAAAGATGTAATGTCCATCATTTAATCCTTCCATTGCCTACATCCCAATAATGTTGAATATTAAAATAGGTTTTTTTTACCCTCTATCATAATCATCATCATCAAGGGGCAATCCATCCAGGGGGTGGTCTTCCCAGTCATATTTATCATCAAGCCCCTTCCTTGTGAAACCTGATCCACCTCCTCGGGAACCTCCACGCGGACTTGCTTGCTGGCCTCGTCCACGGCCCCCTCTTCCTCTCTGGCCACGCCCTCGAGTAAATCTTCCTCCTCCTCTGTTTGGGCGTCCACGCCTTTTAACTGGCCTGCCTTCCATTTGAACTACAGAAGTATCCATAAAATGTATATGTCTTATATTATATACTGTGTTTCTGTGACTGGGAAATCATTACAGGACAAGGTAATAGGTCTGCATAATTGAAGAAACTAGCAAAACCTTCAGACAAATTGTTATGATAGTGAGCAGACGTGTTCATAGGAACAAGAATTAAACTGTTCATTTCAACATTGCATGCTTTGATTTTGGTTTGTTTGTCAATCTCATTAAAATTTAGATCTTAGTTCTCGCTACCACTAAACAAAGATCTGAGGACATCTCATTACGGGTCACGTCAGTCCGACCTTGCACAAACTTTGACTGACCAATGGAATGACCATTCTGAAGGAAGCTTTCTCGTGCTTTACGGCACTAATTTCAAATTGGCGACCATGCTTCGAAAGTTATTTGACAAATTCTCGATTACAAATTTGAAACCTGAACAAATGAACATTCTGGAATGGCTAATAGATGGTCTAGATTGTATGGATTCAGACGTAACTATCGTTCGGAATACCCCATGTTAAAGTTTTCATGGTTGCACGATTAGAAATCCCATTCCGACTGTCACTTTCATGATCTGGTAAGCGACGCTCTGATTAGTCGGACGAAAGGACGTTCTGACATGACCCCTAATGGGATGTCTTCAGATCTTTGTTTAGCGATAGCGAGAACTGAGGTCTGATTTTAATGAGATTGGTTTGTTTGTTTGTTGTTTAACTCCGCACTCAACAATATTCCAGTTATATGAGAGTGGTCTGTAAATAATTAAAGCTGGACCAGACAATCCAGTGAGTGATATCATGAACATCGATCCACTCAATTGAGATACGAACACATGCATCAACCAAGTCAGTGAGCCTGACCACCCGATCCCATTAGTTGCCTCTTACAACAAGCATAGGCGCCTTCTACGACAAGCATGGTTTGCTGAAGACCTATTCTTACACAGATCTTCACAGGTCTGCATGTTTTGAACTTACCAGGATTACAAAATTACATTTAGTTGCAACTAAAATGTGTTGAAAAGGCTGAATTTAGAGTTTTTCAGGAAGCCTTTTCTAGTGTGTGATAATAAGCATTGATATGTAGACCTAAATGCATAATAAAAGTCTTTGATCAAAGCTCATATTGTCTTTAGACATGTTCAAACATATGGAAAACAAATCATCTTTAGTGAGAGAAATGGTCATACTTAAACTATCCCTTGAAGTCCTGAAACGTCATCCTTTCACCATCTTTACGATAATTTTAGACTTTCTCTGATCATGTTACGTGATTCAAACTTGCAAGCACAATAAAGGGAAAAGACTAGTTGTCAACTATTTTAAGTATATTCATTTTTGCGCGATTGCATTACCCTAAAGTATGAGTTGCCAGACACATTTCAATAGTCTATAGGTCCTTGATGATTTCACTAGACCAGAGAACATCTGTCTCTGACTAGATACACTTACTGGGACGGTGCTGCTTCCTAACAACTACAGTTGACAACAAGACATCTGCAAGACGTGATCAGATCTGTCAAATGTCGGTTAGTTGTGCAATATTCAAACAGATAAGAAGTAACCCAAGTATCCGAAAACGGACTGAGCATTATGGTATGATCACTTGCGAGAATAAACAGTCACAATTCTAAGAAAGAGGTTTCGTAGAACGGTATTTATAGATCACCTGTGTATCTACTTTCTCTCTGTCACTCCATATTGCACGTGTGGCAGTCAAACCGGAAGTTTACTTCTGCCTACGGTGTACAAATATGATTCCGAATATTTTCCGAAATAAGGTTCATCATTAATAATATATCGGAATACGGATTGTTAAATTTCTCACAAACACTACCTCAAAATAAACACAAGTTAAAAATGACGTAGGCGTACTTATATTCTACGCCTAAACGTTGATAAATAAAAGATAAAGAAACAGTAAAACAATTTGAGCCTGTGATTGCATTTCAAACCATTGCTAAAGGGATTCCATGACCAGAATTCTTGTTCTGGATGTTTCACTGTGATCATTTGTATATCAGTCAAAAATTATTGGAAAGATCTAGCCTCTGGTACTGTAAAATTAAAACGTTGTATTCATTATATCATTATATATAGATTTTACATTTACCACAACAATTTCACATTGGATGCTTTTGCTCTGCATTCTACTATCAGAGTGTATACATTTACAAATATCATTAAAACATCAGTTGTGTCATGTCTCACTCTGTAGCTGAAATACTAAATACTGTGTTGTAACCTGCTCATCACGACTTAGAACCTGTCAGAGTGATATCATGTCTGTTTCACAGCTGTTTAAGTACAATGATTGCCGTAAAAGGCGACTAACGGAATCGGGTGGTCAGGCTCGCTGACTTGGTTGATGCATGTCATCGATCCCAATTGCGTAGATCGATGCTCATGTTCTTAATCACTGGATTGTCTGGTCCAGACTCGATTATTTACAGACCGCAGTCATATAGCTGGAATATTGCTGAGTGCGGCGTTAAACTACAAACCAACCAACATATGCAGAAAGTGGTTAAATAGGTCTTCAGCAACCCATGCTTGCCGTAAATGGCGACATTGCTTGTCGCAAGAGGCGACTATAACAGTGAGGTGAGGTGAAATGGGGTTTAACGTCGTGTCCAAGATTATTGCACTTATATATAGCGACGTGCATGCACGTGTATGTGTGTGTGTGGCTGCTTGTACTAGTCCGGACTGATGTCGATTTATAGAGCTAGATCACTGAGATACCACGCCGCAGTTGAACATGAATACCCCACTCAGACACAGTATATTGACTCCGAGCCGACCAGTCCTTGTTTTAGCCTCTTAATGCCGAGCGCCAGATAGGGTAACAACAAGTATCATCTTTTGACTAACGTCTTTTGGTATGACGCGGCCAGGGACGCTCTACCACTAGACCACGGAGGCGGTCGGCGTCTATAACCGTATCGTGTGGTCAGGCTCGCTGACTTGGTTGATGCATGTCAGGGTATCTCAATTACATGGATCAATGCTCGTTATGTCAATTACTGGATTGTCTGGTCCAGATTCGATTATTTACAGACCGCCGTCATATAGCTGGAATATTGCTGAGAGAGGCGTAAAAACAAACAAACATACAGAAAGTGCAACTGAAAATTGACAATAATGTTAAGCGTTTTATACAATGTCAAATAATCAGTATTCATATTTGTATTCCATGCCATGAAGTCATACCTCCAGCTCGTCCAACTATTCTTTGTGACCATTGATGTTTATCTCCTGAAATGATACATTTGTACCACGATGGCTGAAATGCCTTGAATGTGCACTTGAGAGAAAAGAATCAATTTAAACAGATAAACAGCGTGTGTATTAAAATTTGCAGGTTTTATTGATTATTCAATGCCAAGAAATTTTATCTGGAAGCTGTGGCCTTCATAATGTTTATAAACATGGTAAAATACAAAAGTTATCAGTCATTTTCTTCCTCTCTCTCTCTCTCCACGCGAACTCCCACAGTTGGGAGACAGAGTTCATGTCATATTGGAAAGCAATGTCATGATACAATTGATGATGTCAGATGCTTCTGTGATAACTGAACATGTCTGGTTGGCACATTGTGGGAAAAACAAGTATTTATAGCAATTGTTCTGATAAATATTGATGAAACTTTATATTTAATTAATGTTGCATCAATTTCGCCAAGCCGAATGTCATGTTTTTCAAATTTGGGATAGAGAAAAAAACATAATTATCAAGAAAGGTATTCATGCACAGTGAACCTGGATATTTCCCGGCTTCGATTCCCATTTAATCATGTGTTTCAACCAATCGGATTGCAGCACACACTCCCAGTCATTTTACAATACCTTACAGTTAAACTAAGCGAGTGAATGTCGCTGAATGCCGTCTGCTATATTCCACTTATATCATGCTGGCCTGTAGGCTACTTAAAATCTGAAACAGGCATGAGAAATTATCCTTGTCACTGGGACATAGTGACATGCAATCTGCCGAGTCTGACCACCACTTCCTCATTATTTGGCTCTTACCACAAGCATGCCGAGATCAGCGCGACCTATCCTTCCCCACAGAAAATATGGAACAATCTCATGGGACTGCTCAAGCAGGTGTTGCATAGGATTTACGATTCACTTGTAAAGGATCCCTTGATAACATGATGCAACAGCAACCAGGGACAAAACTACCATTGAAGCAGAAAAGCAATAGCTTACACTTAAAAAGAAACACATTTTTTTCTAAAATTAAGTAAACCACGGACGTACATACACGTCTTTGAGTAAACTCATCACTTGCTTGATAACGGTGTTAGAACCCACACCGAAACGTCGCTCCTAATTGTAATAAAGAAGTTGTTCATCCATAAATCCTATCCTTACTTAGTATTCCAACTTCTAAATGCCTATCAAAGAAGTTATGAAATTTAATGTCTAACTTGAAAATCGGAATCCTTACGCACTTTAGGATTTTAGTGGTAGATGGGTTATCAAGTTGTGAGAGGCCACTGAGGATCTATATCCTAATATTCACATGGCTGTGAAAACCCTTGTCACCATGCCAGTGTGTTCTGCCACTGCAGAACATTCGTTCAGCGCAATGAGGCAGACCAAGACATATCTCAGGTCAACAATGACCAACGAGAGGATGAGCTCTTAGGCACTCCTCCACATCCACAAGGACATTGACATTGACATTGACAAAGTAACTAACGACTTTGCCCTAATATTTTAATTACAACTGATTTGCCACAAACATTTCAACGTTAATTCAAACATCAAGATTCTGCGATTCTGTCGATGACTTGGTGATTTATATTTAATTTGTATTTCATTGTTGTGATTAAGGTCAGAATGTGTGTTCAGTGTTTATTTCAAAGTCGAATTATTATTTTTTTTAAACAAACATTTGTTGTATTTTAAGTTCATCTTGCATTGAGATATCAGTTATGAAGTAATGAAAACTTAAGAAAATAATTTGAAGAAATACTAGCAAGTATAGTTATATGAAGATTTAATATAACTATACTTACTAGTATTTCACTCAGGCTAGCAGAGAGCCCTTTAAAGTAAGTGTTTCACAAAATGTACGTACTTTATGACATCAGCGAACCGCGCACTCACAATTATTTTCATTACAATGATAGGTCGACTCGCGTACAAATCACATACTGGGGATGAACATGTAAAACACATAAAAGTATTATTATCGATTCGTTTTCATGTTCAAATTTCAAATGTCATCATAGATGAAGTCTTTGACAGGCATGTAAAAGTGATACACATAAGGAAGATAATTTATGGATGTCATCTTCTTTATTATGTGGAACACAACGTCTGAACGGAAGCCAACATGTTACAGTAATTAGCGCTGATAGTAATGGACAACTGGAAGCCAGGACTTAAATTATTACTGATTGGTCGGTAATTGGTAATGGACAATGGATTTTTTTTTTATAGAAAACAGTTTTATTTGAATCAAGTTGGGGACAAGTGATACTTGTACACATATTTGCCCCCCCCCCCCCCCCCCCCCCCCCCACACACACACACACACTCTAGCCGGTAATTAATTAATCAGATTACCGATACAATGGCGGTCTTAATTGACATTGAGTTAATGCTGTTATTCATAACATATTTAAGTGACGTCCTGTTCACTCCATGCATCTATTCCAAATCTCAAAATTCCCAAATTCTATATAAGCAACCCCTAAAACCCCCCTCTTGGGTTGCACAGACCACCTTCGCCCCTTTCGGAAACACATTAAATGGCCTGGCCGGGCCCGTGTGCGAAATACGCATCAGTCGGAAAGCGCACGTTAAATCTCCAAAGTAAGTAAGTAAGTAAGTACTCCATGTCAGAACCGTGACAAATGCACAAGTTCAAATAAAGTTCCTTGAAAGTGGCAGAGGAGGCGTCATTTTGTACTAGGATGGCTTTAAGTTTCGGTGTAAGAGCAGTCGTGGTGAAAGAAGATACTGGTCCTGTATTGTCAAGGAGTGCACTGCAAGGATCACAACTCTGGGTGAGTTGCTCCACGCCATTGAGATCATGGGTCACTCCCACGACCCACTACCGTTCGAGTTTGAGGTTGATGCCTTTAAGGCTAAACTGATGGAGAGAGCTAGGACAGAAACGACCCCTATACCCACTATCTACGGAGAGGAGATATCCAGACTACGCCAACATCACGACATCGTCTCAGTACAGATGACCTCCTGAAGCAAAGACCAGCCCTGAAGTCTCTCACTACTATCCTCTACCGCCAGAGACACAAGACCGTGCCCCGCCTTCCTGACAGCAGACCCCAGATCCAGCTGGAAAAGTACTCCATGACTGACGGAGGCGACCAGTTCCTACACCGTGTTAGTGACGACATCCTCATCTTCACTACAGACAAGAACATTGAACATTTGTGTGCTGCAGATATTGTATTTTGTGATGGTACATTTTATGCCTGTCCCAAGTTGTTTGATCAGATTTATTGTTTACATGCTGAGGTGTTTGGCCATATGCTTCCATTAGTATACTGTGCTAGCAACAATTCATTACACAATCGTGACCTGTAATGTGACAATGTAATATGACCTGTCATGATATCCATCAATGTAATGTTTTGATGAATATATTATCCCTGTTATGATCTGAATAAAAAATGAGAAAACAAGACTTGTTTTGTTAAATACGGTAACCTGTTAGAATCACAAAGCATGTTTTGACAGCATAGCCACGAGAGCCACATCCACAATCACGCAACCGTAACCATTGCCCCGCTAGCCACATCAATTTTGGCTATCTATTTTCGAAATGTGAATTAGGCGGCCTGTAACCAACCATCTTAACGCTAAAACTATTGTAAGCCTATGTTAAAGTATGGGAGTTATGATCATCTTAGCACTAAGATCGCTTTATGCAAGTGGGCCCTGGATGACCGGTTTTTGTTCAGTCCGGATGGACAGGCTTTTGTTTAGTTGTGGATGACAGGCTTTTGTTTAGTTGTGGATGACAGGCTTTTGTTTAGTTGTGGATGACAGGCTTTTGTTTAGTCCGGATGGACAGGCTTTTGTTTAGTCCTGGATGGACAGGCTTTTGTTAAGTCCGGATGGACAGGCTTTTGTTTAGTTGAGTATGGACAGGCTTTTGTTTAGTCCTGGATGGACAGGCTTTTGTTAAGTCCGGATGGACAGGCTTTTGTTTAGTTGAGTATGGACAGGCTTTTGTTTAGTCCTGGATGGACAGGCTTTTGTTAAGTCCGGATGGACAGGCTTTTGTATTTGTTTAGTCTGGATGGACAGGCTTTTGTTTAGTCCTGGATGGACAGGCTTTTGTTTAGTCCTGGATGGACAGGCTTTTGTTTAGTTGTGGATGACAGGCTTTTGTTTAGTTGTGGATGACAGGCTTTTGTTTAGTTGTGGGTGACAGGCTTTTGTTTAGTTGTGGATGGCAGGCTTTTATTTAGCCCTGGATGGACAGGCTTTTTTTTAGTCCTGGATGACAGGCTTTTGTTTAGTTCTGGATGGACAGGTTTTTGTTTAGTCCCGAGTGACATGCTTTTGTTTTGTCCTGGATGGACAAGCCTTTGGTTAGTTCTGGAGGGCAGGCTTTTGTTTAGTCTTGGAAGGACAGGCTTTTGTTTAATCCTTGATGGACAGGCTTTTGTTTAGTCCTAGCTTTTCAGGCCTTTAACCATGTAGCACAATGTGACACCGACAAACGTACGAAACCAATATTCTAAGCACATCCTTGTTGATGTGAAATAAAAACATACCCCAAACCCCATCTTGAAAACATTGTCAATGTCATACGAATATAAGAAACTACATTGTCATAAACTCTGATTAAAGATTATTTATTCACAAAAATATTCATATTTACAGTTACAAGAACAAGACGGGGCACATGCTTGATAAATGAATTTACACACAGATGACGTGCTGAAACAGTTATTTACACAATAAATATTGTCATTGACACAAATCCCATAATTGGACTGTGTCGGAAAATACAAACCACAGTACCAACCTCATCATGAAATAGCAAGTATTTTGAAACAGTCAGCATGATCAATAAACTAGGGAATATGTAAGTGTCATATGAGAGGAAACAAACTCATATTGACTGGTACTCAGGTTTCCTGGATGTTTAATTCAGAAGATACAGCATGGAGCATGGTTAAATAATCATTTGAATCTTGAGAATAGTTAAAAATATTCCAACCATGATCATATCAAATCAATTATCCACACATTTGAACAAACCCTGAACAAATTGTAAAAAGAGCACACAATCTGAAAAATCTGACTGAATTCCCTACACATCAAATAGCACCACAAAGAAGCCATCCATTATTACTTAACATATTCGCAAGGCAACTTTGGTGTCACAAGCACGTGATAAGGAGGAAAAGGACTGCACTTACTGGAAAGTTGATTTGAGGTTTTAAACGAAGATTAGAATTTGAAACATACCCCAAAACAGTCCCCTCACCTGTGATCTCTGACTACTTCTAAAATCTTATTTATACCATTGTTCAGCCCAGAGTCATATTGAAAATGAAATTAGTAATTCACAGTCATATTCTTAAGTTCCTGATAATTTCACATTCTGTTAGGAGCAGTATGGTACTTCTAAAAGTATTACAGGGATAGAGACACAAAGCTTCTGAGGTTTCCCGGAAATGGTACATGGTTTGTAACCATAATGAAAGATAAATATTATAAATCTATGATGGAGGACGTGTCTACTACTATCACTGGCGACTTCAGTCAGTACAGAATACTTGTCACATCTGACCTCAGATAGCAAGACAAATTACACTTTCAATCTTACATTCTGAACATTAAACACAATGCTATTTGATGGGTGAAGCTTAGTACTGGTACTTGAAGTCCTTGTCGTCCAATGTCCTACCATTGGATACACACAAGTTTCTTCATGAAGAAACAAATAAGAATGGAAGAGAAGAAAAGAACATGACATCAATAAAATATTTGACACTGAACTGAAGAGTGGAAGGAATTCAGTATAAAAGATCATAGCTATGAAATGGTGGTCATAAAATCTTTTTAACTTTAAAAGGAAGTCCTACACTATTCAAGGTCCCTATATCAGTGCTGAAGAAAAGCTTGCAAATAATGAGAAAGAAAGTAAATATAGACATTATTTAGATGTGAACACTTTGACAGGGCAAACATTTATTTTGTTTTGCATTTGTTTTTATAAGACATATATATATATATATATATCACAATCTAAAGTTTAATAGAAGTGAACGAATGATTTCTATCTCTGGAGACAATTGAATAATCGTTCTTGATGGGATGTCAGGTCACAAGCAATAAGCTGTATAATGCATAAGTGAACTACTGTGTCAGATCCACAGTGAATGTTCAGGAAAGACTGTTAACATCTTGTTTATATTTTTTTTAAATTTACTTTATTTTCAGTAATACGAGTTATCTTGCAATATTAACAATTACAGTAACATGAAGTACTTGACTAGATTTCTATGAAATGGAATGCATGTGCATGAGATAAATGGGTTGAGTAATTTTTTAACGAGTAAGGTTGAATCAATGATCAACACACATTTATCATACATTGCTGTCAATGAGAAATTTATTGCCATTGTGAAGCATTTTTTCAAGTACTAATATATACTCACTGCCAAAAGATATGCGAATACCATACATGTTGGTAAAGAGATGCAGACTTACTCATAAGCAAGAGATATTAGATTGATTCGATGCACAAACGAACATACTTTTATGTAGTGTCAACCCAAGCTCATGAACGCATCACATGTGACATCATAGATCCATGACTCGAGATGCACCATTTGTCTCGTGCAGGATTAGTGTGTAAAGTTTGAAAAATACATGCAACATATCATGCAAAGTATAAAGACACCCTGTGGTAACATCTGACTGATTGTTTTGTCATTAATTGGTACACATTGGAAACATCTCTTCTTAACGAACATACTTCTCTATGTTTCTATGGTTCATTTTCTTTTGGCGGTGAGTATATCAGATTATCATAGAAACATCAACACAAACAGATGTCATATCTGATGTCCATAATTTTTTATCTTTACAAAATGTCATCAGCTAGTGTATAGAACATATACAGAAATTACATTACACACACACTACTGGCTGGAGTAAATTTTACACAAATTGTGAACTATTTAATGTGCTTGCTATATGTCTGATTAGTGACCAGTCAAATACAGAATATTAACTCAGGTTTCTGAATATATTGCCATGATGCCAGGTACAACACTGGCTATTTATCTACAAAATGCAGCTGACAATCCTTTGTTTCAATCATAATTACAAAAGTATCTATGAAGCATGAATTTCATCAAAACATAAATCACTATATCTAAAATGCACCTGAACCGGTCTTGGTATTTCTTCAATTAAAATGGAACCATGATAACCAAGCAACATAATTGCAACAAAATATGTACGGCAATTTTGGCAAGACTTGGATACATTAATCTGCATAGATCATCTGTTGTGATTGAGTCAGCTGTCTATACAAGACATATTCCATTCATACAAACAATATACAACTCTGATGAAACACTCCATTATTCAACAAGACAAAAAGCATGTATCTAGACATCTTACCATTACCGTACAAAGATACCAGTTTCAATAAAGACCCCTAACATGTCAATAAACAAAGCAACTTGCAAGGGAACAAAACTTAGTAATGAACATGGGTACAGACAGTCCATGATTGGACATCATAGAGGACACAATAATTGCCTCTCCGAAGTTGATGTTGTACACATATGTACAGCAGAGACACAGGGAGTTCCAATCAAAAACTATACATGACCCAATACTTTTCCTTATCACATATGAATCATGATGAACAGACATTTAATGTCAGTAACAAAATAACTACAGTGTAATATCAAGTATACACAATCAACTATTAAAAAGTAAGTGAATATTGTTTTCAGCCATTTGCAGCAGGAATGGGATGTTTCCTCACCAGATCATGGTAAGGAGCATGAGGATTTAGAAACATTTAAAACCAAATTTCAGCAAATCTGTCATGATTCCTTAAAAGGGGACGGCACGTAACGACCTGGTGCCCATGTTCTGCTTTGTTCTAGACACCGTACTTAATAAGCCTGTGATAGGCATTTAGAAGTCGGAAGGACATGAAGACATGAAACATTTATGAAAACCTCATCTTTATTGTTTGCAACAATATTCAGGTCTACATGTTGATCGTCTTCATTCATACTTCATTCATCCGCTGAAAGGGGCAAGAAATACCCTTGATATAGTGTTACAAACAAAGAAGTTGTCATTAAAAATCTCATGTCCGCATTGTACTTCATATGTGTGAAAGTCAGACATTGTAATTAGGGTAATCATTAACTGTGAATTTGATATGTCATATATCAACCAGCAGAAAAAGTGGGATTTGAGGGACTTCAATCAAATTTGCCAGGACTGCCAAATAACCTAAATCTTACTCCCCTTTAAACAGTTTGAGATTGGACAATATCTACTTCAATATCTATCAAGTAAAATGTACTTGCTACTATGTAAGGAATACTGGAGAAAGGACACTTTTTCACTGAGTTCATTCTTGATGATATCACCAACAAGATATCATTGGCATAACTGTATGTTCTTGAGACCACACTGCAGCTACTGTACGAGTTATAAGTCACACACATTCATGTTATCAGGGATCTCAGTCCAGATCTAGGTTATCGTTCACATCATCATTCTGGGAAAACTTTTTTAATCTCCTCTTCCTGACCTCGTGTAACTCATCACCATGCTCTTCTTGCGCAGGATCCACCCACTGGGGAATGTCTTCCTCTGTCGGAGGCGTATAACCAATTGCACCTTCTAAATCGGAATAATCTGAAACAACCATAGCAGGAATGAGAATGGATCAAGATTGCTAAAAAATACTACAGGAAAAAATAAATAATAGGCTTGAAAATTGCACTGAATACAATTCATATATGAGATCAGTTTCATATACCAGACGAAAGAGGCGACTTACGAGATCGGGTGGTCAGACCTGCTGACTTGGTTGATACATGTCATCGATCCCAATTGCTCATGATATTAATCACTGGATTGTCTGGTCCAGACTTGATTATTTACAGACCGCCTTCATATAGCTGGAATATTGCTGAGTGCGGCTTTAAATAACAAACAAACAAATACACCAGATACTGTTAGTCGCCTCTTACACTTCTATTATTACGCTTATAGTTTCACATGTAACTCATTATGCTGAAAAATGTATTTCTTTGCCACATTAGGTTATGTGTTTTTTCATGGTTTGTGAAACTATAAGAGTAATAGAACTTACTCTTATTATACCTTATTGTTTCACAAACATTGAAAAAACACATAACCTAATGTGGCAAAGAAATACATTTTTTCAGCATAATGAGTTACATGTGTCATCAGAGGACCACACACAATAATACAGGTTGAACACCCAGACACTGATGGTCAAGGGATATACACAAATGTTCAAATCGTAACATCACCACTTTTGACAAATGTAACAAATACTTTTCTGTGAAAACTTTTGGAATGTATAAATTGCATCTACCTTGTTCCCACCAACAATACTCTGTAAGGCATGGTAAATCAATGTCATGTGAGCCACAAGTCCAAAGCCTGAGCATTTCAAAATTGTGTTCGGTCTAGTAATCTCAGCTCATAATGGTCTGTGTAAAGACACTAAAATCTACCTAAAATGATGCAAAGAGCTAAGTTTAGGCCAGTAGACTCGAAAGTGGTTGAAACAGATGACATAGTCAATTGTGAGATGACAAGTGAGTGATGTCACATCAACACATGATATCAAATCCTCATTTATGTTTGTTTGCTTTTCGTAAAAAATCTCACCCAAACGCACCCCTCTCACACGCAAGTGCACCTGCAACACATGACCAACCTGTCTGACTCATTTATTTCTTGTCACTCTGGCTGCTGTGGCTAATGCCAGGAGGAACAAAGTCTTTTGTGTCAGATGTTCAAAGTCAGCTTCTTCCAGCGGTTCGTCAACATTACATGTAAGATGTTGCAGTACTATGTTTAAATCCCAAGCTGGGGTTGTACACTTTTTCTGTTGATCCTCAACTTTATAGGATGTCAGTAAGGCTATCAGTTCAGGAACCTTAGTGAGGTTTTTTCCACTGGCCAAATAAGTTCCTGAGGTTGAACCCTTGAGAAGCCTTTTGCTCCAAAGATGACACAAAAATTCCGCCACTTGTGGTGATGTAGCTTTTGCTGCTGAGAACACTTTTTCTCTACTGGTCAAATTGTTGTCATACAAGTTCCTTGTGGATCTGCAAAGGGTTCAGGAGACTGTCCTGACAGAGTGGCCTCGTCTTGGGAGGTTGTTCGTGATATGCTCCATACGTGAAGTGGGTAGAGATCCAGTCGTGGATGAACTTGTTTAGAGTGTGGATGAAGAAGCAGATTTGGCCAGTCCAGGAGCTTTAGAGTTGGGTTCTCCTGCTGCTGCGAAGAGGCATGGGAACCATGTTCTCACCGGACAATAAGGTGCAACCAAAAGCAGTTGAAGGTTCTTTGTTTGATATCTGCAACACAATTGGTATCCGAGCTGGTGGAATGTGTATGCGTGGAGACGTTCCCAGGATATTGCCAGTGCGTCGTTTGACCAAGCCTGAGGGCCCAGTACTGGGGAGATGAAGGTGAAGATCTGTCCACTGAACCTGGTTAAAAACAGATCCACCGATGGACTACCTCCTTCTTTTGTCACCAGTTGAAATGCTTCTGGATGGAGCATCCACTCTGTTGGGTGACAGTACTGATGGTCTGGACAGGGCGTCTGTTAGGAGATTGGACGCTCCTGGGATGTGACTTGCTTTGAATTTTAGATTCAGGATGTCCATTAACTCATATAGCTGGAATGTTAACATCAGAAGAGTTGCCAACCTTGTTGTGCCTTGATGGTTTATGTCGATGGCACAGTTGATTTGTCTGTTCTTAACATTAAGTTCTTGTCGCTGAACTGTGGCGCCCGATGAGATATTCGCCGGATTACTGTCCCGAACCCGAGATGGTTGAAGTGGAAGAGCTTTTCATCTGCAGACCACAGCCTCAACGTTACTTCAGAGCCAAGATGGGCACCCCATCCTTGGAGTAAGGCATCTACAAATATATGTTGATTGTATTCCGGCTCATTCAAGAAGGTTCCTCCACAAACATTAAACTTTATTGTCCACCATTTGAGACGTTTCTTCAGATGTTGTGGAAGTTGTAGTTCTTGTTGATCGAGGAAGGGTTTGAGGAATCTCTGTGCTGGGTGCAGGCGAAGCCTCCCCGTTCTATCAAGGTTTGGGCTGAAGTTGCAACTGGTTGCATGTGAATTGCTGCTAGAATGTAACTGGATGTTCATCCAACGATCTTCTGGAACTTGAATAAGGTTCTGCCCCGTCAGGAACCTGATGCCCAAAAACCTTGAGATCCTGGGACAGGTTGAGATCAGACTTCTGGAAATTGGCTAACCATCCTAGTTGTGTTAGTAGTTTTAGAGTGAAATTCAGTTGAAGTCTGATTGGCTCTGCTTGTTGATGAGCTTGAATCCTGTAGCCCAATTAAAAAGTGCAACGGATCTCCTTCTTGTGCAGAAGGCCACAACTGGTTTGATAACCTGATTAAATAACCACAGCGCCATTGAAATTCAAGACAAGACTGTCCATTGGTAATGTTGACCCTGTACAGAAGACAGAGATATTTCCTGAAGGCTGGATCGATTGGGATGTTAAGGTAGGCATCGATGCTTGCCAGGTAGTCGTCCTTCTTTATCATTTATTTTAGTTGTGGTAGGTGGATCCTCCTGAGTTTGTCAGGACTTTGGAGATACTTTTTGTTGACTTCTTTCATGAAAGGTGCCAATCACCTCTGTTCGCATGGACTGCAGTTCTTCTGGATATTGAAGTATTGGCAGTTGAGAGATGGTGACGCTCCTCTCATACACAGGGATGAGAATGGATATTTTCCTTTTAAGAGGAAACATCTTTGCAATGGAGCGTGGTACATAATTTGGGGTTGTTTAAGGGGAAGCCATGAGATTTTAACAAACTTGTGGTTACTGAGTGAGTGAGTATGGTTTTACGCCGCTTTTAGCAATATTCCTGCAATATCACAGCGGGGGACACAAGAAATGGGCTTCACACATTGTACTATGGTCACTACAATACAAATGGGTTGTTCAGAATGTCCCAATATCTTGCCAGTCTTCCACTTATGGCAGATAGCGGTGCTTGAACGGCTGGGGTCGTTCCCAGTCGTTCAACAGCTCCCCTTCAATGGTAGGCGCGGTATCCTCTTGATCCCCTTCCCCAGTTGGACTGATCATGTCTGTCCTATGGTCTCCGAAAGGATCCACTCTTGCGTCCTCTATATCCACTGAAGCGTTTGCCCTTAGCCTTTTTGATGCCTGAAAACCGACAAAGTGTCGATTGTAAATAAATCAAGTTCATAGTCGGGACTGACTTAATTAACATCTGGTCCTTAGAATCTTGGGCCACCTCCTTGTTGATGCTGCAGATGAAGCCATCGAAAACGAAAGAGTGAGTGAGTGAGTGAGTATAGTTTTACGCCGCTTTTAGCAATATTCCAGCAATATCACGGCGGGGGACACCAGAAATGGGCTTCACACATTGTACCCATGTCGGGAATCGAACCCTTCGGCGTGACGAGCGAACGCTTTAACCACTAGGCTACCCGACCGCCCCCGAAAATGAAAGAAGAATTCCAAGTGTGATGTAACAGAAGCTTTGTATGGAGTCAGGCCAATGCTAGTTGGCTATCAAGCCCTGGCATCAGAGAAGAGTAAGACCGGCTAATACTGAACTGACTTGATGTTTCTTCTTCAAGATCACTGCAGACAGGAACATCCTCTCCCAGTCGGTCTGAGTGATGTTTAAAGTATTCAGCATTGCTTCATTAATGGAGCGGGACATTGAAAGTCCAAAGAAAGAATGTCTTGTCGTCGTATTGGGCTGTGCTAATTTTTATGGTTGACGCGCTATGCTTTGCTCTTCACATCAGACATCAATGTACAGTCCTCATCAATCTCCATGGGAAGGCAGACATCCCGTGTAAAGGAAACTTCTTGGTGTTGGCAAACTGTGGGTACGAGTAGCCTTGGGAAAAGAGGCATCAAGGTTTCTGGCCATCTATGAAATCAGCCTCATCTGTGGATTGATCAAGGTGTCAATATCATCTCCCTTGATGAAGTAGGACTCGCTGGTAGGATTATCCCTGGAGGGTGATGAAATGGGTAGGCCATCTGCGACCCACGCCAACATCTCGTGATCTTCACAGATGGATGGAAAGTCTTCTGACTGGGGTGAGTCATGATTGTCAGGCTGCGCGCAGATGTCTTCTTTTATTGAGGAAGGCTCCGTGAACCCCTTTGTGGAGGATATTAACTTCGACTTTGTGTAGGTCTAGCTGTGGCGAAAATATGACAGTGATGAGTCAGACAGGTTGGTCACATGTTTCCTGTGCGCTTGCGTGTGAGAGGGGTGTGTTTGGGTGAATTGTAAACACAGCACAAGAGTTTCCACTACGTTTCAGGAAGAAGAATGCGATAAGTAAATTAGTATGAGTCTGGATAAGGTAAAATACATGTTATTTGACTTCCACCTGCACATGAATACGCACCTGTTTTATCTTCTTTCTTAACTTGTGCAAAATTAACTTGTGATTTTGAAATATTGCTCTCGGACTTGACTGTAGTTTTGGGCCTCGCTCCCATTGATGGTGAAGATGTGTTTGATGAAGAAGATGGAGTGGTTGCAGCAGTGGAGCTCACTCTTGTAGAGGATATACCGGGCATACTAGTACAAAGAAAGAATTGGTTAAAACTAGTTAACAATTACATACTAACAACAAGGCAGTGATAATGTTCTATCAAGATGAAGTTGAAGATAACTATCATTTATTCAGTATAGTGACATTAAGTCTTACGCAACCCAAATGAAAATAACAGGTATTACAGCAAAATCTGTTTACTCAAAGTAACATTCAAAACATTGTAACATTATTGTACCAGCAGAATCCCAATAGGTACTATGGGCTAAGATCAACACTGTTTCTCTGGAACAAATGACAACTCAACATGCCCAAGTTCATGATATTTCACTGTAAAAAGAGAATCTCACCCTCGTGTCTTTTGATATCAAATATATCCACACTCGTTGATATATTTGATATCAAAAGACACAAGGATGAGATTTTATTCATCATCCAACATCATTCTTCAAACTTCAGTTTGTAGACAGTAATAAGCAGTGTCTAAGTGTAAAAAGTACTGTTAACAGCTTCAGTAGTAGAGCCATTAGTAATGTAATTTGATCGTGAGGTCATTGTAACCAATGACGTCACAATGGTCTGCAAAGCATTGTGATGCAATTTCATTGCAGCAATATCTACAATGTAGATATCGCTTGATCTCACCCAAGCAATATCTCTTGTAGGCATGGTAGGAGCCAGTATTGGATGATAAATCACTATATTTTACTCATATCAGAACAATAAATAGAATATTCCACTCCCACTCAGCTTACCTCATTTGTGAAGCCACCTGATTATACTGGTTTATAAGAACCATAGCACCATCCAGTAGAGCCTGAATATCACGCAGCCACTGGATTCGTGCTTCCACATTCTCTCGCTCCTGTCCCTCCATCGTTTTCAGCTCCTCTGCAGTCAACCCTGCCATGTTAGACGGAGCCTGCGGTAAACCTTCAAACATAAAACAGCCTCTTGGGTTTAGTTTTGCACACTTTTAACATCTTCAAAGAAAGGAACACATATATCAGGAGTTACTCTATGTTTCACAGTTTTTAACAGAACATTGTATTGTATTGTCATAGGTATTGTGAAACAACTGTGGATCAAATTTCATAAAGAATAAGAATATGTCAAAAGTTATGGAGTGATTAGCAGTTTGAAACAGAAAACATTTTTATGTACCATATTCGCCGTATTAAGCACCCCATTCTCATAAGCAACCCCTGACCAACTTCTACACTAATCTAGAAGTAATTTTTTTAAGCACCCCATACTAAGCTTGAACATTTACATTACAGTCTGTATCTTCCTGTATTTATTACAGACTTTTCACAGAAAACACACCCAGCTTCAAAGGGGTATATAATTGTCTCATCAACGTTTGGACCTTTTTTGTTTTGTTTTCTACCGGTGGATCTCCAACAACAATTTTAACTTTTGCATGGCCTTAATAAGCAAACCCCCTTTTTCAATTTTCTAAGCACCAGGGGGCATAGTACCTGATTACAGCAAATAAGGTGAGATTATTTAGTACTGTCACAGATATTGTATTTGTTTGTTTGTCATTCAACGCTACACTCAGCAATATTCCAGCTATATGACAGCGGTCTGTAAATAATCGAGTCTGGACCAGACAATCCAGTGATTGACATCATGAGCATCGAACCACGCAGTTGGGATACGATGACATGCATCAACCAAGTCAGCCGATCCCGTTAGTCGCCTCTTGCAACAAGCATAGTTGGCAAGCATGGGTTGCTGAAGACTGGTCTTCATGGGTCCAAAAATATTGTAAAACATACTACTGAGCACCATGAACTTGTCATAACATGAAACTATTACCATACAGTTTTAATACTATGAAACATACAGTCATACTGCTTAAAGACATATTTTAGTAAACTGTGATAAAAAAGAATAGATAATAAAAATTCAGTCCTACCAAATGGTGGGTAGTATGGCATCATTGGAAAGAAGGAACCATATGGTGGCATGGCACCAGGGAATGGTGAGGCCATTGGCGGTGTTCCTGGGGTTGTACTTGTAGCTGTAGCAGCTGTAGGTGTTGTTGGTATAGTAGGTGTCGAAGGAGTTGTACCTGTAGTGTGTGGGGCCCCTCCTGCAGCTGAAATGAAAATCATTAGCAATGGAAATACATAGAAACTAAACCTAACTTCCTGAAGTTCAATTACATTCATGACACACAATATCTTTACATCAAACAACAATTGATATCATGAAGTCAATCACCAATACATTTAATAATCAATGTCTTTTTAGTCTTTTGAATGACGTATGTCAATTTTACAGAATGCCACTTTTGAAATTTAGCATTTTTTTCAACAAGCAAATCAATTTGATAATCAATCTGAAAGGTGAAAAAAACTGAAGGGTACTTGAATTGCGTACCTTGTGGCTGTTGGGGTGGGGGTTGTGGAGGGGGCCAAAAGGGCATCCCTTGAAACATCGCTTGAACTGCAAAAGAAACACAGAACAAAAATAATACATATTCACATGCAGCAGATATGATCTTAAAAAGACTAAAGTAAATATCAAAACAGATTCTCTAGGAATGGTCAAATCTAAACATATGAGCTTCTACTAGCCCTATGATACCATTAAAGTTTGGCGAACTGACTCGAGCCAGTGGGCTAATTCTGTCCCTGATATATTTACAATTCTGCATCTGGACATCCTGCTGTGGTTGAGCTGGCCTGGCTGCTGGTGTTGTCTGTGCACGGGGCATGCGGAGGACGTCCATCCTGCAGGTTGGGCAGGTCTGTTGTCGTTGGAACCAGGATCTCAGACAGTTGGTGTGGAAGATGTGATTACAAGGCAGTTTCTTGGAGGATGTTACCATCTCTTCTCGACAAATAATGCACACATTGTCACCTGCTTCTAGTTCCTCTGGAGTTGCATCAGGGTACCTGGCAAGAAGAATAGTACAATGAATAATAATGCTGAAAACCGTTACTGCTTCGTTTGTAGGATGTTAATGAAATGGGCCAAGCTAAAAAAATATGCCAATGTCCAATACAATAATGAACCTTATTTGTGGCCAGAGGGCAATTCCTAAACAAGTATTTGTCACAGAGTGACGAAATATCCCCCGCCTGTACACCATAGTACCAAATATGAAGACAATCCAGCGATTAGTTCTTGAGATATTGTGGCAACACCGTTTTCCAACTCCAAAAACAGATTTGCCTGCTGTGACCTTGAAAATGGGGTCAAGGTCACCAAATCTGACAGGTGGATGCGGTGTCTGTATATACACTATAGTTCCAAATATGAAGACAATCCAGCGATTAGTTCTTGAGATATCGCGGCAACACCGTTTTCTAACTCCAAAAGCAGATTTACCTGCTGTGACCTTGAAAATGGGGTCAAGGTCACCAAAACCGACTGGTGTCTGCGGTGTCTGTATATACACCATAGTTCCAAATATGAAGACAATCCAGTGTTTAGTTCTTGAGATATCGCGGCAACACTGTTTTCCAACTCCAAAAGCAGATTTGCCTGCTGTGACCTTGAAAATGGGATCAAGGTCACCAAAACCGACTGGTGTCTGCGGAGTCTGTATATACACCATAGTTCCAAATATGAAGACAATCCAGTGTTTAGTTCTTGAGATATCGCGGCAACACCGTTTTCCAACTCCAAAAGCAGATTTGCCTGCTGTGACCTTGAAAATGGGATCAAGGTCACCAAAACCGACTGGTGTCTGTGGAGTCTGTATATACACCATAGTTCCAAATATGAAGACAATCCAGTGTTTAGTTCTTGAGATATCGCGGCAACAAACAGGTGGGACGTACGGACGGACGTACGGACGTACGGGACGTACGGACGTACGTACGGACGGTCGTGAATACTATATCCCCCGCTTCGCGCTTTCGCGCGGCGGGGGATAATTAAAGGAATCTAGGTATTAAAAATTATCACAATTCTTGGAGTGAGTATAAGAGTATGCATTGTTTTACAAAGCCTCTAGTATTATTTCAGCAATTTCACAGCTGGGGACAACCGAAATGGGCTTCACACATTACCTGGGCCTTTTGTGTGCTGACTGAGCACTTTAGCCACGAGGCTACCCAGAGTTCAATTCAGAAACTGGAATGTGACCCCTTCCTTTCTAAGAATTGGGGAAATTTGCTGAAATCAGGGCACACACAAGTATTTTTGACATACAGACATAATACTTAGAGAAAGTTACTTTTTTACTGTCGAACAGGAATTCAACTTGTCAGTGTCACTTTATGTATTCACATAATGTGACATTTTCACTTTTCACACTTTATCTATTCACTTTGCAAAGACAGTTCATTCTTCCAGTCAGAGTTAAAGAATAACACTTTCTCTAGTTCTTTCAACAGTCATGTTCAAGAAAACAATCTTAAGCTCAAGACAGAACACCAGTTGCACGTTCTCAGACATCAATTGGACTCTTCATTATCTATAGCCACATTCTGACCTGCAGTTTAACAGTCACAAAAAATAATTCAATAAACTTGCACCCATCATCTGCCTTCATTTCACTGACGCCATGACAAGCAAGTGACAGGGATACGTGATCGTAAAAAGACAGATTCGGGTCTCATGATGTCAGGGAGATAACGCTCATTCCCGGAAATAATTATACCAGCCAATCAAATCACACAGCAATGATCAATTCATTAGATAACCTATCGTTAATAATGCCAACTTAAAACTTTCGAGATTACAATAAATGATTGATGTAATCCAATCGTAAAAACATGTTTACTTCTAAATTGGACAATGATTGACAAAACTTGGTGCTGAATTGAAGTCAATAGTCAAAGGTACAATCAAAAACATATTTTAATTTTTGGATATTATGTTCTGACCGTCTGGCAGTGTGATGTATAAAAAAGTTTCACCACAGCCTCGTTCTGAAATGAACACTGGCTATCCAATTGCCCCCATATTTCTTGGCACACTGACAACTGTTACAAGCAATAGTATGCTACATACAACAATAAACATTTACCCTTAAAATATTGGTAACAGGCAAACAGAAACTTATCACTTACAATGTGTTCATATTTCTTATGGCTCTCCGTGACATTATCACATCATGAAGCGCCTTCTTGAAAGACCTAAAACAAACACATCAAAGTTAATTTGGAATACACTAAAAACATAACACTTTTCTTAGAGCAATAATGCAGATTTGTGTAATTACAAAAATTACAAGTTTCAGTGCACTTATACACAAATAGACAAGGAGTTGGAATAAAGGTTTACCTGAGTGAAAGATACATCGGTCTAATGGCAAACAATGGGAAGGTGTGCACCTTAATCATAATTGCCATAAACACTATGTACAGCATGACTCGAATGAATCCTGAAACAAAGACAGAAATCTATCATACCATGATGTTTGTTTGCTTATTTTGTAGAAACAAGTCTACTGATGTCTCAACATTATTATGCCCATATGCATTTTGTAATCATGTTTGTAATTGTTTTACTGATGGACAAATTCTGGAGCAGTTTTAATTTTGTGCTTGTTAACAATCTGGGTCTAATACCTATACAATTATTCTCCCCTGCATTTGTACGTACCCATGACAAGTTCTGTATATAGGAGATACACAGCTTTGTTCTCCCAAGGGTTCTCACTCTGCAGATCTACTGTATGCAGCACATACTTCATGAACGTCATCAACACCACTGTCAGTAGGATTGCATACTGAAACCACACCAAGTCAGGCATAATCTTGGGTCAAACTAAAGCTTGCTCCATCAGTTTTAACAGCAAGAACTAATTCTTAAGGACAGATGTTTCCGCTGAGACCATTAAGTAGGAATTATGATATGGTCACCAAATGAAACAAAAGATAGAAAATCTGAGGGTTAATTCAGACAAATTTTATTATCAAGTCTCTCAGCAGAATTCTACTATGTAAAGGCCTAAACATTTCATGCTCCTGAAACATTTTTGTTTGTTCGTTTTTTAAAGCTGCACTCAGCAATATTTGGGGTGGCCATTTCATAAAAAAAGACATCAGTTGAAATAAAGGACGAAAGTACACAATAATAGTCAAATGTTGAGAATACATTATTAAACAAGAAAGAAGTGAGCAAAGCTCACATACCCCCGTTATCCCCGCTGGTCAACAACAAATAGTAAATAGTTTGTTAATTAATGAAATATACCTGTTGCTTTAAGTCAGAGGAACTGCCCTTTCCTTTGTAACCAACCCCATGAGGATGCATTATGTTTGAAATGAACACATGTTTTTGCAAATATATTTCAATCTAGTGTGGGATAATCAAGGCTTAGTACAACATACATTCTTGATGTTTCTTAATGTTTCCATGGAAATGGCAAAAATTAAAAAATTAAGAATCTTCAAACTAGCAAAAGGCACAAGTACTCATTATGGTTAATGTGTGTAGAAAGTTTGGTGAAGCTAGGGTGCATGGTTAAAAAGATATGGGCCGTACAAAACACCCACCCTAAAAGTTTTAGTTTCTAATGTTTCCATGGAAACGGCAAAAATAAAAAAATTCAGAATCTTCAAACTAGCAAAAGGCACAAGTACTCATTGTTGTAAATGTGTGTAGCAAGTTTGGTGAAGCTAGGGTGCATGGTTAAAAAGTTATGGGCCGTACAAAAGCTCGGACGGACGGAAGGACAGACAGACGGAACGCTATATACCCCTGATTTACTTCGTAAACGGGGGTATAATAATATTAATAAAGGTTAAATGAAAGAACAAAGTGTACTGAAGAACGTACGGTGGACACAAAGGTACACAGATCCTACTCAGGGCCCTATGAGCCAAGTTCCCGAGTTAACCGTCCCAGCCATAGTTTTAATAAATATTTTGTTGTTTATTTAAGCATTGACTGCAATATATTCTGCATTAAATGCATTAAATGAAAAAATGAGCAGAATGTGTGAAGTACTTATTGTTGATGTATTTTTTAATAAGAATTGACTTCAATTATTCTTTAAATACATGACTATAAATTCTTATAAAAAAATATGTAAAAAATATTGACTTCACATACTGCTTATTTATTTATTAAAACACAAAACAAATAGAGACAACAATAAGTGATATCGCTCAGCGCACTAATGCAACACAAGCCCAGCCCATTCTATTATCATCCAATCAGGTGATAATCGACCCTTCATAGGAGTGGCCTTATTTATTTGGGGGTGGTTACAGATACATAAACACAATTCTTTTTTGCCTGATTACCAATCAAATGCCACAGATTCACTTGCAATTTACTTATTTGAAGGCCAATACTACAATCAAAGAGGTGTTTTATTAGTATTCATCACAAATACATATGTGATGAGTGAGAGCACCAGATGGCGTTACGCTTTGCACAATGCTTGGACCTTTATCAGATTATTCCATATCATACATATTTATAGAAGACACATGTATTCAGTGTGTAATAGCAATAACTGGTTGATGGCCAGCCAGAATTCGGCAATTTAGATCTATTTATTATTAACCTTCAATGCCTTTTCACATTGCATTTGAATTAATTGTCATTATTATAACAAAGAACATAAGAATTCGAAGTTTCCAGATTTGGCAGATTTCCAATATTGGCCTAATATCATATGAACAACAAAACATTTATCCAAACTGTTTGATTTACATTCTAGAAGTTGGTGAGTAAAAAAGAAAATGTACAATTTTATGGATTATAACTTCTGGTTTATAGTCGCTATATGCAATAAAACAGACGTTGTTATACATAAATTAGAACATTTTCTTAATTATGCAAACATGCTGCTTTTCCCGATGACGATGACTAAACGCTTGATATATACCCAACATGTATGATGTCACACAGTGGGTGCACAAGACTTTAAACCTGTTTGCCTGCCCTAGAGCGCTTGTGCTCATCGCCGCACAAGTCACAGTCGCTTCTGTTGCTAGGACAGAGTACCAGCCTGGCGAGGAATGACATCTACATTGTGCACCTCGGTGTCGTGCCGCTCATTGCATACATTTATCATATACAAAGTGGAACAAGCAGCTTAAAATTGGAATGTAGACATTGCTACACCATCTGGCGTTCTTTACTGTTAACATTGTCCTTTAGCCTTTGGTTTCTTTGTGCGCACTTACGTTCTTTAGTACAGATTGTTCTTTCTTTTGACCTTTATCAGTGACATTTAATATTTTATTAACATTTGACTATTATTACATACTTTTGTCCTTTATTTCAACTGATGTATTTTTTGACTGAATGCCAGCCCATACAATATTCCAGCCACACGAAGACGGTCGAGTCCGGACTAGAAAAACTAGTGATTGACATCATGAGCAACGATATACACAATTGGGATATGACATTCATCAACCAAATCACCAAGACTGACCACCCGATCCCATTATCGCCTCTTAAGACAAGCATGGGTCACTGAAGATCATTCTAATTCGGATCTTCACCAGTAACTAAGACATTTATTCATTATTTACTGAATTAAACATACCCAATCAAGTAACTGGCATATAAATGTAGAGGTCTGCATAATCTTAAAGCAACTAAGTGTAAATATTAAGTGACTTTTGACAATAATAGTCATGTTAGTCACTGATTAAACACTACTAATTTAAAAAATATCTAACTTTATACAAATCATTATTTTTTTCAAATAATAAGAGTCTTAAAGTTATGCACCAGAATCCAACTACCGTCATTTCAGTCCAATATGTCATAACAGAAACCAGAAAAAAATAAATTAATTCCTAAGTAGCAAAAGGTGCCTCTGTTCACTGCTAGACTGATAACTCTGCAAAGTTTGATCAAGAAATATTCAGTAGTCTTTGCATTATGCTCTGGAAACAAAACATGATGGACAAAGGAAAGGATGGCCGACACCCATTCCCTTATGACCCTCCCACTTTGAGGCAGGGAATAATAACATTCATTCAAGCAACTTTTTTGTAATGAAAATCTAAAACTAATTTATGGTGGCCTTATTCACATAGTACATCTATGAATAGAGAAAATCCAACAGCTATTAATGTAATGCGATATGTGGGCATACCTCAAATCCAAACACCAACTGCACAGATGCTCCCTTCAACAAGGTGCTGTAGTAAGCATGATTTATGAAGTAAACATCCAAAACACCAAGAAATGACAACAGTGCTGAAACAAAACAATACACCAGTTACTGACACTTGTATCAAAGTATCACAAACCATTCAGGGTAACATTATAACATCATTAACTATTTCTACTGATTTGGTGAGCTGGATAATACTAACTGAACAGGCTTCTAAATATGTGCATGATTGTTCGGTACCACAGCAATTTATCTAGACACATTCAAGAGGCCAAAATTCTGCAGCGGATATCAGTAAAAATTCCCAAACTTGAATTAAAAAATCTTCCAGTTTATAGCAATAACTAATTATTATATTATTATGGTAACAGATGGCTTTTATTTCAATGATAACAGGATCGATGGAGAGGTGCTGGCTTTTAATGCTTAATCTAACATCACTGTATTGAATATTAGTTTTCCTAAATTAACAAAAATGTCCTTTTTCCCTAAATAACATGTAGTTTGGAATCATGGATAAATCCATGCATGACAACAAAAGTTGCTGAAGAATGTATGACATATACCACCTCATTTGTTCATATGACACTTGATAGTTCTGTTAGGTCTTATTGAATGCATGGATAGCGATAGGAATTGGCAATTGTCCTATAGTCCTTGCCAAATTGCCCAATATTAAAGGTAGCAGAAATTTGCAAGGGTTTTGCAATAGGTTATCATTATAAATATAAGGACTAGTGGATTAAACTGTTAGTTTCTGCAACTGATGGACATGATGAGTAAGCTCAACTAGCAATGCTCCATGAAATAACACTAATATCTACTGAAAATTAAGCCAACAGACAAAATTTGTGCTCATGGACTCAAATATTTTAGCACAGGCTGTGATCATCAAGACATCATGATTGATACTTACATAATACTCGACAGTGAAACAATAAAGATATTACAGGGCTTCTTTCCATCTGGAAGAAAAATATTGCGTTAAATCATCTGTACAGCAAACTGCTAAACACATAATAAACAATATTTCATATACTTGCGAATCAATGTCAGCATGTTCAATATATCACACTTATTGGTATGTATTTAAAACGGAAAATCACATTTACAGATGAAATTACTGTTAACATAAATTCATCACCTTTCATGTTACCATGGTTACATTATATTAAGCTGATTATTTTTTAAGACTTACATAATCAACTCTATCTTCTGCAAGCCAATGGAAGCACTTTAGAAATAACAGTAAGGTAAACATGGCCACAAAACGTGGGCTGAAGTCATCCCTGAAGACGGTAAAGGCCAGACAAGTTTCTGTGACAGCATACCAGGACCTCTCTATGAGATGCTACAAAATTAGAATGACATTGTACAGACATATTGACTAACCCTTAGTCTCGGATGAAAACATCTTAAGAAGTCATTCAATATATAACAGAAAGGAATCAAGCAAATCTCATCATTCTTAGAAAGTGAAGAAATCTTAACTTGCCAAACATGCCAAAATATTGTTGATTTGCTTGAGAGTATTCAATTTTTTTGTTTTAGAGTCTGTATTGGAGAATACATATAGACATGTGCATTAGCCCATTATCATGCTTATCAGCTCATTATTACTTGATGCCTAAACTGGGGCAGCATTATTTCTCTACATGCTTATTCAATTTTATTTCCATCAAAATAATAAATACATAAAAAAGTAGGACAAATTTTTAAAAAACCTGTGTAATCACAATAATAAGTATGAATAACAGCTTCCCAGCTTCCTGGGTCAGTTTACATGTATTAGAATATTACTTTATCATCAACAAAAACACTTCAAATTACTGCTTAAGAGACCAATGTAAGAGACCAAAAACAAATATAAATACCTCCATTTCTGCTGCTCTTAGCTGACCGAAAAATATCTTTCTCATGAGTTTTCCCATGAGTATTACAAACACAAAAGCCTGAATGTAGAGCACCTGTAAAGAAAAAAACCCACATAAACAATATACATGATATAGGGTTCCAAACAAGATGCTATATCCAGTGTTCAAAATTGAAAGGGTCTTGGAATCCTTGCTATAGTATTTATATGCAGCAACCCCTTAAACAGGGTAAGAACACCAGCCTGCTAACCCTGGGCCAGTACAAATTTCCCAATTTCACCATTGTTAATAACATCACAAGACCATTTTATCTTTATATAAGCTAGTAAAGCTTAAGTAGGTTTACTTCTAACCCTGTTAAATCATGTAACTCTTTGATTATTTATATTAATGTTGTGGCAAGGACCTCTTGACCATGTTGACTTTCATTCTTAATTTCAACACAGCATATCTCAACTTGTGAAGTATTGTTGTCTCCTGATACAGTCCTTGTCTATCAATACCACATATTGAAAGGGGCATTAGTTTGAAGTCTTCCAGCTAAGGATGTCATTGATCGGATACATCAGCACCAATGACTGAAAATATCACGCTATATATCAACACAGCATTTAATCATTCATACTGTGTTAGTTTTGTACTTTTACCAAGATTACAGACAGCACTTGAAAGGGCCAAAAACGTTTAGATCTGAAAACAAGTCCTTTAACATGCTTCAAATGGTTAAAGATTTCATTTGTTTAATTAATGTACTTATCAATGAATATCGTATTTGTTATCATTATATCTTAACTAAAAATTAATTTCATGAAAACTTACCAAAACAATTTTCAAGTTATAATAATTATATGACCTGTATCTATATTCTCAACTTATGTATCAACAAAAAATAGTGGACAGTCTCAATTAAAACTACAAGAATGTTAGCCTGATTTTCAATATCAGACCTAGTGATGTCAATAGTATAAGATAGTTAGATAGACATAGATCATAATAGATGCTTCTAAAACATTGTTATATTGTGTTTAAATGGCAGTGGGGAATACAGTATTACAATCTGCTTTGTTTCTGTCATGTTTTTCAGAACATGGCTAGCTGGGGGTCATTGCACAAAACAACTTTAGCACTACGACTGTTGTAAGTCTATGTTAAGGTATGGGAGTTAGTCACCTTAGCGCTAAGATCGTTTTGTTTAACGGCACCCTGGTGTGTTGCTCTGAATAAAAGCAAGCATACGTCCCATATCAATGGAGGCATATTTTGATACTATGGTTTCCTCAGCTCCACATGGCCTCAAAAACGTCCTTAAATTAAAGTTGTATAAAATTATAAGTGTACATATTTTCCATGCACCTTTGTTTTTAGCTGAAGATATTTTTGTCTTTAACATGAGGTGATATTGGGTTTAACATAGCATTCAAGATTACTGCACTTATAATATATAGCAACATGCATTCACATGTGTGTGGCTGCATGTACCAGTCCAGACTTATGCCGGTTTTATAGTGCTCAGCCACTGAGATACCATGCCACTGTTTAACATGGATATCCCACTCTGACATAATATACTGACTCCGAGCTGACCAGTCCTTGTTTTATCCTGAGAGCCAGACAAGGTAAAAAGTACCATCTAATTACGTCTTTTGGTATGCAATGGCCAGAGGATTACATTAAACCACCAAAATTCCACTCTATCCACTAGACCACGGAAGCAGTCTTTCTTCTTTACAAAACATTATTTTTTTAAACTGTTGGGCATGTTGAGATAGTGGGATATCAAGCCTGCTGATACAATTTACATCAGGTGACATCAGTGAGACAGGTGAGCACTCAAAACACCAAAGGAAAAAGATAGGCTATTAATAAATATGTTATACTGTTGCTCTACTGTATTTTGGAGTCATAATTCTTTGTGTTTACATTGTGAAATTTAATTTACAGGTCGTGTGACATAATTAAACAAAGTTACTGTTACGGCTCACAATATTTTCAAATCATGAGAACTGGGGTGAATAGATAGATCAAACAGTTTGTTATGAAATCTGAAATCGAAAACAAAATCATCGAATCTTATTTTGGTTTCCATTCTTGTTTTCTGATTTAGCAGGTTCTGCATTCTGGTGTTAATGTGGAATATTACACATTTAAGAAAGAGTTTAACGCATTTCTAAAAATGACCATGAACTCGAACAATAATATTGGTGTCATGTTTCACATATTGTACCGGCAAGTGAGCAGACGATCATTTTGCCCCGGTAAGACTGCGTGTCAATGCCAAGGTGAAGTTTACATTTGGGTACGAGAAACTCACCGCCATACTCGGATTCGACTTGGTAATATACACCACGGAGGGATAAAACTGTTTCTTTTGATAGTATGCATTTCCTACAACGAAACCAGTTAGAGCAAAACTGGCCACTGTTAATACAAGAGACCGCATCTTGCAGTTGCGTCTGATTGTGTTCCTGTTTCCGAGCTTTTGACGTCACCAACATGGCGGTGATTTAGGTCGATTAGTAGGTCAATGTGCTAAAAATAGCACTTCTATTCGTGGCCTAACGTCATTGGATTGAAGAGAAATATATCAGCATTCTTGTTTTTTATTTAGTAGGCATAACGTGTGAAGATTTATGGCATCGTGCTTTATAAGCATATTCATGTTACTTCTTAATTCCCTTTTTAAACAGATATACTGCCGATACACTCTTCTGCTGATAAACTGAAAAATATTTTTCTGAGTCTAAAGAGCATGTTATAGCTATCACTAAGATTGTTTGTTTGTTTGTTTGTTTGTTTGTTTCTTGTTTAACGCCTCACTCAGCAATGTTAAAGCTCTATGACGATAAATTTGGTCTTTCCCACATATTCTCACAATTTTCACGTCGATTGTCTGTTATTTTTTCTCCCAATACCGATTTGTCATATCTCTCCCGCTTTTGGAACGATCTTTCGGTCATTGCGTTTATTTTCGTTGACCAGCTATATCTATGGGGGAACAACCCACTAGTCACTTCATACGACGTCATCAAGTTGCGTGTTCGAATCTCCAGATATGACCTCATGATAGAACAATGTTTTATCGTGAAATAAACCACGCTTTGTTCTTCATTGTTCTTTGCGAATTTTCCCGTAGCTATCTTATATATGGCGATAATAAAGTCATGAAATCTGAAATAGGTGTTATAAAAAAACCGATATCTACATATATTTTGTTTATCCTGTAGGTTAAATGCACGAATTTGAAAATACTGTTATTATACACGTCATGATCAGAAATGGTGTTTTCTATAAAACATTGAAAATTGTGTCGTCAAGCTTTAAGGTAACATATGGTCAACATGACATCAACAGCGACTCGCTGCCACGTTATTTTCAGAGGTCGTTTACGGTAGGTTTGCTTTGCTTAAATATAGAACAGATCAGAGAACCTACCGCAGAATTCAAACGGTGAAGTGTATTTGTGTGCGTGGTTTATTCGACTTCAAAAGTGAGAAATTGAAGACGAGAAAAATATGTCCCAGTGGCATCCAGGGGATGAAAACAGTACATTACGAGTGATTCGTATTATTGTTTTATTAGTATTTGCATGCTGATCTTGATTAAGTTGATAACACAGAGACTAATTTTAACCTACTTGAAACTCGGATATATTTCCTATTGCTCGTAGCTCGCTGGTCGTTCTCTGATTGTAAACCACATGGAAGTGAACTGTAAACTTAATACCTTTGGGGCAGTGGGGTAGCCTGGAGGATAAAGTGTTTGCTCGTCAGGCCGAAGATCCGGGTTCGACCCGTGTACAATGTTTGGAGCCCATTTCTGGTGTCCTCCAACGTGATACTGATGGAATAGTGCTTAAGCGGCGTAAAACCATATTCACTCACTCACTTAAGACCATTGAGGTTTAAGAGCTCTAAATAGTTTGTTTATTTTTTAACGCTGCACTCAGCACTATTCCAGCTACATGACAGTGGTTTGTAAATAATCGAGTCTTGACCAGACAATTCAGTGACTGACATCATGAGCATGGATCTAGGCAGTTGGGATACGATGACATGCATCAACCAAGTCAGCGAGCCTGACCACACAATACCTTTAGTCACCTTTACGACAATCGTGGGTTGCTGAAGACCAATTCAAACCCGTAATCTTCACGGGATCCACACACGTGAGTGGAATATATTTGTACTTACATGTGTCTCAATCTGATTGGTTAAAAAATGGAATTTGAAACACGGACATTGCCGTCAGTTCCAACAGAATTGTTTGTCCATCGAATACCCAATACCACTCGCGAATCTAAAAAAATATAGAATCTCACCCAGGTGTCTTTTAATATCAAATATATCTACACGGGTCGATAAAAGTTTTAAATCGACGAGTGTTGATATATTTGATATCAAAAGACACAATGGTGAGATTCTATTTATCATCCAACATCATTCTTCAAACTTTTTTCAGTTTGTAGACAGTAATAAGGAGCGTCTAACGTGTAAAAAGTATTTCTCACAGCTTCAGTAGCAGAGCCACTAGTGATATTTACAATGTAGATATCGCTTGATCTCACCCAAGCGATATCTCCTGTGGGAGCCAGTTTTGGATGATAAATAATGGTTTTCTCCTGAAGAATTAGGTTTCATATTTACCAATAATATTTATTCAACCAAGTGTCATGTGCTTTCGACTAGTATCCGAAATATTGCTGAGTGCGGCGTTAAACAACAAACAAACAAACAAACAAACAATGACCAGTAGACATTTTTCATGAACCCTTTCGCCAATTGTCGACATTCATGCAGACATGTTATATATAGACACGATTATACACCATGCATCTTGTGACGTGTGGTTGACATCCATGAAGACATAACGGCCACGTTAACCCTCAACATATCCTTTGACAAATGGTCGACATTCGGGTAACCAGGTAATGTTTGTTCAGTGACATTCAATCAGACAGGTGGCCGCTGTGACGTCACGTGTATCTGGTGGTCAGCTGATGGCATTCCTGCATACAGATGGCCATGGTCATCTCACACACGTCTTGTGGCCAACAGTCGACCTTGTCTTCAAATAAATGGTCACATTAATTTTTATTTTTTTTCACTGTGGTCACATTCGTCACCTGCACTCACCCATTTCCATAACCTGCGAGAAGACTCGTCCCCCAATCGATGAATGCTATGTGCGAAAATACGGCAAACCAATCAGAATGCGCGTATGACTTCAGGTACTTCGGTCAAAGAATCCCTCAGGAATATTTTTTTAACATAGGTCTTGCTTCTAAAAATATACCCAAGATACAGTTAAATGTGTTCAATCATACTGTAAGTCAAGATGTGTTTTCCATAGCATCAGGAATATGTATGATATGTAGGGGAAATATACGTGCCTGGATGCGCTTAGACGGAACCCAGTCGCAAAAATGAGCACGAGAGGGGCACGTGTCGCTATTCGGCTTGTCACGGAATGACACGAGTTGGTCACGAATGACTGCATTCGCGACCAACTCGTGTTATTCCGGGACAAGCCGAATAGCGACTCGTGCCCCTCTCATGGCCTTTTTTGCGACCGGGTTCCGTCCTAGCGCAAACGGCCATACCTAAAATAATTGTCAACTCGTCGCGTTATGGTTCACATATATTTCCCAATATATTACATATATTTCAGATGCAATTTAAAGCACATCTGGACATGTGGAATTATACAGTATGATTGAACACATTTAACTGTGTATTGGGTATATTCTTAGATGCATGACATTTGTAAAATCAAATATTATTTCTGAGTGATTCTTTGACGAAGAACTTGAAATCATACGCGCATTCTGATTGGTTTGTCGTATTTTCGCACATAACATTCATCGATAGGGGGACGAGTCTTCTTGCAGGTTAGGGAAAGAGGCGAGTGGTGACGAATGGAATGACTGTGGCCAGTGGCCGAGAGTGTCAGATGACCAACCCGTGTATCCTGAGTGTGATGAACAATACATTTTCACTAGAGACAGATGGTCACTTTAGTTCCCTATCGTGTGGCCATCTTCTTCATTTATGACGTCGTTTCTCGTTTGACGTCATTCCGTCATTACGTGAAGTGATATTTGCAATAGTGCACACACGATAACATCACATATACCCTCTGGTAATTTGTGGTATTTTGTTACAAGATCCACCAGCGAAACAATGCCATGTGACGTCAGCCAAGCAACCGGTTTGCTGGGGTCATCGAGTGTGCATAAGCTTCTCTCAGTGACCTGTCATCTCTACACGCAATGTCATTGAAAAAGCCAAGGGATTTGGGGAGTTTTCGCTATTTGTTAGTGAAACCTCTTCCCGCAGGACATGAACACGTGCTTTGGTAAATATTACACTATGCGTAATACAAAGGTGTGTTTATTAAACAGGTGATCTCTTCTCTGGTGAGTTATAAATGTCGAATAATGCACATTGCGACGCATAATAACATTCACTCAGTCACTTGTGGTCTTGTGGTCAACCTTCAGACAGATTGTCAAGTTCATCCTGCGGTCAATGACGGTTATTACCTTAGAGTCTAATCAACCTATGTACTTCATGCTTGTCTTAAGAGCCGACTAAAAGGAGTAATGGGTGATCAGGCTGTATGACTACCGGTTGATTGCGTGTCATAATTCCCCAATGACGTGGATTGTTGTTCTTGCTTCAGTTACAGCCAGCCTTAATTTTGTTTTATCTAATTGCTGATTGCACGTTAAACAACATTCACACACTCTAAAGTCAGGCTTGCGTATGTGATGCATGTAATGTTTTAGAGTCTACGGGAGATTAACAGAATGCAAATTCAGTTAGTTTGTTTGTTTCTTGTTTAACGCCGCACTCAGCAATATTCCAGCTATATGACGTTATACATGGGCACAGATCTCCACGCCGTCGGGGTATGATGACTCCCAGTCAGCCAGATCACACATTGCAACCACATTATCTTTGTTTTGGGGGGTGCACGGGTTGCCCAATCGCCCTAGGCGCCGCAATCTGCTGAGCAGATCGAGTAGCCTCCCTTGGGCACGCCAGGAACTGGGAGCGTAGGTTCGATTTCTCCCTTTTGTGTTTCTTCTGGCGTTTAACCCAAGTCACCCACTCACTTTATTTCGACAGGTAACAGCGCCATAATTGAATCTGGTCCGTTCGTCCCACGAGACGATTAATTGACAAAATCCACTCACGAAGTAATTTCTATTAGGGCTGGGACGGGTAATTCGGGTACTCGGGTCGGGTGGGTACTGAGTAGGACCCGGGTACCCACAGGACTACCCGGACCCGTGGTTAGTCACGTGATATATTGTTTAATGACCAAAAGGATCTAAAACTCTATGTTTAAACTACAAGTCACTAATGTTCGCAGTTCTTCCGGACGACTAGGCCCGTTCCTTCTGACTATTATATGTTTGAATAAAATTAAAATTTTAGTCAACTTCAGTGTATACACCAGATCGTTTCAAACGTGTACCTAAACACATTCGACCAGAAGTACGGTCAAACTTTTCCCAATCGGACAGTTTGTACCTACCTCTTGAGACCTACAGCGGGTAGGATCGGGTAGGGTCGAGTAATAGTGGGGTGGTTACCCGGGTAGTAAATGTGGGCTCGTCCCAGCCCTAATTTCTATTCCAAATACACAGTCTGTAAACACCACGTTATACAAGAGAGAATAGGTTAACAGCTGCACTATTTTCAACTGGTGCTATAGTTAGCAATACGTAGTATAGCAATGTTTAATGAGGTAATTCAATCGACGTTTTAACTGATCGCTAAATCTGAGTTTCAATTTCTTGTAATAATTCCTGTACCTTAATTACATACATACTTTCAGTTTCATTTCATTGACTAGTTCACTTTGTTATGACCCATAGTTTATAGTTAGTCAGGCTTAGAACCTTTTGAACAATACTCGTAATCGTAAGAGGCGACTCAATGGATAGGGCGGTCAGACCCGTGGACTATATATAGTTGTTAGCGTGTCAACGTACCCCAACGGCGTGAGTGCATATATCACTCTTGTGGAATGTAAATAACCAGACTCTTATTATTGCTTGCGCACAGAACACGCGAAATGCGAGGAAGAATATGAACTTGAAAATTTAATATTTCTTAAGAACCTAGATCTATATTGTGTGGAGTAACGTTCTTCTGAAAAAAATCATGATAAAATACCAAATACCACTATTAATTTGGTCTTTGAGTACATGTATTTGTTCTCAGTAAGATTTCTCGACACAATCTTATAATACACTGTACACAAAACGTAATGTAACAATGACCACGCGGATAAGAATAAAGGGGAGATCACTCTAAACTGTTACTAAAAACATAGAGGTCGCCGGCGTCGCGCACCTAGCAGACGACAGGAAATCCACAGAAGTTGCATTTGTCAGCTGCGGAAAAAGTAGCTTTTTGGTAAGTAACATTTTAAGTAAGTACATCTCTGGCTAAATTAGTATAGGTTCTTTTAATAGTACGCACTGCTTGATTTTGTAATGTGTGACATTATCTTGCAATAGAGAATGGTTGAAGAAATTGATGAATGTAGATGAATGAATTTATAAAATGTCATAACCGCCAGCTGACCACAGGGGCTTAGTGACCATATATATCTTGCTGATAGTTTTGCGTTACGATAAAGACCCCGTGGACATAAAAACGAAAGTTTACAAGATTTTAGTAATATGGCTATAACAAAAGTGGGCTTGAAGAGGTTAATCAAATGAAGACATTATGCCTACATAATTTATTGAAAAATGATGATTTTTTCAAATAATATTTAAAGAATTGCAACAGCTTTTTTATATCGCAAAATGATTCGGGCTTAAAAAAGCCTGGGTCAAAAGCAGCGGAAGAAACTAACATTTGTAGTCCAGTTCTTATAATGATAACATGAAGCAAAACCCTTATGGCAAATTTCTACTAGTCCATATGATAAGGACTACAGGACTGGTATCAATTTCTAATGCTGGTATAATGTAGATAGAGGAAATTTGCCATTTTCAAGGTTTTCTCTATATGCTATCATTATAAGGACTAGTGGACAAAAAATGTTATAATTTTCTGTGAAATTGAAGAATAGATATAACTACCCATAACTAGCCTAGTTCATGGAAATGTTCGCTAGCACAGGCTATCACAACCCACCACAGGCTAGTTGGCAAGCATTATTTTCTAAGTGTTTGTTACAATATTCACTTGTATTTATCAATGAAGAATTGGATAAAGAATTTAGTCAACAGGTTACAAATTTCCACTTTCAGTCACAGATGAGCCTTGCCCTTCCTAGTTTTGAAGCAACATATGGTGGGATATATTTTACAGGCTTCATGAAAACTTGAATTCCTGATTATCCAAATAGGCCTAATGAAGATAAGGAGCTTTTGATACCACATATTCCCTGTCAACCTGCTGTTGTTTCAACCACAGCATTATCCACTGCATAATCATATGAAGAGGCAGAGGCAACAATCGCAACAGAATGAAGGGAATTCTGTTGAAGAGCCTTCTTCTTTTAATCATGTGCCAGCCAAAAGACAAAAGAGGTCATGTTTCATTGTTAAGGGAAAAGAAATGAAGGCATTCTTTGGCCTCATAGGTAAGTATCAGTGGTAGAAACTAACATTATTGGTCCACTAATCCTCATTATGATAACATATAGCAAAACCCTTAAATGTGGCAAATTTAGTTCTTATGTATTCGATACCTTAACAATTGGGCAGCTTGACAAGGATTATAGGACAAGTAACAATTTCTGAAGTTGAAGTATGATCACATTTCAGATATACTAGTAAGGTATGAGTTGTAGACTTGTAGACATCATCATGTCTCCTTTGACTTCTTCAAAGTCATGCAAACTGTTTTACAATGTGTCTTGCTGACAATTTTTTTTATTTGGTCTAAATATCTCAAAATTTGTTAAAACCGGTTGAAACCAAGTTTAGATATTTTCTACTGAGTATCAGAAATGAAAGGAAGTTATTACATCCTTGCAATTTTCAGCTATAGTATTTTAATAGGTGCTTATTTGCCTGGCCAACACTCAGTTATTCACTCAGTGAATTTGGTGAAGACAAATGGCATCAGGTCATTTTCATGATTTCATGAACTTTTAATAGCACACTCTATATCTTTACCATATTTGAAAAAATATCTAAACCCTGTTAACCTGCTGCTGGGATATAGATTGTATGTTGTTGCCTGATGTAAAACAAGAAACAAATCCATCTTGACCTGTCTTTCATCAGGCAATATTCTGAACCAAATTCAGGAAAAAATCTGCAACTATTTGTTTAACCAAACAAAAACCACACATGATGACAAACGACTATTGAGTTTTGATACTGTTCTCAGCGTTAGAAACTAAGAGTTTTTGTCCACTGGTCCTAATAATGATAACATATAGCAAAACCCTTAAAAAGGGCAAATTTCTACTAGTCCTTATGATACCTTTACCACTGGGCATTTTGGCAAGGACCACAGGACTAGTGCCAATTTCTAACACTGTGACTTCTATTGCTACGTATAACCTTTACTCATCCATGACCAGTAAATTTGTTTATATAATAGTCCACTTTATATACATAGTTGTACTTTCAAGTGTTGATTAAAAGTATGTAAGTTCAACGTGTGTGAAAACTTAGTAAGACAGTTAGGGATGTGGATATGCATGTGGAATTTGTTGCATAAAATCAATTATCTCATACTTATTCAATGATTATCTATTTTGGATTCCAAGCTTTCTATCCTTGACAGGCAAACTGGAAAGAAAGCATTCTTTTGTTCAAATGGGAATTTTCTTAATATTCAAATATAGATAAATTCAGAAGAACTGAGACATTTTTTACTCAGCTTGGGAATTTGTACATTTTATTGCAGACTTGGAGTCAAATATAGGCCTCTGAGTAGGACATCATTGCTGGAAGTGTTCAAATTAATAGATTAGATGGGCCTCACTTTCCAACCAAGGAATTGATCATGAAATCTGTGATTTACTTTTTTACATTTATACTAATTCATTTTGTAGAGGATCCTGAAATTGAGTGTGATGCATAGAGATGATATAAAAAGTTAAAAACATAAACGTCTGTTGCTGGTAATGTGTTTGTGTTTCAGATTAAGTGTAATATGAATGTTTCTTTTTCATTTATTGTTATTTATATGAAGCATACAGAAATAATACTCTAAATTTAATTTTTCTGTTCTCATTCATAAATAATCGTTAACTATCAGTCATTGCTTTTTCCTGGTCACATTCAGCACACCATGAAAATGTACCATAAAGTCATTTACACCAGACTCCATCGGGTCTTCAAAATCACTTAGTGAGAATTATTTCTTCTCTCAGATTAATGTTGGTAATCTGGATTTTCAAATATATATAAATCTAATTAGTTAGCTTTATTACTAATGTATATTTCACCCTATGAACAACTTAGATAAACTAAACCATGCCATGTCATTTTATGGTTTGTTGTGCTTGAACAATGTTTCTTTTTTATGTGTTCCAGCTGATGAACTGATCCAAGACTTCCTTGAAATGGATAGCTGTATGAGAATTGCTGATAATGTAAGCTGTACTGCTTAACATTTTGCTTCAATTGTGACATTGGTTATGTGACATGATATATAAAGCTGTTCTTGGTCACACATACAGTTGGCACTGAAGATTTGTAAACTTATACCATGATGCACATAAAAGATACAGTCAGCTTCACAGTTCAAATTAAGTGTTGTTGATTTTGTAGGTTTTTCGTTTATCAGTGTTTATCAGGACAGTACTACAATTACGTTTAAGTAGTCTATCAAACAACTTCATGATATTTTTAGGTCTACTGATGAGCTAGCATAATCATGTGATTACAGTTAACTCCAGATCCTCAATCAGGATTGTTGCCGTCTGTAACTTTAGCCACTACTGCGAAACCAGAGTCTATTAAAATTCTGTTCGGTCTAGTAAGCTCAGGTAATAACACTAAAATCTACTGAAAGTAATGCTTAGAGCTATGTTTGGGCTAGTATACTCAAAAGATTTTGGCAGAGACTGCAGTTGTAACAAACATTATTATTCATGTGAAGTGATGTTAATGTCCCTTCTGGATATGTCTGACTCACTATACTTCATATAATATGAAATTATTTTATATTCTTCACCATTTCCATTTACAGTATTTGATTGCAATGGTGTTTGCCTACTTCAAGAGAGCTGGCTACTCTCTGAGGGAGTATTCAAGGACCAATTTCTTCATTGCACTGTAAGCACTAATTTACTTTTTTCGACCATATAATGATTATGATTTCTTCTGTCCAAGAGTGAGTACTACACTTTGAAGGCTTTTCCTAGCCACATACAAGAATGATAAAAGATCTCTTGTAAGCATATACAAACATACTAATAAAATTTTGGTACATTATGTTTACGACATATTAACTATTATATATAGTCATATAGACTGGACATCTTGACTAGTTCCTTTTCATCCTCGCTGCATATGGGAGGGGGAGGGGGGGGTGTTTAGAGTCATCATCTGGTCTGTCTGTGTCATTTCGTATTTCATCAAAACTTGGTACATATATTAACCAGGGGCTGAAGTCAAGCCTTTTGCTGTTTAGGAATATTTATAAACTTATTTTTTTCCTGTGTTTGTCTGTATCATATCTCTAAAACAATAATTAGGTACTCTTTTTTTAAAACTGCATACACAAAGACAAGCTTGTCAACTGGTGCCTTTTTCTAATTAGTTTGTGGGGGCAGGAGGGATTTGTAATCTTCTGATGACTCTTCAATGTAATGAATGGTGAAGATATATAGTGTTCAACATGGGTTATTTTCAGTGTGGGAAATATCAACTGAGCTATAGATATTCAGAATTCATTTATTAACGGAACAAGGTGGATATTTCCCAGAGCATATAACTTCTATTTATCCTTTTTGTAAAGCTTAAAACGATCTTTGTCAGGATGAACAGAAATTGGAGATGGAGTAACATGTTTTAGTTAAATTAATATATCACTCTTGTTTTCAAGGACATTCACTGATTGTCATAAAAAATGTTTTCAATATTATTTTTTTAAATTTTGATAATTTAGGGGAATTTTCTATCAATTTTTGCTTACAGGTAAATGATGAAAATGCCCCGATAACATTTGTCTTCGAGCAAAATCACTGTATTGCATTTTTTTACAAACGCCAGTTTAAGTACTAGTTTATGTTCAAATGCCTTGGAATTCACTATTTTATCTCAATACTGTCATCTTTAATTGTTTAATTTTAGCAGATTGTGATAAGTTTTCACTAAAATAGAATACGTGGAAAAAGAATTTGCAAAGCATGCGCATTAACTCAGACAGGCTAAAGAATGCTAAAAGATGATACTTGTAGATTGAGCGTGGCACCAAACAAGTGTTTTAACTATTGGGCAGGACATTCATTGAATGGATTTAATTTCAGATATCTTGCAAATGATGTGGAAGAAGATGAAGAGGAAATAAAGTATGAAATCTTTCCATGGGCTCTTGGCAAAAAATGGAAAAAGAAATACCCTGGATTTCTAGCCAAGAGAGATAAATTACTGAAGAGGATTGACTACAGAGCCATTGTTAGCAAGCGTTGTTGTGAGGAGGTAACTGGAACAAAATGCATGTGGAAGTTGATTGAATTTCAACTTTGAAAAAGTAAAATAGCTATGATTTTCTGCATAATATAATACATTGAAACAGTGTTTAATCTAAAGGTACAATAAGCACAAATGGAACATTTGAAAAAAGAGCCATTGCCTCTATTGCTCACCTGGTATTAATGCATTTACTTAATGAACATTGAAAAACAATATAGCTCAAGTGCACATACGAAAAAATATGCATGGCTACATGGTAGATTCTTATGAGATACAGGTCTACTGCACTAGACATACAGTAATTATCTTCCTGAGGCGAACACTTTATCTATAGCATCTAAAGTCAGTGTTTATAGGACAAACATAAAACTGTGTATTCTTAATATCTTGGGTCACAATTTGGGCTTCTTCCCATGTTTGTTATCATATGAACTCCACCAATTCTAATCATAGTCATTAAACATCTAAGTCTTTTTGGAGGAAGTCGCCAAATAAAATTCTTGTTTTAAAGGAAAAGTTAAATCTAATTTGGGACTTTGTGATATTTGCAGACCAGCACTGAAGGTAACAAACATTATGTCTGAGTGTTGGGCTGTTTCAATTCTCCAATGTACCAGGTGCATGAATCGAAGTGACTTTAATGTCTGTCCATTGTCTGCCAGCTACTGCTGCAAATTCAAAATTTTCTTTGGAAACTATAACTGAAAATGCTCTTTGAAACAAAATGAGGTGTGAAGCTGAACCTTTGCTGACTGATCCCACATTAGATCTTTACGTTAACATCGTCTTCATCCCAAGTTACCTTTGATGTGCTTGCAGATAATGGCCATTGAGAACTCGCACATGGTATGGAGTCGAGAACGTCTTGCACATCATGGTGGTGCATTGAGGAGTTACATGCTTGACTCAGAAGATGATAACTATCCTCGTGGACCTGATGCCACTCCAAGAATATGTCACCTGTGTGATGCAACAGACAGCCAGTATGATTCAGCTAGTCCTTCCAGTTATTCCTGGTACATTTCATCAACAGACTCCTCGCCAGAAACAAACTGCAGCAGTGTACACTCTAGATTTGACATGAAAGGTACATGACACATTATTGTTGATAACATGGACATATTGCAATAATAATGAGAAAAGAAAGATAAGTATTTGTAAATACAGATTTACAGTGTATCATACTTGTTAACTTATTACACACTCTGTGTATGAAAGATGATTTTTGCCTCACCTGAACTGAAAGGTGTATTTGTTGGCATATGTGTAAAACAATTTATTTTTGTATTTCAAACATGGCCTACAGCCTTCTTTTCCATTTATTCATGCACCAATTTGTTTATAATGTAAACATTTCAATATATATAGGCTATGTATAATGTCTTTCGTGTAGAAATATATTTTTTCTTGGGGGTAGTATGTTTATGAAGGTGTAATTCTAATTTTCTTTAGAAATCATATTGAAACTTTGCCTTCAGGCCCCTGAGATGCCATTTTTTCATGTCATTTGATATGCAGTAATTATGTGGATTATTAAATGTCTGCAATGGTCTGGTGTTAATATATTAAATACAGTGTAAGGAATTTAGCAGGGTCCTTGAACTGGTTGTTATATCAAGATTTGCACCATAATATGAGATTTTGCCTTTCAAAACTTCTGGAGATTATTGAAGACAAATGTTTTCAGGGCATTTCATCATTTACCGGTAAGCAAAAGTTGATAGAAAATTCCTGAAAAAAATGCTCCTGTCACAGGTGTGTTGCTGATGAGAGACGAAGTATGTCCATTGCCTTCATTTGGCCAAACCATTTTTATCTCTGATTTCTTGATTTTCTATACCAAATTTTCAAGCATGCAGGAGGTTAAAAAAAACATTTTCATGCTGGGGCGAGTAGACTCATCCAAAAATGTGAAACGAAAGTGGTCTGCCCTGATTAATGCTTCCATTGCAAAATTAAAGAAATGTGGCACTAAATCCAAAATTCTCCTTTGCGACAGGTTTGAAAAAGAATCTCCCAGAACAGGGATCAGATGATGTGTGGCCAACAATTGAAGAATAATGCAACTATTCTCAACAGTTTTGATTAAACCATTAAATTGTGATAATGTTCTTCAAGCTGTGATATCTCAATTTATGTAATATATGTACTCAATTGTAAAAGAACTTAACATGTAGAAAGAATTCATAAAATGCTACCAGTGAGAGTGTTTGTTACTTTGCTATTTATTTGTGTTTGTGCCATATATGTGAAGGAAATGCCTTCAAATAGTATTGCTCTCTAGTAGTCTGTAGAATTTAATTACTTATTTGTTCTTGCTCATACATCTATTTATTGATAATGAATGCTGCTTTTTTTATATTATATTATTGGGTCAATTACAGTGAACATTTCTGCTTATAATATAACTTGAAAGTTTATAAAGGATATTATTTTGTTTGTGTCCAAGACTGAATTAGTATTATCATACTTTTACAATCTCATTAAAATCAGATCTTAGTTCTTGCTATCGCTGAACAAAGATCTGAGGACATCCCATTATGGGTCACGTCAGAACGACCTTTCATCCAACCAATCAGAGCGTCGCTTACCAGATCATGAAAGTGACAGCCGGAATGTGTTTTCGGATCATGCAACCTTGAAATATTTAACAGAGGGTATTCTGAACGACAGTTACGGGTTTTATGATTATATCCATACAATCTAGGCCGTCTGTAAACCATTCCAGAGTGTTCTTTTTATCAGTTTTAAAAATTTTAACCGAGAATACGTCAAAATATGTTTCGAAGCGTAGTCACCCGTTTGAAACTAGTGTCGTAAAGCTGCCTTCTGTAAGGCCTTGTCGATTTCTTGTCATTCATTTCATTGATCGGTCAAAGTGCGCAAGAGGTCGTTGTGATGTGACCCGTAATGGGATGTCCTCAAATCTTTAGCGGTAGCGAAAACTAAGATCTGATTTTAATGAGATTGATACTTTTATATTATATGACCACATCCACAAGGCATTCATAAGAAAATAAATAATGGAGTTTGGTTAAATTATATTCGTTTGGCTGCAAACTTCAGTTTGGATGGATTAGAAAAGAAAAAAAAGATGCAATTCAAAATAATTATTTTAAATTTTTAGGCTCTTACCACTACAATCCTTTCTAACTTTCTTTTTACTTATTTTCTGAGTTTTTGTGTACTATTTTATCTGGTTTGTTGTTTTTGTACTTCCATGTCACATATCTTGGTTTTATTTGAAATGTTTTTGTTTTCAGAGAAAACAAATATTAGCTAAATGTAACAATTGTTTTGTTCCAGGTGGAACCTGATTGTTTTTTGCCATGCTTTTTTGCCACAAACAATATTGTTGATAATTTGTTATATACTTCCATGTATTGTTTTTATCCTCACTATTTAAGTCAATGTACTAAAAATTAATGTTAAATCCTACACGGAAAGGCTCAAAATGAATAGTATTTAGACAGCAAATTTGAAGTGCATGATGGCACAGAAGGATCTCCACACAACATGGATTTGCATATGATTTACATTTAACATGATTTAAGGTTCAGTACCTTTGTGAAAAAGCATGTACATAATTACAGTATTCATGGTATCTGACCAGTTTGAATACGTATTCGACTTAATAAGCGCCCAGGGCGCTCTCAAAATTAGAAAGAGGGGGCTCTTATTAGAATTTTATTTTGGTGAAAAAGACAGAGTTGAAAGATAAATTTCGTGGTTTATGCTGACAGCCTGAAATGTTTATATACGAGAGATACATTTTTCCAGAATATAAATGCCCATAATTAAGGGTGCATATAACACACTAGCACGTATTATACGCGAATAAATAAGTGTTGTGTACATTGATCAATCGGAAGGGGTGTTAATTGGTATTGTTCACTAGCCAATATATTAGCAAATATCGCCGTGGGCGCTTATTAGAGCAGGGCGCTTATCACGTCGAATGGTAGTTAATAAGAAAGGGTTTGTGATTTTGAAATGATAGTTTGTCAAGGTCCAAACAAAATAAACAAGAAATAACATTCAGCGGGCCTTACTCTGAAAAATGTGCGGCAAATTGTAGTTTTTAATTTAGTCTGTATACTGCAGGAAGTCTCGGTAGGAGACATACCTGTTATGAATCCTACAACTTTTTCATGCAAATCATTAATGAATGTTCAAGTTGTTGTGAGAGTAGCAACTGTTTGCAGCAAAAACTGCGAGTCAGAAATTCAGATTTGCCATCATAACCCATGTGGAGTTTCCCGGTAAGAATTATCACCAGCAACCTGTACTGGTAGAAAGAGACGACAAAGTAGATTGGGGGGTTAGGCTTGGTGACTTGGTTCATGCAACTTCATGGAGTGTCATTACTGTAAATGTACCCCGATGCCGTTGATCGTTGCTCACAATATCAATCACTGGATTGTCTCATCAAGATTTGATTATTTACACGTTGCCGTCATATAGCTGGAATATTGCTGAGTGCAGCGTTAAACAATTTTTGTTGTTGATATTTCAATCTTGAAAATGCCTGTTTTTGCTTTCAAAGCCTGTATATAATGCTCTAACCTGAATAATTCCACATTATTTAACAACCTTCCATCATTTGGAGTGTGCTATTCCTGAAGATTAACATTGGCTAGCAACGCATGTGTTTGATATGCTGTTGTTACCAGCAGTCTTCTGTATTATGTGACTGAAAAATAAAAGGTTTTTGCTTACAGACTACTATTTTTATTTTATCATGTTTATGAATATCTGTATTGATCACATCATTTCAATGATGAATGCTGACTTGTGCAAACAGTTTTGGAGATAAATATGGAACGCAAATGCACTTAAGGTACTTACATCTTTAAAATAATCAGCTGGTTTTAAAGACTTCAAAGGGATTTGATAAATAGCATTTTCCAAATTTAAGAGTACTATTTTGCCATTTCCGGTAACGGTATAAACAACCAAGTCAATGGATTTAAAGTTCAGAAATATGGAAGTCAACTTAGTTCAACACCAACTTTGAGCGGTATTTCAGTTACACCATGGTGTATCACTTTAAATATGCTTAATATGGGAATCACAAAGTAATGCAGATAAGTAATGCACAAAGTCTTAGATTTTACCACTTTGGTGGAACATATGACCACAGAACGGGTAAGGGTATTATGGTGTGAAACCAAGGATCATTTTCAGAGTGAAACCTGAACCCAGTCATTAGATTCTGGCATGATATTTACAGTCCAAGCCAGGGGCGTAACTAGGAATATTTAAATTGCATGCACATGTATGTTGCATAGCTTGACATAGGATTACCCAGTCTTTACTATGTTGCCTAGAAAACGTTCGTTCTTTCATAGACCATTGTAATGTTTTTTAGAAAAGCAAGTATCAGATCAAACCCTGGCAGTGAACAGTTATGCTTACAGACAAATACAACGTGAACCAAGCACAAACAGGTTCCAGTAATATTGTCTCCAATACTGATGCCACATTGACAAACTGGAAACTTCTAACATAACAGTACAGATTTGAACCCACGTCCTCAGTGTAGGGCACCTAATCGCCACCTCTGAATTAATGTTAAAACACCTTATAAACTAAACACATATGACTTGTGCATAGAGCATTGAAACAAGGAAAGTGCTCAATCCCCTGGATATATTACCAATATACTTATGAAGAGACAACTAGTCTAAAGACTACCTTTTAACCAGATCAATTTGAAAAAGAATCTGCAACTTTAAATACACTCAGTACAAGTAGAAATGTAAATGCTTTGCATACATTTTGTGATGTAACAGTAGTGAAACTATTGGAGATAAGTACATTTCTCCTTGTATATTTAAGTGATTTTTCATTCTTTATATCTGTTAATTCTCAGAAGTGTGCATTGAGTTTGTTTGAACGATTTCAGGTCGCTCAAATACCAAATACTGAAGTCTCATTATCTGATTATCAGATCAAAGTTTCGATATATTTCTTATACATGTAACACATTTACATAATCAACCAGAAACATTGAAAACTATGTTCTTTTTCGAAGTAATCGCATGTAAATGGCATGTACTGAAAAGAGGTGCCAGACTTCGTTTATGTGGTAAGATGAGGTGAAATTTGGTTTAACGTCTCGTCCAAGATTATTGCACTTATATAGCGGCATGAATGCACGTGTGTGTGTGTCTGCTTGTACTATTCCGGACTGATGCCAATTTATAGTGCTAGCTCATTGAGATACTATGCCGCAGTTTAACATGAATACCCCACTCAGACACAGTATACTGACTCCGAGCCAACCAGGCCTTGTTTTAGCCCCTTAATGCCGAACGCCAGACAGGGTAACAACAAGCACCATCTTTTAATGTATTTTGGTATGACACGGCATCGAACCCCGGACCTTCCGCTCTTCGGGCGGACACTACCACTAGAGCATGGAGGCTGTCTCGTATATATATATATATATGGCAGTCAGTTGATCACTGCACTACCACACCCACACGACACATTCATAACAACTCGTGTCATTAAGGCAGTTTAAAGAAAGGGGCCATTGTTATGGGGTTATAGCTAAAATGCCACCTCAACAAAACATCACCAGGTGAAAACGGCACTGATTTGCGAAAACGTCACCTCGTCTCAAGTGAAATCATCTACTATTGCTTGGAGAAAATGGCACCTTATTTGTTTTTTACCTTGGTACTGATGAAAAAAATGAAATTAAACTCACATGGTTACAAACACCAATAATTGTGAAATGTTCAAACAATTTTACATTAGAAATTAGCCTCTATTTCAACTGTATTCCAACCTAGCCTATACACTACTCAGCTTATTGTGAAAACAAAATGCTTTGTAGCAAAATAAAATTAAACTCACATTGTCACTTATTAGAGATGGGACAAGTCCAAATTTACGCTACTACCCGGGTATCCATCCTCCTATTACCCAATCCTACCCGGATATCCGCTGTAGGTCTCAATAGATACGAGGGGTGTTCATTAAAGATTTCCCCTAAACCACTTAGGGTTATCATATTTGGTTGAAATTTCACATGTGTAATGATACATGTATCTATGGGTTATGTCTGAATTTGCAGCACCGAACTATTAATCTTACCACTTTTACAGGTGTTATGATCGAGTAGGGTGTGACAATGGAGCCAGCAGAATACCGAGCAGTGATTAGGTTTTTATATTTGAAAGGTCCAAACCAAAAGAAACTTTTGATGAAATGAAAGCAACTTATGGGGAAGATGCCCCATCATATGACGTTGTTAAACACTGGCATCGCCAGTTCAAGTGTGGTCGGACATCTGTGGAAACAGGTGCCATTCCTGGTCGCCCCCATTCAGCCATTGATGAGGACACTATCCATCAAGTGGAGACCGCCATTTTGGCAGACCGACGTATAACTGTTCGCCAGTTAGCACAAGATGTCAAGATCAGTGTAGGGTCTGTGGAAAAAATCATCCATGACAATTTGAACATGCATAAGGTGTCTGCACGATGGATTCCCAGGTTGCTCACCCCTTTCGAAAAGCAGGAACGAGTCAATTGCTCAAAGGATCTTTTGGACATGTGCCAAAAAAAACAGGCAAACTTTTTTGACAGACTTATCACACAGGATGAAACATGGGTCCATCACTATGATCCTGAGACTAAAGTTCAGTCGATGCAATGGAAGCATGTGGAGTCACCACCCCCAAAGAAGGCATGTGTCCAACCCTCTGCAGGCAAGATCATGCTCAAGGTGTTTTGGGACCAGCACGGAGTAGTGATGATGGATTTCTTGGCAAAGGGTACCACAATTACAGGAACTTATTATGCTTCCCTGCTGCGGAAAATGCGGGACGCTATCAAGCTTAAGAGGCGTGGCATGCTGACCAAGGGTGTCCATCTCCTGCAAGACAATGCTCCAGTACACAACTCTCACGTTGCCCAGACAGAAGCGCGGTCCTGTGGCTATGAAATCCTTCCACATCCTCCTTACTCTCCTGACCTTGCACCATCTGACTTCCACCTCTTTCCAACCATAAAGTCATTTTTGAAGGGAAAACGTTTCACAGATGATGAAACACTGATTTCTGAAGTCAAGTCCTGGTTTGAGACGCAAAATGAGGGCTTTTACAAGCGAGGTCTCCATAGTTGCATAAAACGATGGGAGAAGTGTGTAACTCTTGGTGGTTCCTATGTGGAGAAAGACTAATACCTATGCCAAGTTTCATTCCACTAGGTCCATCGGAAGTGGGTCAGGGGAAATCTTTAATGAACACCCCTCGTAGGTACAAAATGTACGATTGGGAATAGTATGACCGTAGTCCTGGACAAAATGTATTTAGATACACGTATAAAACGATCTGGTCATGCATACACTGAAGGTGGCTGAAGATTTATCTTTATTGAAACATATAAGAGTCAGAAGGAATGGATGCATAGCCAGAAAGAAATGTGAACATTAGTGACTTGTAGTGTAACCATAATAGTTTTTGATCATTTTTGTCATTAAACTATATCACATGACTAACCACAGGTCCGGGTAGTCCTGTGGGTACCTGGGTCCTTTTCAGTACCCACCCGACCCGAGTACCCAAGTTACCCATCCCAGCCCTTTAACTTATAAACACAAATAATTGTGAAATGTTAAAACAAGTTTACATAAAACTTGGTGCTGTCAGATCACAATGATTCACAATGGCCTTTCGATGTGTTGCATGTGAGAAGAATGTAAGAAAAATTACTATATCATGCTATAACATGCTATATCATATGACAACTGTGACCAGTGGACCCATCCTTATGTGGTACCCGACTTTCGGTAGCCAGACTGAAGAAGACCAAGATGATTAAAAGTTTGAAGAACTGTATATATGTCAATATCTGTAGTTATCAGTGAATAACTGGAAAACAGGAAATGACAAAACAAATAAAATGTAAATAAATAATATATACTACTACACATATCGTTATTAAAATAGAGGTGCCGTTTTCGCCTAGAAATCGGTGACATTTTGCTGAGGTGCCGTTTTAGCCTGCACCCAGTGTTGTGAATGGCACACTTACCATTCAATAACACAGATTTGGCAATCAATCATCGTGTGCAGTAACCAGCCTGAAATTAAAAGTGTACAACAAACCGTTACGTAACCAGTTCGTAGGCGGTTCTCTTTGCGTCCGTTGCCTTGAACAGTTATGTGTGATGACGATTTTTTCACCATTTGTCTTATGTAACAAATGTTATATTTGGGATAATACTTTCTCAGTAAAATACAGATTCTAGAACCTTTCTGGGTTGAGTCCGATCCAGGATTTCGTACCCCAACTCCCCGAGTGAGGCACCTAATTGCTAATAGCCAGCACACAAAGTCTGCGATCTAACCCACTCAGCTTTCGGCCATGGGAGCCGTGCCAATTTACACTTGTCAGAGGGGTACACAAAGTATGTGATCTAGACTACCAGTTGTCGGACTTTTCTCGGCATTGAGAAGAACTACAATATTGGACTGCTAATTATTTTGTTATTACACTCAATTTTTCCTTCCCCCAGAACCGATTTCGATACATATACACGGGCGCAGCCATGTTGGTAAAGGTATATTGTTTTAGTCTCGTATGCATTCATAAAATGAAACATAGAATGTACTTTTTAACACTGCTACTAAAAGAGAACTTGTAAATTATATTATAATACAAACTGAATATTTTATTGTCGCGAATATTACTAAATGCCATTTGTCTGATGAAGATGAAATCTGAATACGAAACGAAGTATGACAACTTTACTTCTGAGTAGTCGCTTCCGGTGTGTGAGTTGTCAACAAACCTGCAAATGAGACATTTGGGTAATCCTTTCTTCAGATTCCGATGTCACTCTAGTGAAAAAGAATCATTTGATGATATATTGTTGTGTCTTTTTCAATGTTTTATGGTTACTTGTCAGTTTAGTTTGTTCCTTGTCAAAAATTTTATTGAAGCGATCAAACCGTCTTAGTACTCTTACTGTGGACTGACACATGTGTAAAAATAAACAGTTGTTCGTGAGCTTATAGCCTACACGTCTTAATAGTTATATTATCGCAAATGTGACTGGTTGTTCTTTGTCGTTTCGTTTTTTTGTAACGTTCTCTATTCTTGTGTGTTTGTTGTGGTTTTCGTATAGTCTATAGACTTCCACTGTACTTAAAATTCTTGCTGAAACGGCAGTGTCAATTCGGCACCAGATTGGCGAAAACGGCACCGGACTTTTGTACTATTGTTATATTCCCATGTTATGGGTTTTCGGACGCTTAAGAAACATTTGTAATTTTCTTGTGAATCACAAGAACATCTGTAAAACATTTCACTCACTTATGAAAGACGACTTTATCGTGAACACAGGTCATCATCTGAGTATTTATACAATGTCTGTGACCCCACACCCCTTGTTATAGCACAAGTAATCATGATAAACTTGGTTGTCCGAAGATGTATGATGTTCGAAAAACTATGATCTGACAAGACTATCATGTACTATGTACTATTGAATCAATAAAACTGAAATATTAGGGGTACATATCTCATATTCTAGCCATAAATTCAAGTGAACCTTTCTTTATGGCGGATAATGAAGATAGATGTTTATTCTAGATTTACACACACAATAGTATCAGATTCACGTTCAGCATCATTTTATTTGCAACAATCTGTCCAGTAGTCACACTCATGCCATGATTCATAAGATACATTTTTTTCCAATAATTATTCTGTGATTCTTTGCTCAATTAGTTTGTGTTTCTTTAACAATAAGTGTATCATCTGATCATTCAACAGTAAGCTGGTAATAGTTTGTTTCTTTATCAATAAAGGAGACTGCTGGCAGACGGGCAAGCGAAAGTATTTTGGCCAATGACTGGCAATTAAACAATTAGTAGTAGTGGCCAGAGGTTTTAAGATGATGCATTCAAAATTGTTGAGAGCCTGTCCAGAGTGTTGAATATAGTAACATTTGTTAACATTTATGTTAGAGTCCAAAAATGTTGACTGTTGAATACAATGAATACATGGAATAGTGTGAATTGTTTTAATGTTGGCAACATTATCGCAGAATGTTCTCTGTGTTGAATTTATGTTGAATAGTATGATTGGATTAAATGTCATTAAGACACGGGACACAGGATAAATAAATGTATGTTGAATGGTAAAATAGTGTTTACTTTGCATATATACCAAATGATATATATTATTATATACTTTTTGTGTAGTTTTCTACCAGAATTCTTTTTTACCATTAAAGGGAGACAATTTGAGATGAGTTAACTCTTGTATGACAATAGTTCCATTGAAGTGTTATGTTCACTGCAATGAAAATATCACTTTTCTCAACTTCCTGAAGTATATTATAAATGTGGTGCCATTTTAGCCAATTTGGTGCCATTTTATCCGATTTGGTGCCATTTTCGCACTTTTTGTGTTGTTTGAAATGGTACAGCTTTAGCCTGATCCCAAATTAACTAACAGGTCATTAGGCCTAAATGTGTTTCATATGCATTTTTTAAATAGAAATATTTATCCATTAGGATTAACCAGATACATGATCCTACACCATTCCTAGGTACGTAAAATGTCAGACTTTTTTTTTTCCAGAGGATGAAACCATCATGGCTCCTTTTCATAAAAAAGAATCTCTGACAAGAAAGGCACCTGCCAGCAGTCCTCCAAATGTGTGTGGTTTGATGTTGATTGGGGTCCTCACATTCCTCTGTGAATGGAACACCGCAGACACAATAGACGTGGAGCCGCAGAAGGAAGTGTACATTCCCGACTATTCCATCTATCACAACTTGACTTCCATACAAAAAGATGTTCAGCAGCTGCTTTTTCGGTACCCCAACTTCATGAAGATTGACTGGAAGTACAACTCAAGGCTGGGCAAACCACAGATGCTTCTCCACATCACCAACTTCACACTGAACACAGACCCCGACCAGAAGGTTGGAAGAAAGGTCAAAATGTTGCTATCATACGGTGAGCATGCGCGAGAATTCTTCCCAGTTGAAAGTATGTTCCATCTGTTGAGGAACCTCACCGGTGGACTTGGGTCAACACCTGGTAGTTATGAGGAAGTGTATTCCAGACATGTACTGTCCAGCACTGACCTACACATCATAGTGATGGCTAACCCAGATGGACGTGTGCATGTCGAACACTCCCACAATTACTGTTGGAGGGGAACAAGCACTGGTGTTGATCTCAATAGGAACTTTGACTGGGAGTATGCAAAGAAGGGGAGCTCGGCTGATCCTAATGATGAGGAATATAGAGGACCCCATGCTTTCTCAGGTAATAACTGGTATAACTATCAGTACTTTTTAGCTTATCCTGCATTACTCCTTAATGAATATATTGTTACAACTTGTCTGTCAGGTGACTAGTAGTAATATGGAGATTCCGTGATGTCACCACTGCTGGTATGACGTGGCAACTTTTTTCTCATCAGCTGGACACATCACAGCTTCGTTTCTGTCAAAAAAAAGCAGTAAATGCATTATGGAGTAATGCAGGATAAGTATATAAATATAAAAACAGAGCTCCAGATAAGCTTTTGGTGTTGTGGGTATTTTACCCATGCATTTTAAAATCATTGGGTATCAGTAATTCTATCTGCGTATTCAAATTTCTGTTACCCACTAGTTTTTACACATGTGGGTATTTAAGTTAAATATTTAAAAACACTATTCATCTAGTCCCTGCAAACTGGTGTCGTGTGGGTTCGAGAGCTTTATAGGACTCAAAAATACCACGATACTTCCACAAGAAAGTGTGATGGCAAATGATCATGATGTAACTGTCATTGTGGAGTTTGGCAAGGTTGACGGAATGCCCGTTTATAATTTAAAAATAAGTTGCTGATTTGCTAATCGAATACGCAGGGTTACTTCACAATATTTTGATGATACGCACAAGTTTTATATTTGTAGCGTATCTGTAATGTTCGTTGCGTATTTGATACGCTTGGATTATATTTTACTGTATATTTCTGCATTTCTGATGCGTATTTCACGCAGATACGCAGCTTATCTGGAGCTCTGTAAAAAATATCTAGATTTACTAGAACTGTACTCAATTTTGTTTTATTAGTTTAGTAAAAAACACTTGTAGACACGTTTTTGTGCTACAGGCAGAAATCTGTTATCCATGGACATGCAGTCATGCATATGAATAACTCCCTCTCAAATAGTCACTTGTACGAGTGGTGGGGACACGTCTCACGTACACATTACGGCCTCTCCTGATAAGACTAGCAGTCTGTCCAGTCCACCTTTAGAGAAATGGTAGATGTGCCTGATCATGAATACAGAGAGGTTTTTTTATTTCTCCTGAAGAAATGTGACTTGAATCATGAAAGAGGTGTCAGCATTCATGATCAGAATGATCAGTGATCTGGCTTTTTGTTCATTAGTTTTAAAAAATGGGACTTAAGTATGTTTTGAGAATAGTTTATTCATTGTTGTCACTTTAAGATGTTCGATTAGTTTTATCATATTTATTTATTTGCTTTGTTGACTTCTCAATTGCTATTAACATGACTAAATTGTTATGTTATCGTGTTTATCTTGTTTATTTGTCACATTTCAGAACCTGAATGCACTGTATACAAACACCTGACTCAGGAACTGCACTTTGATCTCTTCATTTCGTTTCACTCAGGGATTAGACAAATCTATTTACCTTTTGCTGGTGAGTAAAATCCTTTGATGTTCTCCTTGTTCTCCACTGTATTGAAGATGTTACATCATCATGACCATGATCACTATGGTTATGATTTCTATGTTGTTGTTCCAATTTTTCAAGATAATTTGATTTTCATTTAAGTTTGAAATTTAATCTGAGCTTATCTTGATTGTGGTCCCAGTCTCAACATGCCCATCTTCCCAAGGCAAGGGAGCTAACTCACTGTAAAAGTCCAGTTTCCTCCTTTGCCGAACTAGGCTGGAATTATGGAGTTATATTTTCGTTTGGGACTAACGCGTCTATGCACAGTTCAATCAAAATCGCGTGACGAAATCAACATCTGGTTCATAAACAACGTGCAGATTTCAGCCGACTGCAGGATTTGCAAAGGATGGTACCTTGGGGCGTCAGATATTTTCCAAATCTTTTCATGTTTTTAGTCAGTGCGCTCACGTGATTTGGTGCACTTCGCGAGGTAAGACCCATTTTATTCCAATATAGATCTTGATCATTGATCAGAACGTCTTGACTGGGCGCTGCCATTTTGTTTGAAGCAAATGCAAGTGAAATTAGAGGTTGAATCTGATTGGTCAATAGGAGGGGCATAGAAGAGACATTACTCATAATAGCCACTTGTGGCGGTACGATTGAGTCCCGAAATTCCATCCTAGTTCAGCAAGGATGGAAACTGGAATTTTAGAGTCGGTTAAGTCCCTTGCAGGGGAAAATGGAACATGCTATGTTAACTGTAAGTTAGTGATTAAGTTCTTTTTGTCATTATGGTCCAGTTATTATTATACAAATAATTACACTTGACAAGTTTAATATGTGAAAACAAGAACCTGAGGACCCGACCCCTGAGCTGGTCAGACTGCCGAAGGGCTCGGATCTGATGGTCCTTGTATTTTCAAGAGTAATCATTCGTATTGTTATACTAAAATTCACTTTAAAGTTTATAAGGTCTTTTAACCTTCCTCTGTCTCATTACAGTAACTTAGCTGCGAACCGTGAAATGTTCAGACCAGACGCCATTTGTTTTCTAGCACATGTGTCAATATGCATCACATCACAGATCAAAACTGATCATGTGATGAGTCAATATTCGAGGTCAGTGTCAGTCATATGATTTCGGGGTCTACATTGAAATTTATTGTTTCGTCAACTGGGTACAGATTAACCGATGGAATTGCAAAATTCTTGATAGAGGTATAACACCAATGATTATTGTACAACCGGAAACCTGCTTGGCCCAGATTTTGACAGATGCGTGTTCTCCCTGACGACTGGTGGTACTCTGTCTCCATTGGCTGACAACACGCACTACGTGTTGGAAGACATCTTTAATCCTATTTCTAGTGAGGTGCTAGGTAGAACCTGTGTGTTCCAGATACTCATTCCCACAACATCAACAGACAACCAGCCAACATACGGAGCATCAAGGAGTTAGCGGCACGCCTCGCCTCCTCAACCAGACACAGATACCAGTATGGGAAGGCAATGGATCTCACTTTCTACACAGCAGATGGGACGTCCTTCGACTACATGGCAGGACACAGGAAGGTATGTGATTGATTGGTCTGATGTCTCTGATATTTATGTATTGCTGTTTGTCTGTCATCTCATATGTGTTGAAACAGAATATCCCTTTTGTTTTAATGTCCATTTTATAAACATGATAAAACCAGTCTGTTTACTAACATATAACAACATAAAAATTGAAATTGTTATTCTCTAGCCCTAACCGTGTTGTTTGAAAACACATAGCTAACTTTATATATCTAGCTCTCAACACTGCTCAAGAAAAGAGAGAAACATTATTGCAACCATGTTTGGTTGGTTAGTTATCTCACTTTCGCCGACTAAAATAAATTATATGTTTCTTATCATCCCTGCATTATTAAATACCACACCGCGTCAAGTATTATTTTGTTTTACTCAAGTACGTACCAAGCCTACAAAGACGCCACATGCCATAATCATCTTATCTCACCTCACATTAAAACACTGGCTTCTGACTTAAGAAGCGGGCAATTATTTTCCATGTGGCCCGCTCATGTATCCCGAAATCAGAAATCAATGAGACTCACCTTAGGTAACATGCTTATCTTGCATAAATTTCATTGAGCTGAAATGAACCGATGTTTATCCGAAAGCATTGGGTAAAGTGAAGTAACTTTGTTCATTTGTGTTGTCTGCTATCTGAATGAATGAATATGGTAAATCTAAGCATGTTACTCGGTGAAACTTCGGACATATATTGTGGGTCTGTATGAATGAATGTCGGTGAGATAATTCGTTGTCGACGGCTCGGGGCACAAAGACTCATTCTTACACAACGTGTTGCCCTGTTGGGTGGGGTAGGAAGAAGGGGGGGGGGGGGCATGGGGCACCCCTACAGAGCACGACAGGGCCGATCAGCACTATCGGTATTGTAGAGTAACCTTACCCCTGTGTTGGTACAATGTCATGTTAGGAAGCCAGTGTTATCGCTGTGTCGGCCCTAAATGCTCGCATGTGTTGGCGAGATGTATATCGTGGGATAATTCGTCTAAAGCACCCCCTTGGAGTGACTGTGTAACACTGTTCATTCAATAGAAGTACATACACCATTATATTGACTGGTGTGAGCGAGTTAATTGGCTTTAACGCCGCTTTAAACAGTTTTCCCGTTTTATCACGGCGTGATAACTTGATGTGGGAGGAAACCCCGAAGTGATGCAGTTCTGAAACGTTTACCTAGAACACACCATAATCCTCCTAAAAGCAGTGCCTGAAACAGCCCCTCCAACCCCCCTCCCCCCCTCTCCCCCCAGTATGCCCCTTGAGATCGGTTATAATGTACATAGTCCCACCAAACATTTATGCTTCATGTGAATCACATCCTTTCACAGTTAATGTACAAGGATCAGTTTCAAAAATATTTGTCCCCTTTCCTAAAATACTTTTAGTTTGCCTGATGTAAGCTTGAGTCTTGGCAAATTTTCCGTCATTAACTCTCACATTTTTTACATCTCCTCTGAATCTACAAGGGGGCACGGGTGGCCCAGTTGTCTAAGGCACCACGATTCGCTGTGTAGAGTTGTGTCCTTTGGGCACGCCAGAAACCTATGATTGTGGGTTCGAATTCTGGTTCGCCCCGATTATGTTTCTAGGTTTGTCAGCACCATATCCGTGCCCGTGGGTTTCACCGATGTGGTAAATGTCTGAGACCTGCATCACTTCGGGCTTTCCTCCCACATTAAGCCGACACACCGTGATATAATTTGAATACTGTTAAAAGCGGCATTAAACCCAACTCACTCACTCGCTCACTGAATCTACAAGGCCTATGAAGCTGACACTGTACATGATTGATTCCAGCTATGTAGTCAGTTAAAAAATGCTCACAACTTTTTTTTCCAATTTAAGACATGCTGAAAATTACATTTTTGTCCATTCCTATGGCATTTCTGCATGTGTAATTAATATCAGATTTTGTATGTAGCAAGTATGTGGTATGTGGAATAACATATAATACATTTGTTGGTACTTCTTGGACACATAATTCCAATCCAACTTTAAATATTGATGCCATTATTTCATCATAGTTCAGGGGCACTACAGATCCTCGTGGATCTAATTTTGATAAATTTTGATAAACGTTGACTAATCGGAGAATTCTCACCAAAATACATGTATTGATGTGGGGATGCACCTTCTTACTGTTTGGTTATCAATAAGAAACTTCACTTTTTCCTTACTGCCTGACAATTTATTGAACAAGGTGGGGCTACAACTTTAACGATTTATTTATTTTTCTGCACTTGCTTATGACAATGAAAATTATATGGAGCTTAATTGTAGTTAGGCAAGATTTAATTTTTTTTGAACATTGTGACAAAATTACGTGAAATGTTCTCAAACCTATATTGAAATATTCTCACCTATATTGTTTTTGTAGATTCCCTTTTCTTTAGCTATAGAGCTATGGGGCAGTGCAACACATGTTGGAGCCAGCTGCTTCGACCAGTTCAACCCTCGGAGTGAAGACTTGAAGGTTTGTCTGAAATGATGGACTTTGTTGGAAATATGTGTCTGTTTCGTCAAGCAGTGAATGGGTACCTGGTAGGATGAGATGGAAATGTCTCTCACAGGCAGCTTGGGTTGTATGCTCCTGAGGGAGCTGAGAATGAAATCGAGTGCACACTGATCCATTGACCAGGGTATTAATAGTGAAGCCTTTCATCATGGTGTGGAAATACAGCACAGTATAGATTGCCTACTATTGTTGTTGTTGTTGTTATTGTTATTATTAACCATAGAGTATCTCTCCTGTCTACTTAATCAGCACAACCATCTTGATTGTTGAAGTCTCGACCGTTACTCCATTTGTGGTTAAAATATTTTTAAAAGTTAAATACAATTAGTCCCACTTTTATGCACAACTGTAAATAGGGAGGGTAATTTCCCTATGTGCCTCTTTAGTAAAGTGTGAACTTGGCATGGTTGTTAATAAGTGTCCCTAACACAACATAATGCCCACTAACACCCTTCCTTTTCCAATTGGCAGACCACCTCGGTGGTCTACTGGTAGAGCGTCTGCCCGGAGAAAGGAAGGTTCAGGGTTTGATGCCCGGCAGCGTCATACCAAAAGACGTTAGTTAAAAGATGGTACTTGTTGTTACCTTGCCTGGTGCTCAGCATTAAGGTGCTAAAAGAAGGACTGGTCAGCTCGGAGTCCGTATACTGTGTCTGAGTAGGGTATTCATGTTAAACTGCGTCATGGTATCTCAGTGGGCAAGCACACTAGTAAATTAGTTCGGACTAGTACAAGCAGCCACACCCACACCCACGTGGATGCACGTTGCTATATAAGTGCAATAATCTTGGTCACGACGTAAACCCCATACCATCTCACCTTTCAATTTAAGTTAAATTCTGTCATCTAGATTTTAGAAATGTCTATCTTAGAAAAGCTTAAGTAATCTGAAAGTCATAGTACCTTTGGCATTTTTGTACTTGTTATATTCCCAGCATGAAACGGCGGAAATCCATCCTCTGTACATTGCGCTGTTCGACTACATGATCCACTGGAAACACAGGAGATCCAACAAGCCCACAGACACCCTGATCACAAAACAACATCTTCAACCTCTACAGGTATGTATCATTTCAAGGTTCAACATTTCCAGGGTGTACATGGCTTGAAAAGTCCCTGATATTTGACATGTTGGAGGTCCTTTATAAAGTTCTACACTACTGTTGAAAATGTATTAAATACGTCGTCTACATGTTGATTGTACATCTAGAGTTATCCCCCTTACTTTGTGTCATCAGTTGTTGACTGTCAAAAGGTCATGTTGCACTTTGGAGCAGACACTTTTGATGCTAAATCAACTTGGTTACTGATGAGTCTGCCAACTATGACTGTGACTTTAAAACACTTATTTGAGAGGAAGTTCTGTGTTTTGAGCAAAAAGGCTTACGATTGGATGAGGGAATTGCACTGAATTGATGCATCGATTCTTTCATAGATGAAGCAAAACAAGAAAGTATTTTTCCTTTGAACTGTCCAAATTTTGTGTGGTTAAGTTTGTATGAAATAAAATGTTATGTGACTCATAGTAACATCTATATCAATGATCGCTCTATGACTTGTTTCTATTTTTCACTAGGGGCCCACACCATCACACACATTTGGCTATCTATTGATGGCAACAGTGGTCATAGTGATCATTATTCTGGCATTCCAAGGACGTCTTCTGTTTTGTCAGCGATGGCAACATCGAAGACGCATCATCAGCTTGAAGACTCTGAGTTCTACCCTGTCTCTGTGGGGGTTTGTCAAGTCCATTTGAAACATGCATTTAAACATCTTTCTTCCATCAACATTCTGTGTGATATTCAATTGTCTGACACTGGTTTCAGTTTGAATCAGAAAACAGTACCTGGTTAATTTTGTTGTAGAAATGCCAGAACTTTTTCTGTTCACGGAGTCATGCATTTTATGTTATCAAAGATAATGACAAGCTTTCAAAGATGCTTTCATTTGGGTAGATTATGTTGAGTGCAGTGTAAATATATTGCATAATTCCATTTTGCAGCTTCCATTCCGTAGAGAGCTTATGCATGATCTGTGTTCTTCATCCAATGACAATGATCTCTGAACTTTCAAATATATGATTTCAATCATACATGTTCTGCAGGGATGCAGATTCACCTGAACCATTTACTTGCCTCAATAGTAATAACATTAGGCTAAAAAAATAATAGTCTTGGTTCTCAGGCACCGCCCACATCATCATAAAGTCCACCGCTTGTTTCATTTCTATTTCCATTTTCAAAAAATATGAAAATCCTAATACTTAAAAACAATGTGATCCAATGTAGCACACAGTTACTTCCCTTTACATGTGCACTGTTTTGCTGCGCATCTCGTGTTTTGGTCATGGCGGCAATAGGAGTTTATATGCTTGTTTATGTAGGGAGGCCCTGTCCCAGGTTGATGGTACACAACTGTTTATTTGGTTGCATACTAGTTTCAACAAGCAACAACAACAACAAAAAAACGCCTGCATTGTATTTTCAAAAGTCGTCTGAGAACCAATTCTTTTATTTTTTTAAGCCTAAGGACATTCTTCTGAAAAGAGAAATTCAAGCCCACGTAAACATCATTAAACATATAGACTGTTGTTAGATGCCTAGTGCCAAGTAGCACCCGTTTTCATCATGGTATTTGTCTTACCAGACGTGATATTTGACTTTCCATAGTAAGTACCAAAGACAGGCATTCCACGGGTTCGTGTTTCTGTTTCCAGAAGCATTGATTCTAGACATGTTTTGCTTGGACATGGATTTTGTTCGTTTTGTGTTTGTCAAGTTTGTAAATGTGATTATTTACATGATATTCCATTAATTCTTAAATTTTACAAAATGATTTTATTTTTAAACATATATTTTGAAGTACACAAGTTGTTATAAAACTGGTATTTACAAGGGAAAAGTGTAGTAATTATAATAATATTCTAATAAACATTGACGAAGCATACAAGCATACAAATGTCAAGGTCTTAGTTCTGTATCTTGGATACTGTTGGCAAGTTCCCTGATATTTAATGTTTTAAGCGTAATTATTGATGACAAGTATATTCCCAAATTTGAAATAATTTGATTGTAATCATTATCATGTTGGCAAACATCTGTACCAAATATTGATGGTATCCTACCTCAGAAGTTGAACCTGTTTCAAAACAGTTGTCGAAGCTGTTATTTTGGTGACATTGATTTCAGACGCCCTTTTGTGGTGTTTTTCAAGCTTATATGCCATTTCTAGTGAATAGTAAGATTTGATTAAGTAATATCCATGATATTGGAGCTTAAATCCAGTTATGTAATGGTTTATTTCAGTTTCCCAGTGTTATTTATCAGTATTAACCAAGATATTTGGGATCTTCAAGATCAGGGCATTATATTACACTATTACATTATTCGTTGTCTTGGTGATTGTATGCTTCTCAGATTAAGTGTTTCCTTGTTCGGTTTCATGAACCAGAGCTTTCCAGAGTTGTATTTATTTACAGATTCCGATTTTCCGTGTTTTATCAGAGTATATGACGTCATGATTTAGAATCAAAACGTTATAGCATGTATCTGTATGTGCTTTTCTGTGCTGAAACAAGGCAAACAACGAAACAGCAGCTTGATCAAACAGCCCAACCTCATTACACTCACATCACTCTGATATCTGTAGGAAGATCTGACGACAGTTCCATAAGGAGGCGTGGTTCTTGTGTCAATCAGATGTCAGCTTTTTTGAATAATTGAACTTCATTTCTTTACCATGTGGATTCGCAAGTTGGATATTTGACAAAAGAAAACCCACACAGTAGATACACTCATTTGGGTGTAGGTGTCATGGCGTTCAGAAACGACAGGGTGTATACAATATCCACTACAATATACTGGCGTGGCTTTAATTATTTCCATTAGGAACTGTCCGTTTAAGTTTGTTTTCAAGATACCGAAATCAGATATGTTTGAATCTTTGCTTACTTTTACTGAGAATGTAGAAGCCAAGACACTGATTGGCTGATTAGACAGTGTTAGAAAGTCACTGGGCACACCCTCTTGTGGTGGTGTCCTCCGATCTTCATGCAGACAGTATCATATCGGAGTAAACTATCCGATTTTATGGAGATGGTCAAACACCACATCTTGTGCTGTACACGTGTTATGAAGGTCATGTGATAGCATTTGTTTCTTTGTGAAGGCCATTACAAAGATGAGTCTGAGCTTCCTATTACCATGGTTACCATAGTGAAATTATGTGTGTAATTGTGTGATATATTACTTGTTGAGTCATGTAGATACGATCAGCCAAGCATTTATGTAGTTAAGAGAAGTCATCATTTGTAGGTAAAGAATTTATCGCTCATGTTAAAAGACAAAATGCGGAAATCATTGATGAACCTTTATGAAAGTTGTTAAAGATACTTATTGCATTGTGGCTTTATATTTCACTTTCCCATTAACCCTTCCAGAATAAGTGAGTGAGTAAGTATGGTTTTACGCCGCTTTTAGCAATATTCCAGCAATATCACAGCAGGGGACACCAGAAAGGGGTTTCACACATTGTACCCATGTAAAGAATCGAACCTGGGTCTTCGGCATGACGAGCGAACGCTTTAACCACTAGGCTACCCGACGTCCCCCTTCCAGAGCAAAGTTGGTGGGGAATTTGCATATGAGTTTTAATCATCTCTGATTATTTTGAGAATGTCCATTTAATATGGCTTTGCAAATTAATTAAAGAATGTTGGTTTTTTTTGGCAGACCTACCAACCCTTTAACCATAAATGTATTGCCCTAGAGGACAGACTGTTACATTCTCTGCCAAACAGGGATTAATGAATCTATGGCTTAGCTTTAAACGTAGATCTATAGTATCTATATAATTCAACAATTTTACTGCTTTTTGTTGCATAAAAGAAGATATGATGTTATTGGTGCAGATGATTTTAGTTTGTAGCTGTTATTGATACATTAGCATTTTTTATGCATTATGTTTAAATGAACCTCCTATATTTATACCTTTCTTTGATGGTAGTCAATGTATAGAACTGCTCTGTTGCATAATTGGCCAGTTGGTGCTTGAAGCATTTGTTACGGGGAGGGGGCTCAGTTTTAAATGTGATGTTTTCATCCTAATTCGCCTCTTGATTTAGAGGCTTGTTTCTTTGTTGATACTGTTTATTCGACAAGTATGTCAGAATTCTTGTATAATAATGCTTTTTGAGGGTAGTGGAAATGTTTTCTGTATATCCCAATGTTGAGTGTTTGTTGAGTTATACCAATGCCAGAGTCTGTCATCTTCACAAGACAAGGGAGTGACTATAAAAGTCCAGTTTCCACCCTTGACGAACTACGCTGGAATTATGGAGTTATTTTGGCTAAGCTAATGAGTCTATGCATAGTCCGATCCAAATCGCATAACAAAATCAACATCCGGTTTGTCAACTGCTGTGCAGATTTCGGTCAATTGCAGGATGTGCAAAGCTGCCAATTCGGTGTCAAGGGATATATTCCAAATCCCATCATCTTTTTAAATAAGGTGCTCACATGATTTGCACTTCACGAAGTAAGACCTGTTTTATCACAATATGGATTTGGATTATCTATCAGATAATTGTCACCGTTTTGTTTGAAGCATTTTGTTTGAAGCAAATGCAAGTGATATGAGAGGTGGAATCTGATTGTTCAATGGGACAGACATAGAAGGGACATAACTCATAATAGCCATGGGTAGTCATACAATCAGGCCTAGAAAATCCAGCCTAGTTCGGCAAGGGTGGAAACTGGACTTTTAAAGTCAGTTAATTCCCTTGCCTCAGGAAGATGGAGTCTGTGGTCAGACACTATTCAGGCTACACAATACATCTCATGAGAGATCTGTCTCTTGCAATGCTTCCTCCATGAAGTATTAGACATGATGGCGCTGTTATCTCCTTTGTAGCCCAAGTTTGTCGGATGGTATGCTCTTATTATAACATATGCCAAGAGGGATGAAAACAGTCATGTGTTTTCTCCAGCAGACAGCATGGTGTTCGTAATACAGTATGACTGTATGTTAAGAACAGTATTATTGGGTAGGCCAGTAGTCTCCAACTGTAGCTGTCTCATGGTAACAGGGTTTGTGGACAACACACTATACAAACTAACACCAGGGGTAATCATTCCTCAAACTCAGAAATCTGGAAGATGTAGGGGAAACATGGTACATGTGTTTCCCTATGAATTATAGTTTGTTATGATGTTCTTTGCTATAAAGAACATATCTTTTACACTAGGTAAATTTAAGATAAAGTAAACTAATGTATTGTATGATATGATGTAGCTTATTCAACGTAATAAGCACCCCGGGCGCGCTCAAAATTAGAAATAGGGGTCTCTTATTAGAATATAATCTTGGTGAAAAAAGACAGATTTGAATGATCGTAAATTTTGTGGTTTATGCTGACAGCCTAAAATGATACAAAAGAAAAGTCTGTGCGTATTATACACGACAGATATATTTTCCAGAATTTAATTGCCCATAATGAAGGGTGCATATAACACATGAGTGCATATTATACACAAATAAATAAATCTTGTGTACATTGATCAATCGGAAGGGGTGCTAATTGGGATTGTTCCCTAGCCAATATATTAGCAAATATTGCTATGGGCGCTTATTAGAGCGGGATGCTCGTTACGTTGAATACGGTATTAATAACTAATGAAGATTGTTATAGATTAAACAGGAGATATTGTGATATGAAAAATATTGGACATGGTGTTATGTCTCTTTTATCATCATTTTAGAAACTTTTAGTGAAATGTTTCAGAAGGCACACTATGTGGTCTGTGTTGAGTGCAGAATACTAGTATTGTGTTGGACATGAAGATCTCAAGATAGGAAATATTTTTGAGTTTTGAGGATAATGCAACAAAATTGTATCTTATTCCTTCAAAGGTTTATCATGTTCCTTGTCCATATGTCTACAAATAACATTTTCTCTTATGTATGTTTATTAGATACTATAAATACTCTTCACATTTATTTCAGATTTGGTGTAATGAAAAATAATATATCTAGTGGTATGGGTTTTTTTGGTCCACAAACACATGATAAAGTTTATGAAGTATATATATATATATATATCATGCTGTGATGGCTCACTGAGAGCCTTGAGACAGGGTTGACTGCCTTGTGTGCTTCTGCACAAGATTATTGTTTAGGTTCACTTTCAGGTGTTTTTTATAAGCGCATGTAAGAACTGAAGTGTTGAAAAGTCAAAGTGAAATATGATATTTTACATAGAAACTCATTTTTATCCTTATTAGACCTTCAGTAGTGCGAAATATGCTATTTGCTGTAAAATTAATTGGACAAATGATGTGAGCTTAAGATCCAGGGTTTTACGTGACACACACAATGTAGAGAATGGACGCAGAAAAGAATACTGCGTCCGAGGGATGCATGATAAAATTCATTGTACCTAATGCCTCAAGAGCAATTATGGGCATCTGTCATTTCATCCTTCAATCGTGACCACATGATCATTGATTCATTCCAGGCTCTAAAGTAAGTATCAACACGTACAGTACACTACACCATTTCATTACTCTACAGGACCCTCACAAAGTCTGCAAGGACACTTAAAATTATCCATTCGGGTCTCCTAGACCCCACTTTTGTGAGTCAAGGTAAAACCCTGAGATCTCATTAAGTTTCCAGTGTTTAAAGGATTGAGAGTATGGATCCAGTCAAGTAGATTTATCATATATCATTATGTACCAAATACATGTTGTAGTTCATATATGTCATAAATTTGGAAGATATGATAGTCATCATACCTCAACCTGAGGATCTTAGTTGCTCCCATTTCACCCTAAAGTGACCTTGATATTTTAAAATATTTATCATAAAAATACCCATTTTTATTTTTGCAAATGTGAATGAAGTGCATAATTTCTACTCTCTGCTCAGTACAAAGCAGTTGAGAAGAGCAGTTTGTGATTGAGCAAGATATTTTTCTTTTACATATTGTGTCATTCCACCGGTCTCAAAGTTTTATGGCTTTTGTGTATTATTTTATACTTTTTCATATACTTCGTGAAAGGCGGTTTATGAATAGTAACGAATAAGCTTTTGCCTAAATATTGGAATAAAGTTTAAAAGACATTTTGCCTTCATTTGTTTGTACGGTTGGCTTTCAACCAAAATGTGTTCATGATGTTAAAGACCGCCTCTTTGGTCAAGTGGTAGAGCGTCCACCCGGGGAGCGGAAGGTCCGGTGTTCGATCCCCGGCCGCGTTATACCAAAAGACGTTAAAAGATGGTACTTGTTGTAACCCTGTCTGGCGCTCGGCATTAAGGGGCTAAAACAAGGACTGGTCAGCTCGGAGTCAGTATACTGTGTCTGAGTGGGGTATTCATGTTAAACTGCAGCATGGTATCTCAGTGAGCTAGCACTTTAAATCGGCATCAGTCCGGACTAGTACAAGCAGCCACACACACACACGTACATGCACGTCGCTATATAAGTGCAATAATCTTGGACGCAAGGTTAAACCCCATTTCACCTCACCTCATGATGTTAACTTGCATGTTTCCATGTACATCTAGAGTCTGAGTGTAGTATCTCAAGCATTTGTACTTCGTGCAGTGGGGTAGCCCAGTAGTTAATGCAGAAAATCCGGGTTCAATTCCCACATGTAAAAAGCATATACCTGGTGTCTCTAACACTGCTGAAATAATGTTGAGACTCACTGTAAGCTAATGTGTTGTGTGTTCTTGCGCCCTTTGGAATAGTGAGTGCTTGTTCGTTTGTTTGTTGTTTAACGCTGCTCTCAGCAATATTCCAGCTATATGACAGCAGTCCGTAAATAATCAAGTCTGGATCAGACAATCCAGTGATTGACATCATGAGCATCAACCCACGCATTTTGGATACGATGACATGCATCAACCAAGTCAGCGAGCATGACCACCTGATCCCATCAGTCACCTCTTAGGACAAGCATAATCGCTTTTTACGCCAGCATGGGTTGCCTAAGACCTATTCTAGGCAGAATCTTCACGGGTCGGCTGGAGAGGGTATGTAAGACCACGTCATTCAAAGTAGATTTGTTCTTACCATTGTCTTTAATCGTAGAATATATGTTATTTTATTATGGCTAAGTATGTTAATAATCGCCAACACCTGAAGGGATGATGTAAATCCTGCTGGGTTCCATGCAGGAAGCTGAAGTACTGTAAGTCCCCATGGTACCTAGTATGGTGATTTAACTTCAGTTGCTGGTGATCTACAGCCCGTTTTTATACCGTGATGTTATATTTAGTGCTATCAATTTTATGATTCCATACTAGTTTTAAAATATATTTCTGTGATATGTCTAGTTATTTTACTGTCCTTCGTTGGCAGGTTTTTATATAAATTTCAATATATGTATTATGTTTAACTATTGCTAGTCACGATATGGCTGAAATATTGCCAATGTGACTTAAAATTTTAACTCACTCACTCACTCACTCACGGGTCGGAATAGTGAGTGAGTTTGGTTATTCCCTGCTTTTAGCAATATTGCAGCCATATCACGACTGGGGACCCATGTGGGGAATTGAACCTGTGTCTTAACCACTCGGCTACCCGATCGCCCCAACTCTGGAATAGAGCAGAGAAATGTTAAAAAAGGTTTGTTGATTATAAAGATCGACTTAATATGTGTTTCTGTGCAACAAAGAACATGCTAGATTTCCTAACAAAAGGTCGCCGAAATCCATTGTCTGTGGATGTTTATGCACAAAGATATTCGGGTGCTATGACCTAGCTAACCAGTCATCACATACTGATTGTTGCTCATGCTATCAACCACTAAGATATCCAAAGTTCCACTGTAAGAACATCAAAAGTGGCATCTTTGAGGCAGACATCAACTCATACAACAGCCTAACCAAACCATTTCACGTTCTTTCAACCAATTCTATAACATAATACATCTTGCGGCGAGCGATCCCACGGGCACTAGTGTCCCCTTCGTCTGAGGCTGTCAATTCGGTGTGCCGAGTTGCGTCCCTTGGGCACCCCAAAAAACTGTGAGTTCTAATTCCGGTTATGTTTCTAGGTTTGTCAGCATTCGATGGTTTCACCGAAGTGGTAAACGTCTGAGACCTGCACCACTTCGGGCTTTCCTCCCACATTAAGCTGTCACGACGTGATATAACTGGAATACTGTTCAAACCCAGCCCAAAGACGTATATATAGCCTAAACCCGGCGCCACTCACTTAAATCTTCCGTCCTCGCAGTTTTCGATTAGCCATATATATATATTTGAATGAAAACTCCATTCTTCCGCATATGTATGAGAAATCCCCCTTAGAACATATAGAAATGGAAAGAATAGAATGGTTAATACAGGAATTGTACTCCCAAGAGCCGGCGCCTAGTTTATATCTTTCAGATAATTACTCAGCCCATAAACTAAGTGGTACAATGGTCACCGTCACAGTACATAACGGAAGATACTGACTCGTTACTAACGGTATTTGACAACGCCGATATAGACCGGCAGGTGAATGCTAGACGACAAGCGTGGTAAATCAAGCGGTAAACTCGCGAGGCCTCAAAGGACATAGAACAACTTACATAGTCTTAATCTTAGATACATAAACGCAGGGTATCTATTCAACCATACTGACCGACTAATTGATAAGAATGGGAGTATGTCCCGAGAAATGTTTCTTTGATCACACGGGAACTGAGTGTGTGCCGTTTGAATTTTGTTGACAGTCAGCTCTGGACGTCCCCAATAGTCGAGGGTCCGAAGTTCAGATTATAATAATGAAAGTGCGTGACTTTTTTCACTATCAAACTGTCTCCCATGTCATTTATATATAGAGAGAGAGTTAGGTAAGGGGATGTTTATTATTTAACGTCCGGGAATGTTTTGAGTCGTCCGGAAACTCCCAGTTGTTAAATATGCATTACAATCAGTGAACAACGTCTTTTTCAGTTTGGAATGGTCGTGAGAATATCCACTGTTAATGTCGTACAAATGAATAAACATAAAAAACAAAAAACAATTTAAGTACAAATAATAAAGAAACTTTTTCATTACAATAATGCGTAACAAATGGTAATTACACCCGTGAAGATCCGGGGTAAAATAGGCTTTAAGCAACCCATGCTTGTCGTAAGAGGAGACTAACAGGATCGGGTGGTCATGCTTGCTGACTTTGTTTGTGCATGTCATCGTATCCAAATTGCGTGGATCGATGCTCATGATGTCAATCATTGGAGTGTCTGGTCCAAACTCGATTATTTACAGACCGCCGCCATATAGCTGGAATATTGCCGAGTGCGGCTTTAAACAACAAACAAACAAATACACCCGATCCTGTTAGTCGCCTCTTACACTTCTATTATTATGCTTATAGTTTCACATGTAACTCATTATGCTGAAAAATGTATTTCTTTACCACATTAGGTTATGTGTTTTTTCATGGTTTGTGAAACTATAAGAGTAATAGAACTTACTCTCATAACTTATTGTGCGGCGTTAAACAACAAACAAACAAACCACAATAAACCCTGCAGCGTCAAGCATGGGACCAGCACTGTATGTGTATATACACGTGTGTGTATTGTACACAGGTAAACGATTACGTCCGTGGTCTAGTGGAAATAGCGTCTACCTTGAGAGATGAAGGTGGGTAGTCCATCCTCGGCTGCCACATATACAGAATGACGTTAAACGATGATACTTGTTATTACCCTGCCTGGAGCTCTGGATAAAACAAAGACTGGTCGGTTGGGCTCATTTACTGTACATGTATATGGTGGGGTATACTATGTCTGAGTTGGGTATCGATGTTAAACTACGGCATGGTATCTCAGTGGGCTAGCACTATCAAACCGGCATTAGTCCGGACTAGTACAAACACACACGGACCGCCTCCGTGGTCTAGTGGTAGAGCGTCCGCCCGGAGAGCGGAAGGTCCGGGGTTCGATCCCCGACCGCGTCATACCAAAAGACGTTCAAAGATGGTACTTGTTGTTACCCTAACTGGCGCTCGACATTCAGGGGCTAAAACAAGGACTTGTCGGTTCGGAGTCAGTATACTGTGTCTGAGTGGGGTATTCATGTTAAACTGCGGCATGGTATCTCAGTGAGCTAGCACTATAAATCGGCATCAGTCCGGACTGGTACATGCAGCCACACAAACACACACACGTACATGCACGTCGCCATATAAGTGCAATAATCTTGGACGCGACGTGAAACCCCATTTCACCTCACCTTACAAGCACACGCACGCACGCACGCACGCACGCGCTTTATGCATAATCCTAACGCCTCACCTAACTTCACACAGGTAAACATGCCCATGCTAATGGTAGTGTTCAATGACAGGGCCGTCACAGTGTCTCTTTTGAGTATTGCCTCAAGAATCAACTTGGTTCGAATCCCTGATGAACACTGTTTATTACCCTCTGTGGTAAGCGCCATTGTTGTTTCACCTGGAACATGATTTTCATGGGCTTTCCTCGCACCTTAAAATGACACGTCATGGTTAAAATGGAATCCTTTATAAAAATAAAAAGTAAGGGTCGTTAAGCCAGCTCGGCCACCGATGTCAAACAGCGGGGGTCTGTTTTGAACATCCGACCGTGTGTATACATATCAGCATTGATTATCACGTAGCAAAACCTTCATATGACATACATACGTAAGTGTGATTAAAAATTACATTTGCCATAATTCATTTTCATTTATATTCAATGAGTTAACGTGGAACTAGTGATATACATGAAAGTACACACGTACAATAATGTGAGTGAGTGAGTTGGATTTAACGCCGCTTTTAACAGTATTCCAGTTATATCACGGCGTGCAAGTTTAATGTGGGAGAAAAGCCCGAAGTGATGTAGGTCTCGGACGTTTACCACTTCGGTGAAACTTATGGTGCTGACAAACCTCGAAACAATCTGGGCGAACCGGGATTCGAACCCACATTCACAGGTTTCTGGTGTGCCCAAGGGACGTAACTCTGCACAGCGAATCGCGGCGCCTCAGACGACTGGGCCACCCGTACCCCCCTGATGGCATTAATTCAATTTAAATAAGTGCATGTAGTTTAACTCGTGACCCAGAGCTTCCACCGCAGTGCAATCTTTGTTAAATACATATTGATGAAATTTAATCAATCACGTGTCACATGTATCTATGTCAAATGTAAACACGGGTCTTGTTCCACAGCCAGTCAGTCCGTCAGTGTTATCGAGATCAAAGGTTTCACGACAATTCGGTCCAGACTGGTTACGGGACATTTGAATCGAATCTGAAGTTATGTCTCATACACGTCAGCCATGTCCATGACTTCTGATACAGAGTGCTTGGCAACCGAAAGTATACACTTGAAAATTGGATTTGACCAAACAATTACAAGCGAAAACAGTCTCCGAAACATTGTTAATTTAAGGCCCAAAACACAACTGTAATATCCGTATCAAATACATCACCATCAAATAACCATTTCTTGTTTGTTTCACTTTTAGCCACTATAAAATATGGGTGTATACATTTCTTTTGACGGCAGTTTCTAAGTTTGACAAAATATCAATGGAGACAACAACAACAATAATAACAACATTTTTTAAAATTATTATTTTTATTTTTATTATTATTATTATTATTTTTATTTTTTATTTTTATCATCATCATCATCATCATCATCATCATCATCATCATTATTATTATTATTATTATTATTCAGTTGAGTCCAGCGATTCTAAGCTATTACACAACACACGTCATGTGTCCTCCATAGAGCCCCGGATCTGCATTCTGGAGTGAAATAAGTATATCCCCATATAAAACACATTCGTATGAATGTGTCCGGTCCGTGCCTACAAATACATTTACCATTGTTAACATGACATTTGAAACATAATACGGTGTTATTACAGCTCCTGTAACAATCCCATTGGTCACGTGAAGCTTAATGCTTATCCGAGCATGCTTGAAACAAACCGCTGAATTTATCAATATGCATTCCGGGCATATGTGTGTATATATATGATTTACTCAACGAGGGCGTGTATTTATTCACACCGGCTGTCTTTGTCGAGTAAGTACGAGGGGGGTAAATACAATATATGAACCACCACCCGTCAGCCCGCGATCACTTTACGGTTTCTCAGCGACAGGGGTCTGTAAGCACAGATTTACTAAACAAATTCCATCACACTGTTCGATCAATATAAATTAAATAGACCATTTGGGGTAGCCAAGGGGTGTCATTTTATTAGCAATGTGTGTGTTGTGCGTAGCCGTCGGGCCCTGTGTCGACCCCTGACACCAATTGTGAAGCACACTGGCTCGAGAAAGGACCAGCTTTTAAACTCAGTTCATATATCACAGAGACAGGTATATTATCAACTATATTATCGAGGGTTGTAAGCGCTATCTGTTCAACCGTCGCACCCCGGGACGTGATAAGTTCAAAGTGAGAGAGAGCGCGCTGCAAACAGATTGGTTTTTATCTCTATAATTATATATAACCATGGACCTGTTTATGCTCTTCACACTGGAGTTTCTTTGGGACTGCTGTAAGTATGAACTGGCTATTAAGTGGAGATTTAGGACGTAGCTAAATGTTTAATTCTTACGAATTATACTGACATATTGACTTCATATTTTGTTCATTTATAACCTATATATAAACAGTTGTATTTTGTTGTTGGAGACATAGCATTGAAATGCGTAACCGGGGGTTATATCGTGTTATGAATTGTTATGAAATATACAGACCCTTCAAAATGCCATTTTCAGAGTTGCGGTATATGAAGACACGCTATGGGATATAGAGATTTGATAACAGATCACATGTGAAAATATCTCCTTCAGAACGACGTAAGGAGTGATTCTACTTCAACTCTAGGATAGTGCATGCCTTGAGGCGAGCCGGGCGTTGAAACTAGGGTGTTCTTGTCCATGCGGTCACGATGGAAGATGATTCAGACAGTCTGTTCACCATCAACGAGGAGGAGGAGTCCGCCTCCAGACTTCAGCCTGAGTCTCAGACCTCCTACTTCATCCTGGGGTCTCACAAAGTCAGATTCCTTCCGTCCGTCAACTTTATTTACCAGCGGCTAAACTTCAGAGACCGATGCGGACAGGTACCACATTTCGTTAAATCCAATGTACAAAAGACTGCTAGACTATCGTCTGAATCTTTTATTCTGAAAGTGAACTATCTACGGCGCCGTCGGGAGGCAAGCACGGACGTCAACAAGAATCGTCTGCTTGAAGAGGAGAGCAGACGACAAAAGTTCTATGACCAGTCACCTCGCCGATCTGGTTCCTCGGCGTCTCATGCTTAATTGCAGCTCATCAGAATGTATTAGTCACTCAGTCGTATGTATGTGGCTTAAAGAATATGATGGCATTGGTGGTGGAAAATGGAAAAGATTCATGCAATAATGAAGAACCTTATTGTGTAGATTAAGTTCTTCGAAAACACTTGAGAACTGTTCCAATGGTGCAAATATTATGCTATATATGTAGTATCATATGTGTCTTCAAAATATCCTATTGAAGAAAATCATTATTCTTGTTATAAATTTTCATGTATTTGAGATAATAATTTTGAACATTTTGTGTTGGGAATCAGAGAAAAGGAGGACATGGCCTTTCAGACATGCACATGGTACCACCAGTGTTTGGTGTTCGCCCGCGGCAGTGCTATATATGTCACATCGATAGATAGTCTCGTCAAAGTAATCATATCCACATGTAACGGAACTGCGCGTTTTAAGCCACCTCGTAATTAAGCCCATGGGCTTAAAAACGGGAAATTAAAAAGCCCATGGGCTTGAATTAAACTGAAACTCTGATTGATGTCCAATACCGGATTCTTCTAACACGCGTTACAGCACGCTTCTAGTTGGCCAATTTGCTTCTATGTTGCATCTTAGGGGCGATCGGATAGTCTAGAAGTTAAAGCATTCGCTCGTCACGCCGAAGATCCGGGTTCGATGCCCCACATGGGTACAATGTCTGAATCCAATTTCTGGTGTCCCCCGCCGTGATATTGCTGGAATGTTGTTTAGCGTAAAACCATACTCTTTCACTCACGTTAGAGGTCTCCTTATTCACAAGACACATTGGACCCCTAACGCATAGGTTATTCTGGATACAAAGTATGACATGTTCACGCGTTGGCAGGCAGGCATAACAGCGATATTGGTTGTTGTTACTTTTTTTTTGACAGTTATCAATTCAGTTTTGAAAGTGCTCTTGACTAATGATTTTCAAGTTGAAAAAGAAAATCATGTCTTAAGTTAAAGTGTCTGTCTCATTTCATTTGTGAGAATTGTTTCAGTAAACTTGGTATATTCATTCTTCCTGTCATGCGTTTGTCCTTTTTCGTTTTTAAGCCCTCTGCTTAGATTTGGATAAAATGTTACTCAGTCAAGAGAGACAAAATCCGTCTTTAAGCCCAGGGCTTAACGTGCAGTCCTGGTACCTAAAGAAATGATTGTCACACTGTAATTATTTTCACTTATGAAATTGTATCGGTGTGTGTGGTTCAATTTGCCGGACACGTTTTGCTAAATTACGAAACCCTGGATACGGGTGGCCCAGTCAGCCAGGGCGCCACAATTCGCGGTGCTGAGTTGCCACTGAAACCTATAATCGGGGTTCGAATCCCAGATGGGCTCTTTTTATGATTCTTTGTTTGTCAGGACCATACCTGTGCTCGTTGGTTTCACCAAAGTGGCAACTATCTAGGACCTGCATCATTTGTGGCTGCCCAACCACATTTAGCTGACTGAAACACTGACAAAACGGCCTTAATCCCAACTCACTCACTCACTCACTGTACACAATAAAACACTGGCATGAACCTCTGCATGGATGGATGCAATGAATCTTGCGACAAAATGATTCCATAGTATGTAGGATGCAACTGTTTCAACTCAATGTTAGCCGATGTAAATCTTTTAATTGCGCTCGAAATTATATACTCAACAACAAAAGTTCCTGTGACACCACTATTTTAGTGTATTTTTCAAACTAGTTAAGTTTTGTTTTCAATGTTGTAGTACATGTATGGAATCAAGTCACAAAAACGCAACTGCTACAGAAAAGCATGCATTTCATGCAAAAGTTGACTTTTATGCAAGCCCTATGCATTTCACACCCAAGAATGGGCATAAAAACATGTGCGTTAACGGGATTCCATATGCATTGTTTAGCATCTTGCTGACAACAACCATTCAGAAAAACAACAAAATTACGCAATTATTCAACATTACGAAATGTCACGCCTGTCCGAAAATGAGCGTCTGCGAGCCATTGGTATGCTTGAAGCAGGATCGAGTCAACGTGATGTTGCAAGACAATTTAACATCCACAGAAACACCATTTGGTTGCAGGCAACGTTGGCAACAGACGAATGCAGTCAGAGACCATCCTCGGGGTGGCAGGCCACGCGTAACCAATAATCGACAAGACAACTGGGTTCGAACAACACAACAACGATATCGATTCCAGCCAGCAACAGTGACTGCAAGAGGCATCCCTGGCCTTCGACGAATATCTTCACAAACCGTACGTCGTCGCCTTAGATGTGCAGGGATTGTCGCCAGAAGACCCGCCAGACGTCCCATTTTGACAGGAAACCACCGTCAAGTACGTCTACAGTGGTGCAGACAGCGTCTACGCTGGACGGCTATGCAGTCCAAGTTCTATTCACTGACGAGTCTCGTTTTCACCTCAGCCACAGCGATGGACGGATTCAAGTGTACCTACGTCGAGGTGAACGTTACGTCAATCATTGTGTCATGGAAGAAGATCGGTTCGTGGGCGGCAGCGTTATTGTATGGGGTTGGATTACAGCAAGACAGAGGACCCGTTTGATAGTGGTAGAGGGAAATCTCAATGGACAGCGCTACCGCGACGAGATCATCGGCCCTGTTGTTCTACCGTTTTTTGCGTCGTCATGGCCCAGGCATTACCTTTAAACAAGACAACGCCAGGGCTCGTATTGCTCGACTTGTTCAGGATTCCCTTCAACAAAACAACATGAATGTCATCCCCTGACCGGCTCGCTCCCCTGATCTCTCACCAATAGAGCACATGTGGGATGAGATGGATCGGTGCCTTCGACGTAAACCACGTGTTCCACAGACACTCCAGGAACTTGCCTTTTACGCTCAATTGAATCCGTTTCGGAAGACAATCGAGACTGATTATTCTCTTGACGTTTTATATTTATCCAGACTTATTAACCGGGAACGGTATAATCCGGATTAACAATGCGTCATGTGTCTTACACGACACCCGCACGTGCTTTTACCAGAAACTGTCCTTTACGACGAACGATTAAAGAGCAGCTTCTTTACGACTGTCGCAAAATTATGTTACGTGTTCAAGCTGTCGTCGTACCTTACCCTTTGACGTCTAAAGCCCATAAAGTTATTCCACCACATTGGACATATACATACATACCCACGAGTTTATGGCTTAATTGTGGCCTCCGTTAATGTCGGTGGTTAATGCGGTGTATTCATGGTGGCCCGGTCACTTCAAGACGTATTAACGCGACAGTACAACCACAACACGACAGTTGGTGAACTTAGCCTGCAGTGATCGCTTATTATAACATTCCGTGTGTCAACTACCCTACGTACGTCAATGGTGAAACACGACAATAGGGACCTAATGACCTTCACAATGAATAGCCCAGGTCATCTGGAACGTCAGATTAGCCGCATTCGGGTTGAACAAACATAGACAGATATTAAACACGATATAGGAGAATATAAGACAGCCTCGAGCGTCTGAATGTCGACAAACACAGATATCCCGTTTGGTGTATAGTGAAATACAGTCGAACCTCGTTGGGTCGAACTTGGGTGTGTCGAATTCCCGGTTCTCGAACTCAACTTCCGGTCCTTGCGAATTCGTTCTCAAAACTTTGTTGGTTGTCTCGATTCCCGGATAACTCGAACATTTTTCCAGGTCCCCACGAGTTCGACACAACGGGGTTCGACTGTAATTTGATCAGCATGTAAACGTTTCGGATTCAAAGAAGTGATTTGGATTGGTTTGGAAACGTTTTTTGAAGCAAATAATTTTGACAAACACTGCCTAAACTTCCATGTCCGCTTGAATAACACGGGTTGGGTTAGGACGGGTTAGGGGTTAGGGGTCACCAGCAACCCGTTTTTGTGTGGATAGACATTTTTATTAAACTGGCGTTTTCTTGATAGCAACACTCAACTAATGCCACGTTTAAGTTATACAAATTAATCATCGTATCCAAGGCTACATGGCTCAATAACAACTTCACAAATCTTGCACCCGAGGACACCATGCAGTAATTAAATTTTTTACTCAAATAAAATAAATTGCTTTTGGAGTTATTACTGTTATGGAAAGTAAATCCTGTCAACGGTGATAGTGGTAGTCAAGCGACAACAAACGTTGGTAATGTTATGGTTCGGATACACTCTCATGGCAGATTAAAAGCGATCTTCTCGGCTTTGCGGCTCCGTCTTCAAGTGTGTAGGCAGAGATAGGACCACCACTCAAGGATCGGGAGGAGATGAGTGATCACCCGTCTCTCAGAGGAAGATAACACAGTCGCATTGAAAACACACGATCTCATACTTGAAGACGGGCGAAGTAGAGACATTGTCTACATATAATCCTTTACCAACTGGGAGATATCTTGAGGAATTTAAAGTACCAATATCTGTTTTATACAGTACAAATTTAGATATATTTGACGAACATATAATATCACGAAATCAAGCCTGAAGATGACGTAAAAAAACCATAAAAACATCGTGGTAAAACAAAAAGTATCGTGTTAAAATATAAAGTAAAACTATGTATAGGTTTCTATCAGCATCCTTTCTAAAACTTGTCCTTTACCGCCGCACTCACCAGTATTCCTACTAGGCGACCACGCTTGTCGTAAGAGGCGACCAACGGGATCGGGTGGTCAGGCTCGTTGACTTGGTTGATGCATGTCATCGTATCCCAATTGCGTGGATCGATGCTCATGACGTTAATCTCTGGATTGTCCGGTCCAGACTCGATTATTTACAGACCGCTGTCATATTGCTGAGTCCGGCGTAAAACAACAAATAAACAAAACAAACAAATATTTATTATAAGTGAACCTGGTGGCCAGTCGATATCCTGTACTCCCACTCACTTGTATACGGTACTACTTCTGTGACATGCTGAACAATATATAATAACTTACATTCCCCAGGTTAAAGTGCCCGGAAGAATATTCCTCATGTTAATAAGACCGCCTCCGTGGTCTAGTTAAGAGCGGAAAGTCGGTGGTTCGATCCGCGGCCACGCCATACAAAAAGACGTTAAGGGTAGTAGTTGTTGTTACCCTGCCTCCTATTAATAAAGCACAACTGGAGGTTTTTCTTAAATCTACAGCCGCATTCTGCTTTGACCATCATGAACATCGATCCACGCAATTGGGATACAATGACATGCATCAACCAAGTCAACGAGCCCGACCACCCGATCCGTTAGTCGCCTCTTACGACAAGCATAGTCGCATTTTACGGCAAGCATGGGTTGCTGAAGACCTATTCTAACCCCGATCTTCACGGGTCTTGTGTATAAATAAGTACGAATATAGATTTTGTATAAATAAGTACGAATATGGATTGTGTATAAATAAGTACGAATATGGATTGTGTATAAATAAGTACGAATATAGATTGTGTATAAATAGGTACGAATATAGATTGTGTATAAATAAGTACAAATATGGATTGTGTATAAATAAGTACGAATATAGATTGTGTATAAATAAGTACGAATATAGATTGTGTATAAATAAGTACGAATATAGATTGTGTATAAATAAGTACGAATATAGATTGTGTATAAATAAGTACGAATATAGATAGATAAGTACGAATATAGATTGTGTATAAATAAGTACGAATATAGATTGTGTATAAATAAGTACGAATATAGATTGTGTATAAATAAGTACGAATATGGATTGTGTTTGCGCAGGGTTAAACTGCCTTCTTTTCTACTGAACAAGATACACATACTTGAATGAACTTATCAACCCGTGACTCACTGGATTGTTTGGTCAAGATTCGATTATTTTTCAGACCGCCGTCATATAGCTGGAATATTGCTGAGTGTGGCGTTAAACAACATACAAACAAACTAATCAATTCACGGTGAGTGAGTGAGTTGTGTTGCCCGCCGCTTTGAACAGTATTTCAGTACATCACAGCGTGTCAGTAACGTGGGACCACAGCCTGAAATGACACAGCTCGTAGTCGTGTTTACCTTTGTATTGAAACACGCGAGCCCGCGGTTATGGTGTTGACAAACCATG